CTCTGTCTTAACCCATACCTGTCATAACCCATAACCTGTAATAACCCATAGGTTTTTGGCTTCCACTGACATGGTAGATAGTAAAAACCCATAAGTCTGCCGTATCCCATAACCCATAGCTTTTTGAAGGGTCATAACCCATAAAACAACCTATATTAGGAAGGTACAGGTCTCCTTCTCACGAGAATCTGGACCATCTGGACCCTTAATTTTTGGTTCTCGTGGTATTTCAGAAGATAACCCATACCAGACTCAAGATTCCGTATCTAAACGGTGTCATAAACGACGTCCGGCCTATACCGGATAGGCTGTCTGTCACGCGTACTAGGTAGTCACATAATGTCACACGTTCTGGTAACCCATAGTCTGCAGAAACCCATAACTTTTGGGTTCCACGACCCGTTATGGGTTAAGACAGAGTCGACTGTACTCGTGACGGTTACTGTCGATGAGATCTCTGCTTGATGAACTCAATCAATCATTCCCGTAGATTTGCGACGTCGCCATTGGCCAAGGGCCATCGAGTGACCTGCTTGTTGACCTTCCGTACGCCATTTCCACGCGCTCCCCTTGCTTCGCTAATGTCTTCATTTCACATACTATCCCCCGTTCCTCGGAGAGATGTTCCAGGGCAGCGGGGGGGGGGGCCTCCGGTATAACACCCCTCCGCGGTAGCATCTGTTTTCCTTGAGGGGCACGCTCGTGCTTTCCAGCCATACTCTCCCGTCGCCCAGGGTCGCACCCAACATGGAGGAAGTCAACCGGGCCCGAATCAGCAGCGGCATCTTCGGTGCTGGACAGGGCAATCTGGGCGCGAGCACGCACAGTCTAGGTGCCGACTCAACCGCCGGGTTAACAGGTGCGCGACGCGTCCGTGATTTCCTTGCCCATCGTACGCGTTAACACGGGTGTCCGGTTCCAGCCCACGTCGCGCCTCCCGCCGGTGTTGAAGATGTTCCAGCCATTGCACCGGCGGCTGGTGCTTCTGGGCAAGGAAGTGCGGGGAATGCGGGGTATACGGGGCAAGGGAGTGCGACCGAGCAAATAGCCACGGCTCCAGCTCAGCCAAAGCCCCCCTTGTACAAGAGGCGATGGTTCATCATTACGAACATCGTACTGTCTCTCCTGGGAATTGCTCTGCTCTTTATTTTACTGTTCCCAGTGGTTGCGGCAATCGCCCAGCACGTCGTGAACGTATCGGTATTGAACATTGACAAAGCCGCTATCCAGGAACCCCAGAACACCTCGTGAGTAGCGGTGACAGACTTGTAGATTACTTTTTTGATTCCAGCTCTTCTACAGCTTCACATTAGCTCTGGAAGGAGTCGTGAGTAGATTCCCATAATTTTCCACGAGACGCGCTATAACGGCTCTTCCAGGTGACGCACACGGGTATTTTCAACGCGAAAATCGACTTCACCAAGCCGATCGACGTGACATGGTTAGATGGAGGCAACGAGGTTCCGCTTGGTTCGATGACTATGTCGGGTCTCTCGGCGAAGTCAAAGCGAGCCTACATTAACCAGACCACGACCTTCAATATCTCAGATGAGGATGCATTTGGTAAATTCGCGGGCGCGATGATCACGCGAGAGAATTTCACCTGGCGGCTCGAGAGCCACGATCTGAAGGTGCAGGCTCTGAAGTTCCCGGTGTCGCATGGGATTAAATTCAAGAAGGAGATCACTCTAGCCGGTAAGGGGTAAAGGAGAGGTCAAACAAACGAGGACTAACGTCGGTCTTAGGCATGAATAACTTCAGCGACAATGTTATTCTGAAAGACCTTGAGCTGCCGAGCGACAATCCGAAAGGCGGTATCAACTTCGCCACGGATACCGTTTTGTCGAATCCAAGGTAAGACACGTTTATGCGAGAAACTTACAACGACTTACAAGACTCTCAGTCCGTTCGAGCTCACGCTTGGAACTATAGTTTTTGATCTGTACTATCAAGACGTATACTTAGGCGAGGGAACTGGCTATAATGTGGAAATGGTATGCCTGCGTGTTCGAACCCTGCGCCGCGAGCTAACCTCGTCATAAGACTCCCGGGGACAATAACATCAGACTGACCGGCACCCTGATTCCTCACAACGAAACGAACGAGTTGAACGTGGTCTCCCAGCTCTTCACGAACTACCTCAACGGAGAGGCATCTCCAGTCATTGCAGTTGGACACACGGATATAATGACCAATGGCGCGCCCATCTCCTGGCTTACTGCTGGGTTGAGAAATTTGCAGTTGACAGTGCCATTCAAGTCCGCTAGCGGTGCCATTTCTCCGATAAAGGCCATCGACATCGGTACTTTCGCCCTAGCGTTTACTAAAGATACCTCGTGGAGCCCTCTTGCTAACAGCAATTCGGTGAAAGCCTCCATGGAGCTGCCTTTCGGCTTTGATCTTTCGATCGGAGAAATCCAGAATACGTTCAACATCACGAAGAACGATTCTGTTGTGGCTGGACTGTCGACGGTAGGTTACGCTGCATAGTTCAACGGTTAGATAAAGTCACTAATCGGGTACCCAGCCCTTGGGAGCGTCGACTTCGGCCATTAACGTTGTCAATAGCTCGTTCACTCAAGGTTACATCAACATCAGCATCCAGGACACGCACATGGAATGTCCTGACCCAAGCCACCCTGTCTTCTCCCAATTCAGTTCGTACACCTTTATTTTAGGTCTACGTCGTACTCACCTGAGCCGCACGCAGACGCCGATCTGACCGACCTCTACAGCTCCGACTTCTTCCTGGTTGGGCATGCTCGTGCGGTTGCTAATATGAGCGTCGGACAACTTACGCTCGATCCGATCAAGTTCAATGTCTCCTCGGGTCTGCTCGGCTTGCAAGGTCTGAAAGGATCGACGGTCATCAACTCAGTGGATGTGCTGGGAGGTACTCAGGACTACATCTCCCTTGGAATCAATGGTAGGTAGCAGTGATGGTAATGTTACGTTAGTAGGATTTATTGTTTCACCCAGTTTCGATTCACAACCCTTCGAATTTGGTTCTCAATACTGGCGACTTGAGTGAGTACACTGAACATTTGAATGTTTGGTACATGCGCTGACATTTATATGCCAGCGTTGCAATTATTCCGGGACGGTGGCATGGTCGGCACGACTTTGTTACCGAATCTTACACTTCAAATGGGTGACAACAACATAACTGCCCAGGGTGCTTTCCAGGTGCGCTGCTGGTCTTAATTGTGTGGTAATTCAATGCCTCACTAGACTTTATCAACAGCCCAATAAGAACTCTCAAGGATCACAGACCTTGAATGACTTCGTTGGCAAGAAAGGTACGTGAACGTTCTTCTATGCGGGCTGTTATCTTGCATAATCCAATTGACTTCGGACCAGATGTCCGTCTTCAGATTGCCGGATTCCAAGAGAGCACGCAGGTGCAATCCCTTCTCCAAGCCTTCCAGACCCTCAATATCGATACCACACTTCCTGGGCTCCAAACCAACCTTTTGGAGTCTGCCGCTCTGAAAGGTAAGTCAATACCGTTGAGGGGGCCGGACACGAGGTTGATAAATATGCTAGTTCTCAATTCTACTGGTCGTGACAATAATATCTCGCATGTTACCGTTAACCTTGCCAACCCATTCACTGCGGGCCTCGACATAACTCAAATCAAATCATCAGTGTCGTCGTATGGTATCAACTTGGGTAGTATCCAGACTTCCACAAATTTCTCGTCGCCCGGCCATACGACTACAACCTCGCCTTCACTCGACTTAAATATGAATCTGGATCCCCCAGCCATATTCACTCTGACGCGGGCGCTCGCGGTTGATGCCGGGTTGAGTACCGAGCAATTGGACGGAATCGTCGAATTGGGAGGCTATCAGTATGTCCAGACGTCGCCGGAAGCTCCGGCTTCCAACTCGTCATCTCGTCGTGACAATATTTATACGTAAGTAAATCCGATCGTACAGTGCCGTGCACATCGTTGAATCCTGCCTTAGGAACTTTAGCCTGCCCACTTTCGTGGATGCGGCATTCAAACAATTGCGCTCCGATGTTGAATTGACGTCCGTTGTCAATATAGGTCTCTACATCTCATCCGCCAGAGGCATGTGGCTGACGGTTTTGCGCAGGCGACTATCAGACGACCCTCCAATACACCCAAAAAGGCGTCCCGACTGTCACTGATGAGAGCCTGAATCTGTTGTTGCCCATCTTAGCGCAACCCATAGTACAGAAGCTTGTCACACAGTCCCTCTTGGGGTAAGTAGCAAGTGATAACTGTAAGAGCTGAAATTTACATGCCTATGTTGCACTAGCATCGATACGGTACTCATCACTGACCCGAAGCAAAATTCATTTGGTGGGTGGTCATCAGTCGCCACGCTGCCGATATAATTTAATTCGGGGGACAGAGACGAAATTGAGTGGATCCATTACAAACGCCGGGCCGTGTAAGTGCAGCACAGCTCGCGGTGAAAAAAAAACAATATTGATCCTGCTCCTCCTTGCACATAGTCGACGCGAACATTGTCTTCGGCTCAGGACTCACAGTGTCGTGGTCCGGAAAGCCCTTGGGTTCAATGAAGATGCCAGACGTCAAGTTAACTGGAAACGTCGGGGCTCAACTGGACTTGGATGCAACCTTTGAAGTCGCGGATGTGGATCATCTCTCGGACTTCACGAAGGTCCTCCTGACTGAAGAGTCCTTTGACTGGGAAATTGCCGGGGAAAATTTGACTGGTACGTTCCATGAGTGAACAGCGAAGCTCAAAGGCGTTGACATGTGCTGCAGTCTCTGCTATTGGTATGTACAACAGGAAAGAGTTTGCCTGCCAGAGCAGTGATGACCGTTCTGCCGCTCGCTAGGCATCGACGTGCCTGGAATCAACCTCACGGCCAAGAAAGTGACGTTGAAGGGCTTCAATGGTCTGAAGAACGGTGTCATTATTGATTCATTCGATCTACCCACGAATGATCCTGCTGGCGGTATTCACCTTACTGTCAATTCTAGTGTTTCTAATGTAAGTGAGCCATGAACGAGACCGAAAAGGTGCACTGATTTTTCTGTTTATCACAGCCTTCACAAGTCGGCATCCAACTCGATTCGATCGGGTTTGATACATATTTCGGGAACACGATGTTGGGACCCGTCGCTGCGAATAGTCAATTTACTTTGGCGGCGCAGTCGACCAGTTCCTTGGGCTTATCTGGCAGACTCGTACCACAGACTACGTCGGAGGGTCTTCAAGATGTTTCCACTGTCTTCAATAATTTCATTCACGGGAGGGACAGTCCCATCGTCATCCAGGGCGACAGCGCAGGGCCGAGCGGCGTGAGCCATCACACCTTTGTCGAAGTTGGCCCTAACTCACATTCCACTCAGGTAACTTGGCTGAATGAAGGCATAAAGAGCTTACAGGTCGCTTCCGTTCTTCCCAATCAAGGCGACCTTGAAATCATCAAGTCTATCACTTTGAACCAGATGACGCTGCTATTCAGCACGGATGACGCTTATGCTCCTACGTCTGGCAGTAACTCCACCGACGCTGCATTCCAGATACCGTTCGGATTCCCGATTGACATTACCGCACTGGAACAGAATATAACGGTGGGATATCAAGGGCAGGATTTTGCAGAATTGGTCATTCCAAAGGGCCCAAGCACTACAAACGTTCAGACGCGCGTCATCCATCTGGGTTTTCAAAATGTTTCCTTTGCCGCCTTTGATAGTCAGCACGAGACCTTCAACGAATTCGTTGCTTCCACGACCACTTCACAAACCCAGACCATGCGATTATCTGGCAATGCGAATACCGACGCCGAGACCGCCGTTGGGCTGCTATCGCTCACCGGTATCAGCTTCGCTGTAGACACGTCGCTGGCAGGGTTACAGGGTCTAAGCACAAGACCCACGGTGGTCGAGAGTCTCGACGTGAACCATGGCTATCCTGATTATTTGCTCATCAAGACCACCGCATCCCTGTTCAATCCGAGGTACTTCGATGCTTTCTGTGCCTGGGCTGGAGCACTCACATAGTCCTAGTAACTTGACAATTGGAACCGGCGACGTCTCATTCTCTTTGATATTCGAGTAAGTGAAGATTCTCTGCAAGCTAATGCGATAATTAACGAGGGTCCCGTCCCTTAAGAAATGCAAATGTGGGGACTGCCGATGTGGTAGGTCATAAGATCGAACGTGTCCGTCTTATCGGAGCTAATGTCACATCCTCTAGAGCGACATGACCATTATACCAGGGAATGCAACGTACGCCATAGGTGAGTATCAAGTGAGAGGGTTTGTATCATGAGACTGATACTTCGCCAGACGTGCACTACGCGCCTCAAGGTGACTCTGTCAGTGCCGGACAGCACCTTCTGGAGAACTATATCCAGGGCGTCGAATCCAGCACATCTATCCAAGGCTCTATGGATTCCACGTCCATCGATTCACTTAAACTTGCGTTATCGGGAATTCTTCTTTCTCCTGTCAATATACCCGCTTTGCACCAGACATTGATCACCAGCACGTCCCTCACTTTCCCGAGGGACATCGCTCAGACGGGTATCGCCACCGCATCCTTCACGTTGGCTAATCCATTCACGGCCAGTATAAACCTGTTGGAGGTCACTGCATCGGCTGTTTATCGCGACCTCACATTGGGCCTTATCGATCATGTCGATGTGTCTTCATCACCTATACATGCCGACGGGCATTCCAATGTTACGTCACCATCACTTCCGTTCAAGTTCGACCTTGACCCAGCCAACATCATCCGATTGTTGCTGTATCGTTCTCAAGATGCCGGTGTGAGCTTGGGGCCATTACCGGACCTCTTCCAGATAGTCCTGAATAATCCGGACAATCATTCATCCGTATGATGCTTTGTTTGTTTCCTAGGAATCTTGCTAAAAATATACAATAGATCAATGCCACAGTCGACCCCAACTCTTCTACTTGCGTCAGGTATATTCATAACCAGTAACATTTTGCGTGTTACTGATTAAGTTGCAGCGGGTCACAGTTCGACGTAGATGGCGCAGTTCTGAATGCACTGAAGGGTATGCAAGTGAATCTCGCTGTGGAAAGTTCCTTCAAAATCGACGACTGTGAGTGTAACGCTCCACAACCTTTCCCTCGCTGACGTCGACGCCCAGTTACCACCGACCTGTCATTCAACCAGTCGAACGTGCCAGCGATCGTGCGTATGACAACATTATAGGATATATGTGATTCTCATTACATCCGGCGAAGACTGATGCTACGGCCTTGTACCTGATCGGCGTCGTAGCCCCTCCGATCACTCAAGGCTTAGTGGACAATGCTAAGTTAGCATTCAGCGAGGCCAACATAACGTGAGTCCACCACGACCCATCTGACTATCATGCTAACGCCGAGGATTTGTAGTAATCTATCAGACGACGGCTTCGATTTATCCTTGAAAGGTTCCCTGACGGACATAGGACCACTAGATGCGCTCATCACCTTTACCGAGCCAGTGACGTACGTTCCCTCTCTCATGAACCAGAACGGCAGCTCATTCAAATCAGTGTTTCGTGGGAAGGTCGCGATATCGCAACCATTTCCTTGCAACCCAGTATGTTGTGCTCCCTTGAACGTAGTATACGAACTGATGTCGTGCAGTATGCGGGGCTGCGAACACGGGTGTCTCAGACTACGAGACCAATGCCCACCTTACTATCACGGATCAGTCCACGTGGGTCGCTGCCTGAGTTGTGCTACTTTGAAGCTGATCATGATGTTCGAACAGGTTCACTACTTTCGCCACTCAACTCTTGCACACGGAGAGTTTCGAGTGGACTATATCAACGGACAAGCTCCGCGTCACGGCCCTTGGCACGATTTTTGACAACGTGTCTTTATCGAAGACAGTGTCCTTCAAGGCCTTCAATAATCTACCTGGTGTCACCATTAGCAACTTCAATCTGCCTAGCGATGATCCCGCCGGTGGTATTCACATTGAGACTGACTCAATGATACCTTCACCTTCCAGTGCGTATATCTCGTGCAACGCAACGCTGCTGCTCGTCCCCTAACATCTTATATAGACTTAGGCATCGATTTAGGAACGGTTGGATTCCAAGCATACTTCGGAAACGATACTTTGATTGGTCGTACGTACCGTATTTTCCTCCAATTTGCATGCTACTTAATGTTCTTTCAGCCCTCTCGGGAAGCAATTTGTATTTAGCACCACAAACCACTACTACAACCCATCTCTCAGGTCGTATCATTCCCCAAAGTGGCTCTGACTTGGATGCCATCGGCGAACTGTTCTCGCACTTCTTAGCGGGCGACAACCAAACCCTGAGTGTGAGGGGCGAGTCCGTGCAGCCTTCTGGTTCCAGCCAGCCAGTCGGGTGGCTCAGTCAGGCTTTCAAGACACTTGAACTCCAGGTGATCCTGCCCGGCAAGAAGTACACGGTGTGTCGTTTCGTATCTTGGATCAAGGTGTATTCTTACCCTTTTGGTAGATTATTGAGTCTATTGCGCTGCATGACTTTGGGATAGTAATGACCGAGGACGATCAGACATGGAGTCCTCTTGCAAGCTCGAACTCTACCGTTGCGCAGTACAAGAATCCTTTCGGCTTCTCCTTGCAAGTCGTCCAATCTGCGGAAGATATCATGCTGAGTTCAGGGGGAACCCATGTTGCTGAGGCATGCATATTCTCTCCTCACCGCTAGTGCGACTATCCAGCTGACGTTTTTCATCCTGTAGCTCAACCTTCCGAGAGCCGATACTCCAAGCGGTGTCTCCACTGGCAATCTAGTAGATCTTGACATATCGTTTCATGATCAGCAATTCAAGTCGCTTGACAACGGTGCTTTCCAAGCATTATTTGCGCAAGTGACGGATCAGTCGTCTGCGTCATTCACCCTGGAAGGCACTGCAAATGTGGTCGCACGGACAACGATAGGTGATATCCCCATTTCGGGCATCCCATTCAATGTCCCGTCTTCTTTGGAAGGTAAGGGCGAGCCTCGCAGTCAATCGCATTGAAATGTACTGATAGTGCGCAGGCATCAATGGCTTCGGCCACCAAGCCTCCTTGAGTAATGTCTCTATAACTGGTAGTGGCGGCGATGGAGGAAACCAATATATCAAATCACCCCTCACGACGACCCTGCAAAACCCATCGAATGTTTCCCTCCAGACAGTGAATATCGCCCTTCCGGTCTCCTACAAGGGCGTGTCGCTAGGTCGTGCCTATATTTCGGTCCGTAACGTTCATTATATAGGAATATACGGGGCTGACACTTCCTCAAGCCATTTAATCTTTTACCCGGTGAAAATGTTGTTCCTACTGAGTTCAGATACGAGCCAAACGACGCGAATGACACTGTCGCACAGGTATGCATCGAACTCGAGATGAAAACAGATGTTTATATTGACGCCACCATAGAGTTTCTTGAGCGACTTCCTCCAAACCGGTGACACTCTGCCACTATCCATCAAAGGAGACTCAAGCAGTACTCCATTTGGGTCTTTGCAATCTGCGCTCGAGGGACTCGAGATTAGCACGAGTCTGAAAGGTCAGTCAGAGTCATTACGGCCTGCTGTTGTATATTCAGGGCCGCTTCCCAGGATTGAATGTGCCGCCCATCATCACACACATCAACGTCTACATTGGCCTGTCTACCCTATTCGATAACATAGTGGATATCAACTTCGATGTAAGTCCGTACCCCGGTATCCTTTATCCGTCGCTCACTTCGCTACAGGTCAGCAACCCTCTGGATACACCCCTCGTCATCGAATTCGTCCAGGACGACTCTGGTGTGAACGGTGACATCTACGCACACTTCGACCAAGCCTTTGACAGCTTCGTGGTGCCGCCGCACAGCACTGCCAATAGCGGGACGTTTGGTAATGTTGTCCTGGTCAAGGGTGCCCTTGCATCACTAGGCATTATTCCTCTGGGATACCTGGATGTGTTCTCCGTCGCCACAACTCTGTAAGTCGGTCTCAACCAGTGAGTCGGGGTTAGTCGACTTATACTTCTGCGAAAGGGTCGGAGAGGGCGGCTATAGGATCCCCTGGCTGCACTTGACGCAAAAGAACGTCCCCACCACCTACAACCTCGCTCTCAGCTTGGACGCGCTTCAGGCAGCTGCCAAGTCTATCGCAGTGAGCGGTACCGCAGGCTCTGCGAATCACTCTAGCACTGTAGTATCCGGATCGATGTCGGCGTCGTCGCTTACTGGCGGCAACGTCACCTCGGCCTCCAAGTCCGGCGGATCTGCGTCTGCGTCTCCCTCGCAAACAGCGGATTCGTCGAGTGCGCCGCAGTCTTCAGCGAGCGCGGTTGCATCTCCGTCGCAGTCCCCTGCGACACAAGCGAAGCCATCCCCCGCGGAGTCTCCTTCGAATGCCCCGTCCCCGACTCCCCAACCATCCTCCTCCCAGGGAGGCAATCTTTCCGTAAGTGAATTTCTTTGTCAGCGCGACCTAATCGGCTCACAAAATCCGTGCAGCCTACGCTCTCGCCGTCGAAAAGCGACGACACCCAGAGCGCACGATAGCCAGACGACCTCGTCCCTTTGAATGGACATGTACTTATACCCTCCTCTCCAGCGTGACCAGTGCAGTTCGCTTCTCTCGAGTTGATGCTGGGATTGTATTGTTACCCTTCACTTACCACAATGTCTGCACGAATAGCTACTCCATACGCACGCCTCCAGCCTTGTAGCGATCGAATTCCATCTGCTATCGGTGTTTCCAACGTCTCTTGACGGATCCTCGATTTGACTGTAATGATCTGGCATCAGTCGACCTACAATGCGGGCATCGAGAGGGAAATGGAGTAGAGTCCTGGTCTGGGCAAGAAACATTGTTAAATCTAGGTTGTCATACGTCGGCGCATTGCAGTGGACTTCTGTATGTCTCACAGGGCAGTTGGGGAGCGGGGGGAAAGAACCGAACTTCAAAGCTCCTCTAGGTATTCTCCATGGTACTTGAGTTGTGCCAGCGTTCAGAAAAGCCGTTAGTCAGCTAAGCCTCCGTCCCGGTCTGAACCCTCCGTGCGGCAGAATGGCGAATACAAAGGGCAGATCAATATGTAGGCAACTGTCCTTCTGTCGCGAGCCCGAATCGCCCGAACGAAGGAGTACTTCTTAACCGCTTCTTATAGGAAATTGCTGATCAGTTTGGTCGCCGGCCGGACCGACGCACACGTACCCTCGAGGATCCTCCTCCACATTATAGGCCTGTGTTTCCCGCCCTTCGGCCTCTAAACGAGCAGCATATCTGCTCGAGACCAATCATGCTCACTGAGAATGATCGGCGACTAGGAAATGCGTGTCAAAATGAGTAGGATCTGCCCTGGGTTTCCCCGCTGCCGAGGGAAGTGGAAGCATCCGGGGCTTCAAAGGGAGTATCTGCAGTACATACTCTGCTGAAATAAAGCGTGCGGAGTGAGTGGCGGGGAAGATATGGGAGGTGGGCCGGCGGGTCGGAGTGTTATCCGTACCTGGACGAAGGTGTGGTACAGTAAATAGCGATGAGAAAGCCGGGGGGGGATGAAATTTGAAAGGGGAACGTCTAGAAGCGTCGAATCGGGTGGGAGCAAACCTGACCCAACCCTGCACCTGGATGCTAAGCTCCTGAGCCCGGCCTCCTCTCCCGACTACTAATCATACTGGCACTCGAGAAGACCTTAGTCAAGCCAGAGCCAGGTTACTTACTAAGTCTGCGAACGTTCCCTATATTTTACGTCGTGCTGACAGGGTGCGGGTCAAACCGTTCCGCGACGGTCCAATGAGCACTGCGATAGCTGCGCTACGTATAGCATTAGGCGCGACGATCACAGTTTTCTTGGGTGTCTGCGCAGTACGAGCCAGATAGGAACCGCGAGCGGGGCTTCCGCGTGCATGGGGCAGGCAGAGCACGCGGTTCCTCCTCTAGAATCTGCAGGCTGCGAAGCATAGCTGAAGGACGTACCTGCCCGATTCTGATAAGATAAACCCAGGCGAGAGGAGACGGAGACGTGGAGGAACGACAGTGTCTAGTAAAAGTTGCCATTTACGGGGGATCAGCGAGAGACGGCGGGGTTCTCGTTGAAGTTCAAGTTCCGAAACTGAAGGAATTGGAGAGACGATGCGAGGAGAATGAACTCTGCATAGCGATGGACGCGTACGCGAAGGGTCGACGGACTTCAGGCAGGCACTGGCAGCCTCCTGCGTTCTCTGACCTGCACTTGACCTGCACCATGGGCTTTGCGGCTCGGATCTATAGGCGAGGCGCTGAGCCACTCCGCCCTCCCGTTATGCTACAGACGCCGGTGTGGCAGTAACGGAAGAGCTGAGTGTCCCAGCACCTCGGGGAACAGCTTACCAGCGAAGGTAGGCGTCCAGGATTAGGAAGTGCAGGGTTAATCAGCTCTGTGAACTTGAAGCTGTTCCGATTTCTGCCGCGGCAGAAAATGAGAAAGCCAACCAGCTATGTATAACTTCCGGGGCCGGCCAGAGCGGAAGGTTCAGATGGAACATATTTACTGGAGGACGGTCGCCAATAATACTGCAGAGGAGGCTGTGCTGCGCGCACCAATACCATGCGGGGATGTTGACAGCCATTGGCAATGAAATGGGCACGATCACCTTCGATCATGCGATAGCAAAGGATCTAGGTTGAGGATATCTACGGGGTTGGATTTGTATTCAATGGGGTGGTGCCTCGAGTGCAATTGCGGAGACTAGAGAATGATTGAGCAGGATCCGCTGGTTATTCTCAAGCCTTAGCGCCCTGCATTACGCAGGTGGCGAATCGCATGAGAGAAACGTGTGTCGCGACCGACCTCTGCAAGCGGTTCACTTACTAAGAACGGCGACAGTCTGGAAAGGCGTGGCTGTTGCGTGCAACTGCGCAGTTCCTGTGATGCGCGGCCCCGCAATAGAACGCAGGAGATCCGGGGCACCAATAGACGCGTTAAATACGCACCAAGAGCACATTAATTGTGGGCGCAGCGGTGCAGAATGGAGAGATAGGTGGATTTCGGCGTTCCTCGCATTTGAGGGCCGACCGGGGGACCGAGGGACCGGAGCCGTTGGCTGTCGCGCGATCGGGCCAGGCCTCCGAAGCAACAGTAAGACGGGGGCCTGGGCCGGCCCAGGCCGAGTTTACAGGCAGCCAAACCGTTGAGCTGTGACTCCCGGACGTAAAACCATCTGGACGGAATATTATCCTGCTCGTTATTTTTCGTCTATCGATTATCAGCCTGCACCATCGTACGCAGGGCCGCAGGCTGCGCAGAGAAACAGTGCCGACGCAAGACCCGGCGACGCAGCGAAGAGGACGGCAGACGCAAGGGACTCTGCTGGGTGCCGTGTGGGGTAACTTGGATGCGGTGTGGGGGACTGCTGATTGGACTTTGGATTTGACGCCTGTGTACTGCCGACAAGCGGAAATAGCAGCTGGTGACGATAGTAACGTGTTTTGAATCGCCGACTCTTTCCCCTCTCTGCGCACTTCCATCCCGTCCCGTCCTCTTCTTCTGTTTATTCTCTTACACCGACGACGGCCTCCGCACTCTCTCGTCGCCGTCCGCTACGCTTTTCACCATGCTGAAAATTGAGGTCACTACCCCTTCACCCGAACACTCGCGGGGGCACGTCCCAACTCTCGCGGACCTGAGCAGAAATGCTTCGGTCATCTCGTCATCCTCGAGCTCGAGCTCGACATCTTCCCTAGTCTTGAATACACCCCGTCCTCGACCAATCCGAACTTTTTCTTCGCCCCGTTCACGCAGTCCTGCTTCCCCTCCCACTCCTAGAGCCACTAGGCCGCCAGCGTACCTCTCGAAGGAGCTCGGACTTGACGATGAGGAGGTTGAGCGGCAACTGGCCCGGGACGCAAAGGCCGGAGCACGAGCTAGTTCTCGAGCAGCCTCCCGAGTCCGGGGGTCGAGGAATAGCTCTGCTACCCGTGTCGTGGCCTCCGACTTCCAGTTCGGAGAGATCCTGGGCGAGGGATCGTATTCAACTGTAAGTTTCGCCGAGTGTCGCTGTCCTTAGTTTCTCATCTCTGACGCCTCTCCAAGGTGATGCGCGCTGTCTACAGAGCCACCGGACAGGAATATGCCATCAAGGTGCTCGACAAGAACCACCTGAAGCGGAACCAGAAAATGCAGACCGCCATGGTTGAGAAGAACTCGTTAGTAAGACTCGGGTCGGGGCACCCGGGTATTGTCCGGCTACACTGGGCCTTCCACGATGATTGGAGTTTGTGTGAGTTTTTCCGCATGGCCCCGATGGGCTTGGGCTTTTCTAACGTTCTCGGGTGCAGACTTCGTTCTTGACCTGGCCAGGAACGGGGAGATGCAATCCCGCATATCTCGGATGGGCTCGCTATCTACAGAGTGTACGCGCTACTACGCCGCGCAGCTGGTCGACGCGCTCGAGTACATGCACTCAAAGGGCGTCATTCACAGGTACGCATACACGCATCGTTCATGTTGCCCGGCAACCGCCTTTGTCGTGTTGCTCACAAGTGACGTTGCAGGGATTTGAAACCAGAGAACCTGCTGCTAGATGACGCCTTCCGGATCAAGATCACTGATTTTGGCACGGGCAAATTACTCGATTCCGGAGGTTTGTACCATGATCCGGCTGATCACGTGACCGTGACTAGTTAACTGATCCTTCTGTTCTGCAGAGGAGAAAGCCAAAACATTTGTGGGCACTGCACAATATGTGTCACCAGAGTTGTTGGAGGCTTGTGAAACAACGCCTAGGTATGCATTGGACAGGAATTTCACGCGGCTACATGCTGATACGGCGCTCAGCTCGGATCTTTGGGCTTTGGGGTGCATTATATATCAGATGATCGCCGGGCGCTTCGCCTTCCAGGGGTTGTCTGAATACCTGACATGGCAGAAGATCAAGCAACTCGATTACACGTTCCCCGAGGGCTTCGACGAGCAGGCGAAGGACTTGGTACAGAAACTGCTGGTATGTCAATCGACGCCCCGTGAAACCTTATTATGCACTGCTTACCGTTCCCAATCTTAGCTGCGAGATCCGGAGCAGCGTCTGGGCGCTGGCCCGCCCGGGAGCCCGAACGACATGCAAGCGCTGCGCGCGCACCCATTCTTCGCCGGGATCAACTGGAAGACGCTGTGGAAAGACCCGGCGCCGCCGCTCGAGTCCGGGCTCGTGAAGCGGGAGCAGAAGCCAGACGCGTACGGGGCGAACTGGGACGTGGACGCGCAGTGGGATAACCTGATGAACGGGCGCGACTCGGACGAGATCAGCTGGGCGTCGGATGAGGAGCAGCCGGGGGAGAGCTCGACGGGGCACGAGCACGTGCCGAATGGGTACGCGCATGAAGTGGGCCCGATGGGCGAAGTGCCGTGGTATGCAAACGGTGCGGGTGGGTCGCTGGCGGAGCCGATACGCGTGCCCTCGCCGACGAGGAGGGATCGGGGGAGTTACTCGACGGGCTCGGCGACCAGCTCGAGTGATGGGAGCCCGGTGGAGAAGTTGAGCGCGGCGCTGGATGCGATGATGTTTGATAGAGGGAGGAATAGGGCGCAGACGCCTATACAAGGGAATGGGCCTTCGGTCGAATTCGATTGGTATGTCTTCCTTTTCCATCCTCTTTGGGGATGTGTCTGATGAATTGCATGTTTTGGCAGGTCGCAGATTTTAATACCCGGAGAGAACATCCTTTTCAACTCTGCGGTGGAGGCTAGTACGCTTAGGCGGCGTGCCAGTCGACTGCTCGCCATTGCTGTGACGCCGCGGAAGATGAAAACTCGGCAACTCGTGCTCACCTCGCACCGGCTGGTGTGCTTGAAGCAAGGAAAGACCGAGCGCTCTATCGCGGTGAAGAGCGAGTTGTTCTTCAAACCGTCGGATAAGGAGAAGGAGCGGATGACGCAGACTATCATTGTCGGCGTCGAGCCGAAGGGCGAAAGGGAGTTTGTGGTGCTGACTGTGAGTGTTTGTTGCGACTTTCTGGCTCCGGTTACTGAGCAAGGTGCCTTGTAGAATAATAAGTCGCATTCCTATGCCACGGACAGCCCGATCCTGGCCTCGACTTGGGTACGCAAATTGAATGAAGTCCTCGAGTCGCAGAAAGAAGGCCGCAACGGACGGACACCCTCGACCACACGGACTTGATATTCAAGTAGGACTCGCGATCTCCTGCATGCATGCATCCCTCGCACACTCTCTCCTTGTTATCGGCTGGTTGATATACCGCATTGTAGTATTATTTTTCGTTTGGGACTCGGACACTCACTCATCTTTGCTGCTCGCAACGCAATCATCTTTATTATCAGGTACATTAGGTTCTTGGTCTACTAGTACTCATTTTGTATGTATCATGTATTTCTCCTGCCGCTGGCGTTACAATGGCTATGACAATGAAGTGATCGAGTATATAGCCACATCCCAGTTATACTATTATAGGCGTGGCGAAATAGATCTATAACTGAGTTTGAATGATATAGTTCGGACTTCGAATTGTTATACTGTATTCGGTAGGTGTTCTCACACTTGTGGCACCGCATGCACATGCCATCCTCCAGCCTCCCTACCTTTTCACGACGAGTGCAAGCTTCCTACTGAAGCCATCCCATCCACAACTGTTTGTAAAATGAAAGAGATATATTTTTTTGGAGAATTTTTGTCCGGAAATGCGCTCTTTTGCCGCTTATGGTGCTATTTCACTCCCAAAATTGGGGCTGAAGAGTTATATCTGTACTGTGAGATCCGGGACACATAGCTAGGTAGAAGTACTATAGGTGGGTAAGTGACAAGTGATTCATTAAGTTTGGTATGCATAAAGTGAGCGGCGCGACAGCGCCGCCGAAAGAAAAATGATTTTGACTTCCAGGTTGCTTAATTTCTTGCAATTCACATGAGCAGTGGGATATACATAGAGGTGACCATTCAAACTTAAAATACCACCAGGTTTTGCCTTAAGCTATCCAGAGAGTTAATACAGCGCGCAGAGCCGCGAAGCAAAATTCATGTGCTGTGGAAACCGAAGAAACTAGCCTCGAGGGATATTTCAAGCGAGGGAGATCCCTGAATATAGCACTAGTATACCCTTTCAATAACATACCCCTTCTGAAGCTCACGGGGCCCGAACGGAGTGTCTTTCCCTTCTCTTTCTCTCTCTCCTTCGCTTTAATTTTTTTAATTTCTTTAATTGATCTAAAAGTCCACACCTAAGGTACATAAGCCCCACATCCAGCTTTGATCGTGAAGGTGCACTACAACCATAAATAGCACATGTCGGAAGCGTCTGCCGACCATTCGAATAATCAATATGCTTGCTCTTTCGCCATTTCCTGAAGCTACGTTATGGAGAAGATAACGGAATTCCAGCGCGCGCAGAGTTCTGTTGAGACTGTCTTCAATTTGCTCGCGGTCGACGTTGAATCCCTGGAAATCATGATGAACTTCGTAATTGTCAAGTTTAGCGATACTTTCGGACTAGGGTGGTAAATTGGCCTTCGAGCAGAAAAAAGTGACGAGGACGAAACCAACAGGATTTTACCCGGGGACCGCTGTTGAACACGGGCTGGGTTTCCGTCTGTGTTACTACGTTGGACTGATAGTCACGGCTCATGTGCTCCTCCGCTGCGAGGACCTATGCTGGCTGAGGGTCATTCTCTGAGCAACACTGCGCTTCAAACTGCACTTGCCAAGCATTGGAAGTCGCCTCTTTCGTGCTGAATGGTCTCCAGTACATGATCTTTGCCAAAGTATCTGAACGCAGGGGTGGCGGAAGAGCCGCTTCCCCGGGTCTCTGGATATTCAGACTGTGAGTTAGAGCAAGAGCGTGTTCTTGAGTACTGACTTCGGTAGTCCTCGAAAGCTTCCAGGATTCTTCTGTCGGCGCAGAACCACAACCTTATGTCATGGCCGGCAGTGATGACCTTTCCGACTCAGGCGACGACAGGCGACGAGGTCGAGTCCGAGGAAGGCGAGTGCGAGAAGATCCAGGAAGCCCGAATTATGCAGCATAAACAAGCCAGCGATCGTGGAGAGGCCCCTAAGATTGAAGCGGGCTACGAAAATGAGCTCAGCGGACGTGAAGGTATAAAATCTGGAGTACACTGAGCTCTTCTACTGTCAGCAGGTCCCGCATTTCAGGGAAGGACTGCAAGGATGATGGGCGTTGCACCAATAACCTAAGTCCACCGGAGCTGAGAGCAAGCTGTCTCTGACTTAACGTCTGCTAGTTGGAGGGCGTTGGTACTCTTTCTTTACTGCGGCCGGATTCGTTTCAATTGGAGGCTTCGCTCAAGCCACTCGGATGATCTGGATCCAGCCACTTGGCCTACACGAACGATGCAAACATTCGAGCAAGAAGTTCCTTGCGGTATGGTCTGCTCCCCGAAGTCGATGTACGGTATATCGCTTGACTTCACGCGTGAGATCCCTACTTCAGTGTTCACAAGCGGTAGAATGGAGTCAAGCCTCACTTTTTGCTTGTTTGGTTCGACCTCACGCGTCTAGCCGATGTATCTTTCGTGACCATCAAAGCTTGTCTCACTGAAGAAGACATCGTCGAGGAATTCTTTTCTGAGCTCACTCCTAGGTCAGGAGCCACACTGTCTTATGGTCAACGAATGTCTTATGCTGCCGCAGGGAGAGTCGTCACGGACTGATGGTGACACTTGCTCATTGACTTCAGCTTGTCTCCGTGTTATGAAAGCCATAAAGGGAGGCGAAATGGTCTAAACCTGTAGACTTGGACCAAGAAGCAACGGTGAGCCTAAGTGACAAACAGGTTCTCTTTGGGCTTACACAAATCAATTGACAACAACACTCGGCTGTTCACAGGGAATGTATTGGACCCACAAATTGACAGCATCTAGGAGAACCTGGATTAGGTGCAACGCAATCACCATGATACCACTCGATCTTCATCGGGAAAGCGAAGGTATGTGGAGCGTCAGTTCTGGCCCAATACAACGTCTTCTGCGCCGTTGCCATTTGCTCAATTTAGGGCCATTTGCTCAATTTAGGGACAGTTTAGCAAAGGTGAATCGCATGTGTGTGAGCACCAGGCTCAGCAGTACTACTTGGGTATGCATGTGCGTTCCCTGATAACAGGTTTTACGCGTGCCTGACAAAGACTAGGGTTCCAAGGTAACGACGTTCGAAGACTCAATCCTACGTGAGACCCACGCTGTGTAAGGTCTCAGATTCGTATCCGCACGTTTTATGTTCAGCGAGCTGTGTAGTGCCTCCATCGATCGAGATGCCACAACTTCGTCTTGTAGGGCAGTAGAACATCGGAATCTCGAGGCGAATAATCAGCGGGATTGCGGACGCGTATTCTCGTGCCTTGCTCGAGTCAGAAATCACATCACTAGGGAGCTAGCACACAGCCTATTCTCCCAAGCTCTCCTTCAACCCACGTCCTTGAAGTGCTGAGGTCTTCTTCAGTAAAATTTTGAGTTGGACAATCAGACTAAGAGCATCGTATTCTCATATGCCATACCTCAGTGTTGTGCCGGTCGACGACTAGTCCGTGCAGTCCACCCGTCGACTTGTCGACTAGTCGACAGTCCGGCGCGTCGACCGTAAGTCTTGTCGACTGTCCCACGGCGTTGTCGACTGTCCCACGGCGTTGTCGACTGTCCCACGGTGTACGAACAGCATGCAGCGGTTTCCCCCCGAAGGCAAAAGCCGAGAAGACTGGCCAGGGCCAGGCCAGGGACATCTTTTCCTGGTCAGCGATTGGCTCAGGCCTCCACGCATCAGTCCGGTCGACTATTCTCACGGTCGACCGTGGACTGTTGTCGACTAGTCGACGACTTGTCGACTTTGTTGACTTTGGTCGACTAGTCGTCGACCGGCACATCACTGCCATACCTCAGTAGCTGGCATAGCAGTATGTATCAAAGATCGACCTAGCCCTATTATCACACTAGTACTGACGGCACAGGAACGATGATCAGGGCGACCGCCGACGGCATCATCCTGAACGGCATGCCTGCGGTGACTTGATCCCAGTTGATGACATGCGTGATCTTGCTAACTGTATCGTGTTTGCCTTGAGATGTCATATCATAGCACACCAAGGAATGATAGGCATCCTCGCCGATGAGCCCGTATCCAAGTCAGCAAGCTGATCATATTACGGCGCTCACTTGTCATGATGCTGCCCACTAAACAGCTAGCCAACAGAGTTCGTATAGCGACAAAGACACTGAACGCCGTAAGCGTAGTCATGATGCTTGACATGGACTTGTCAGCCTGGCATCCATATTATTATCTTGCGAATGGGACGGGACAGACGCTCGCGGTATCATCCGGATTCAATTGCGTTTACGGTGATGGCGGCAAACAGGATCGACAGGGGTCGTGTCCTCGACGTGCTCATTCTGTCTGTAACGTTCGGTGCGCTTGTCGACGCTTAGCGGCGTCTTAACGCTCCCGCGAGCCTCAGCTGTCGTTTGCAAGCGAGTACCGGAGCAAGGCACTCCGGCAACTCACCGGTGAATAAGAAGCCTTCATCACGCCTCAAATGAATGTGAGTAACATCAAGCACGATGTCATGATATTTACATAAAGAAGCATACACGGAGGACGAGGGCACTGCCAGGAAGTGAACAGCGTCGAACTGAGTTCCAATGTCAAGACGTTTGATTCCATCTGATCGCGTGGTGCACTCACCGCCAGGGGAACCCGAAGTGCAGGGGGACACGTCGATGGGAATCGTTAAGGCATCGGAGTCGGAGGATCCGCAGCAAGAAGCTTCTATCATCTACGGAGCCGGAATCCGGACTGGCATACGGAAGTGGAAATCTTGTGGCAAGGGGTCCAGTAAGTACTTACTTCCATACGCATGGTAGAAAAGTGTACACGGGCCCCATGGTATACTTAGTACTGTGCTCTACCGTTACGTCTCAGAACGCCAATGGGAAGCAGGCTGAAGCTCTAACGGACTTGCGGCTGGGGCTGCATGCCACCCCCGAGAAATCTGTTCATCCACTTCGGCATGATCATGGTGCGTTTGAATCTGCTTCGCGCTCTTGCAGCATGCCAGGGTGAATTTTAGTGGCAGTCATCTGGAACTGCATCAGAAGATCCCGCCAGCGGCGCGCTCCTGGGATTCCTTTTGCAAAGGATAATAGATGGCGGTCTGCCTGATGTACCGGCCGAAGCAATTACGACGACGGACGCGTATGAATTACATTGCCAATCATGCGGGCTTGCTGTCCATATGTTTGTGAGGACGAGAGGAACAAAGACTAACGTCAGAACCTCGTCACTGGTCGAGGACTCAGGCACTAGCCTCAATACTTAGCTCAAGCTTGGCAGATCCCGGTTCGTGGCTTGCAATTGTCGCCGCCTTATGGACACTTTCGGACAGGACAGGACCTCGCCGACCATTGGTATTGATACGTCCGCAGGGGCGGTGTGTCCGATTTGTAGCCAATTGTCGCTCACGGCCACTGCTTCGTGACTTATCCGGTGGGGCTTGTTGAACTATTATTCAGCTCTTATGCAAATGATTGACTTGTAAGGAACTCGGTCCTTAAAGAGGATGGACCTAGGGTCGAGGTACATACTCAAGGTGCCGGCCATGTCCGAGTAAGCCACACCTATTCGGATCAGTCTTTGGGACTCCTCGGTATGCGCGCCGAAGTCGTGCTATTGTGTATGGAGTATGCATATTCACGTTTTCCCCATTCTTTCTTTGTCTCCAGCGCGAGCCTGAACTGGAGAAAGAAGGAAGTAGGTCAAGGTACACGACCTATGTCTCGTTGCAAGGCCGGATGCGCAAGACATACGAAAAGGTCGTGCTCTGAGGCTGGACCAATATTCACACACATGTGGCATGATCGCGGTTCCATTCAGGCTTCACTGCGGGGGTTCCTTGATATGAAGGAGGCGACAGACTGCTGGAGAAGTCGAGGTGGACTTCGCAGAATAGCCTCGCAGCTGGTCCAGATCTTTGTTTGTCTGCCTGCCTGCCTGTAAACTGCGCCGCACCTAGTTCACAGTTCACTCTGGCTTTGGTTGTTCTTTGAGTACTGAACTCCAGGATATTCCATGGAGGGACTAGCGGTAAGCGATGCTATCGAATTTCACTAAGTAGCGTGCTCCAGGCAGATCTGACGAGCACATAGACATTGCCCGGGCATTTTGAACCAGTCGCAACAGACGTTGGGTCTATATCGAGTCGTCCGCATGAAAAGTATCAGCAACGGTGCTATGTTAACATCGGAGGACCGCCGCAAGAGGTCTCCGTTGACCCAATGATGCCGCTCAGTCGGGCCGGTCGTCGTGGTCAACAATGAACGAGTTTTGAGACAAAAGATGCTGTCAGTGCACTGGTCTCGCTGATGATCAACTCTGGTCAACTAGTATCCTACAACCGGAGAGTATTCTTGATTCTAACATATGTTTCAGTTTGGAAATGAAAGTCGGCCAAGTCTTTGACCGCAGGACAGCCTGGACAAGACGCAGCTACGAGAAGTCACATCCTAAAGCAGGATAGACTCGGATTGGAAGCAGCCACCGCCCGACTGCTTTTACGTCTTCTGGCGTAGCACCTCCAGCAAAGGGGCGTTACCTTCTGTGGCATAACATGATCGCTCTATGTGACAGATCAGTGATCTTTTCTGTTACATCCGCCAGCGTCGACCCTATAATCGGATTAACTCTTAAATCTGCGGGTCTTCGCTGCCTATGTAGTCGTAGGCAGCTGTCTATGTGACATATGTCGTAGCACGAGACCACCTACTAGTACTGCCAATGGTCTACCGAAACGTGGCTACATATCATATGACATATGTCAGGTTCTGGTAAGAATCACGACAGTGTACGTACGGCTTATTTGTTTGTTTGAACCTGCTGGTGCCAAAAGCTTATTGTTGTATGCATGCTGTGACGATAAGATAAGTTGCCAACGGAAAATGGTGACGAAAAAGAACGCATCCTTCGGCAGTTATATAGGGTTAAATAGCCTAAAGTGGGTGCAGCGGTGATCTCGAACTCTTCCAGTACCTCTACCCACCTCTGCGTGAACTCTCGTACTCTCCTGCAGGTATGCGTAGTGCGCTGGATACCTACCTGCAGCTATTCGAGGTGGCACATCATCGGAACAAATCGGGGTTAGTGTTTTGGGATGCTCTTGACAGTTCGAGCGGAGTTGGCATCAAAGGCTGTAACGTCCCTGAGGTCCGAATTCGTGGGGTGGGAAACCTAGTGGAAGTCTCCGGCTTCTTTCCTTTCCGGCAGCAGCTGCGCCGTTGTGGCTGATTGACCCATTCGCATGATCAGTTCAAACAGACACGACGCGCTTTACCATTTTCGTCCTTGTCGTTGACGTGTACAGTGCATTATTGTAGGGGTAGGTTGATCGAGGCTGCAGGAAATTCACTGCTGTTGAGGTTCTCCGGAGAAAGGGGACCACATGCTGGTAGCACTGCGCCATGTTTTCTGATAATTTCCCTGAAAACCTTCAACTTCCCCGAAGAATTCAAAAGAACCCATCGTCGCAGCCCTCAGATCTGTGTCCGGCGATGGATCCCGATATGCGATGATCCGCAAAAGGGCATCGTTTCCTCGTTGCTACTCCTCTTAAACAACCTCGTCCCATTATATTTCTATCTCATGCGAGCCATTGAGGACGAGCCTTTCTCTCGTCCGTCGGACTACCGACCTATCAACATGTACCAGTGAGTGGCACATTCGCGTCCTCAGTCGGCTACTAATCGTGCGTTGCAGTCCGAGCACTAATCATTATATGGCTCCGACGTATTTCGCACCTCCGCCACAGCCTGGACACATGCACTTAGTGGCACCTTTACCTCGTCCGACTAATGTACCGCCTCAACGGAAGCGTCCTAAATATACCCGCAGTAAAACAGGATGTTTAACATGTAGGGCGAAGAAGATAAAGGTATATTCGTCCACCTTAGCCGCAACGTATCCGACTGATATGCCACCCTAGTGCGACGAAACGAAGCCGAACTGTATGAGATGTACGCATGGGCAACGCGAAGTACCTACCTTCTCTTTGCTTCGACCTTCCTTGTTCCTGATTCCTCCAAAGTGCACTTGGCCGGAAGGCTTACCGACGCGTAAGAAAGCCCCGCCGAAGAAGCAACAGACGCCAACGGATACTCGACCTTCGACGGCCGAGTCTTCGGGAGTCTCTGAGTCCTCGACTCCTCCAACGCGCAACATAACCCCGCCGAAGCAGGAGAGTGGCCCGCTGGAGTTAAGCCTACCCCCTCTCGCATCTACGAGGCGTCACAGGTGAGGTGTTGCGATCTTACTGAAGTCTGCTGTATTCAGTCGCCACCTAGTGAGCCCTATTTGACCCTTCCCGCCTCCGGGTTGATACCTTCGCGGCGACAAAGGTACGGTTCAAAAATCTCAACGCGTGTAAAACGACCCAACAGCCCGTTTCAGTATCCCCACGCTTCAAGCCACCACTCATCATGGATACCCAGCACATTCGTTACATTCTCATGCTTTGCCAGTAATTCCCGAGATGACCTCATCATACCCCTCCCAACGATATAATTCTCAATATTCGACTCCCTTGCACGCGCATTCGCCAGGCATTGATACCACGCATATCTCCTCTCGTCCGTCCTCTAGCAGCAATAGCATTCGTCGTATGGAGCACAATTCACACCCTTCCGCACAATGGCTTCCTAATCATCCTACTCCACCATTAATGCAACCAGTGGACCCCATCGAACCATACGTACGTGGATCATGTCCTGGCTGTTACCGCGCTAATACTGAACGAATTCTACAGTTTCAGACAGTTCAGGAGAGGCAATTGGTGGGGCACCCTTCGTCTAATAATCACCCATTTAGATACCAATGAGAACGATGATTTGTTTTGTTTCTGTCTTAAGATCCGTCACTACTGCGACACGTCGTTAAGCATCATCATGGCCGTCCCGTCTGAGAACCCAGTCGCGGCAGCAAACTTATCCCTTGTGTTCAACCGACCCCTGCAAAGTGATCCCGCGACTGAAGCTTTACGACTGGCGTTGCTAGGTGTCGCAGCAGTGCATCAGTCCTTCCAGCTAGGCCGCGGTGGTACCTCCCCGGACGCTTCTGCCGACATGCTGCATCAAGCTCAAATTTATCGGACGGAGTCCAGGCGTTGGTTAGCAGGTGCTTGTTCTACAGTCGATGGTTTGCAAAGCGACGCTGCGCTCTCAGCGTCGCTGAGTATTGCTCTCATCGATGTGAGTAGCATTTATATATGTCAGTGAGATGCAGCGAGATCAACCATACGCACAATTTCGGTCTCGATAGATATTCACCGGTGGCCACCAGTGGATCACGGATTTAAATGTAGCCAAAAGCCTAGTAAAGACTCGTGGAGGCCCGTCCGCTCTACTGGCTCGACGCATCCCCTCCAGACCGGGCACTGTGACCGGTACTTCGCGTGCCAGGCTGCTGCTGGAGATTCTGGCAGTTTACGATACTTTTGGTATGTTTTACCATTGCCATTATGACAGCAATGTCTAATGGTGAGTGTAGGATGCCTAGCAACAGGTAGAGAACCGACTATCCTGGGCTCTGGTACCGTCGATTGGTGGTCCGTCACGACTTCTTTTGTAGATACTTCTACCATCTGACCACAGGTCTGTAGGCACGACGACTCTATCGCCCACTCTCATATCGAACATGTATTCGGGATTTCGAGAACTCTGGTACCCATCTTGGCCCAGGTCGGTACCCTGAACAGTATTGCCGTTGCACGCTGACGACTTGACGAGCAGGTCGTGTCATCTGTTGCGCGGACTTTGAGTGGTAAATCCCGCATAGTGGAACTTCCAGATGGCGTCAGTTCGCCGGAGAACGAGATGGCGGAATGTACCGCCCTCTATAACCTTCTCGATAACTGGACGCCCCCGGAAGGAGATACTCCCGTACGTGTGCAAACGGGGAACGCCATATACATCAATACTGCCAAGGTAGCTGTTGGCTGCTTCAAATCTAAGTTTTCCCGCTCATCCTATCCCTAGATTGTCCTGCTCAGAGACGTCGGTCTCGTTTCCGCTACTGATCCCTTAGTGCAGCAATGCATGGAGGACATTCTCTCCCTTTGCTTTCGTTGCGCAGAAAATAAGCTCAGCGTCGAGTGAGTCGCAGATTGTCTGTCTGTCCTCGTTGTCTCTCGAACCAGTCATATCTCTAGCTTGAACTGGCCCGTGATCATCGCAGCTTCACATGCCTTCGGGACGTATCGGCGGCAGGTTTTGGAACTCTTAGAGGCTTTCAGGTTCGTGTTCTGTATTTTCTTATTGAAGATATTCGACGGACTAATCACGACTATGTACTCGCAGGGTACAATGTAAGTAAACTACTCCAGAGTCGTGTCACTACCAGCATGGAGTTGACGGTCCCCCAAAGGTTGCTACGAGGTCGACACCGCCGAGCAGATTGTGCTAGAGGTAAGTCTTGAACACTACGGGTATAGCATCGTCGCTGATCGATGAATGCAGGTGTGGAAACGCCTGGATCAAAATCTGCCAGGCGCGAATTGGCGGGCTGTCATGAAAGACCTGAATCTGGATGTACTGATACTCTGAAGCTGCGACTACGACCACCAGGAAGAAGGCCGTTAATTTATTTGCGTTCCCAATCCATCGGTACTATTTCTTTCTCTCCTCATCTCGTTTTTCTCAATGTGCTCGCTGCGAAGTTTACCTTAAAGTTATAATGTTTCAACCTGTACCACTGCAAATAGTCGAATTGTTCTACAACTGCTATGTCCGCCCATTCATCTGTGTCCTTGACTAAATAGATTGTTCAATGTTACGATGACGTTGACTGCTTCGTACTTCTGCCCTGCGTGGAAGAGATCACCGTTATGTGGGGTGCCCGAACTCTTCTCTTGCGGGCCAGCGCAACTGCCTTGATGCGCCCTGCATTACAGTGCTTCGGAGGATCCGTGATTTGATGAAGTGCGGGTGATCGCAGTCGTCAACCCGTCCGGACTCTGTAACTGATGTTGAGCCGGCGTTCATCTCCGCGAAATAGGGAGGATGCCCCGACGAGATTCGCTGCCATCGCCCGGAGCACGGTCGCAATTGAGTTCCGCGGGATGCAGGAAGTAGCAAGAACGATGTTCGTCACCAGTCCAAGCCAGGCATCCTTGAGGTTAACTCTCAGGGTACATTCACGTCATTACATCGACCCGACGAGTGACTACCGAGGCCCCGGATTGACTGACCTATACATCGGAGGAGACACGAGTACAATGTCAGCGCGCTGCTCCACCGAATGAATATAAGCATACATACCGAGCGGCGCAAACCCCCCTTGTTGATTTCCAACATCCCACATGCTGTAATAGTGCTTCAGGAGGCTACCCCCGACGACAGCCACCGGCGTGCGCTCGAGCATGTTGAGGAACGTCTGGCACGTCGACGGGTCGCTCGCGAAGGGACCGACGTTCAGCTCGCTGCTCGGGATCATCAGGGTCGTGAAGGTTGCAGATCTACGACTGCGGGCAGGGAGTCAATTTTGTTGCATGCGATGCCACATGCACCCGGCTCGTCCGCGAAGGGTTGGATGTCCGGGGAGATGAGAGCGTAGATGGCCTATGTAATCGGAGTAGATACTAAGATCAGATGTTTTGGTATGTGGGAAGGAAAGGCATTACCTCGATGGTCGCCGTGTCGAACAAGACGCTGGTTCTGCCACTGTCAAATACGACCTCACGCGTCTACTGAGTGCACGCAGTTTCCCCGTTGACTGAGACACCGGGCGACTCAAGTAGCCAGGCAACGAGAACGTAGGTCAAAGAACCTGTACGTCAGTACCATCAGTAGCCCATTTCGCCCATCGAACAGGGAAACTAACCGTTGGACTTGCTCTCGTTGATCTCACCAATAGTAAGCTCAGCATTGCCGACCGCTAGGGGCGTCAGATACATCCCGAACAGGGCTATTCGGCAGAGGTCACCAAACAGCCGACCATCCTGATGGAACGATTGCTTACATGGCAAGCCTTGATCAATAAACTTAGCAAACAAGCTTTGAGGGCTCAGTCCTAGTGTACTCGAGACGCTATAATATGTCCTACTTAAGAGTGTCGTACGAACCGACCTTGAATGCCATCGAACGGATTAATGGCGAACGTCTCGGTTTGGTTGACAATGAGATACAGTTCCATGTCTTCCGCGACCAGCCCGCCGACAGTCACCGTGTCGCGCCCGCTTTGCAGGTGAAGCTGGTAATTGTCTCCCTATAAGGGATCAACCCTGACTCCAGTCGTGAAGGTCAGCGTGCTGTTGCGCCCCGTGTCGACGAAGGTCGAGCTTGTGATGTGTCGAACTGGTGCTGGTTACGGCACGGCCATCCGCATGCAGTGCCTTTAGGAGGTCAGATCGCAAAGAATAATCCGTAGTCGAGGGCATTTACGCACTGGGAAACTCGAGCGTAGAACTGCCACCTACAAGAGTTACGTATAAGTGGACAGCGAACTAGCAGTATGGAACAACAACCGTTATATTCTGCGGGGGCGTGCCAACTATATGATATGGCGATGTACAGTCATATTCTAATGTATGGTCTACAGACCAGAGATATTGTCATACCATCTGCAAAATCAATTCCATTCGTTCACCTCCTATACATGAGTGGACGCAATTCACTTACTGCAGGTTGGTTCCTCTGGAGAGGTGGTCCAATTGGATGTCCTGAGGAGACAGCGCTCGGCGTTTCGAAGACACCAATGAACCCCGCGGCGCCTTGCGAGCCGCCAGTTGGAGCTTGCTAGGCTAAGCGCCTTGGCTGGAAACGCCAGTGCAGAACGCGAGCAACGTCAAACCAAGACTGGCAATATGATGGCTAGTTCAAGGAGTGCCGAGGGCCGGCAGTCATCATCGTACTCCTGGACCCGACTTCATATATCATATATGCACAACTGTTGGGTACCTTGTCGGTAGGCACGGCGATATCTCCCTCGACATGATTGAATGACTTGATGTAAACAAAGGTTTTGACGCAGCTAAGAGAGTGTCCCAAGGATATGCGGGCACATGGGCCTTGGGGTATACGTGATGGTCTAATGTGCCAGGGCTACGCGAACTGCGGGCAGTCGCAGCCAACATGTGGTCATGGGTGCCTATTCGTCCTCGAATAAATACTGTGGATGCAAGCCCCAGTGTATTTCATTCAAAGACGAGGAGCCCTCTCACCTTCCTGCTTGATGACCAGATCGACCGGTCGAAGTCAAGCAGATGATTGAGCGTCAGGAAGACCATCGGATGTCTATTTATCACCGTGGGAGTTGCACCATTTCGGCCGTGATAAAATGTTGGTCGAAAGGTTAAATCAGCCAATCAGCAGCCGAGGAAATGGCTGTTATTGGCGAATGAATATAATATAATGCCTTTCTTCCCACGATAAGTGTAACCCCCGCCGTGATATGGCCGTCGGCATTGGATTGCCATGCATTTCAGCGCTGTGGCCACTGCGCGAACCACATTCTAGTGACTGACAATGGGTGTGTATAGTCGTCCGAGAGCTTCCCGAGCTTTCATTGATATAGGCCCGTCTTCCCCCAGCATCCGCGGAAGAAATCGTCCTGAATGACCCACACACCCCCGCCCCGAAAGCCATCGAGGCGTTCAACCAAATCCTCCCTACCATAAAGTCCGAGATCATCAAATCGCGGCACCACTGGGACAAGCACGAGCCCAAGATGTGGGCACGCGCCGCGGACATCGCAGACGCGGTCCTCGTCGACTTCACCATCGAGAAGGACCTCGTGCAGGTCCGGAGTGCGCCCACGTCGTACGGCACGATTATCCTGGGCAAGATCAGGCTTCCCGCGGTGAACGACGCAGAAGGCGAGGGCTTCGTGCACGTTAGGTGAGTGATCGGGTGGCATGATGACTTGATCGTCGGTGCTGATGCAGAGGGCCCCCCGAATGATAGGATACATGACCCGCCCAACAGGGTAAGATCCACGCCTTAGTTGGGTTTGAGGTTTAGTTGATGCTTATGATTGTTTCAGGGCACTGAGGACGTGATCTTCCATTCTCTGTGGACGGATGAGGGCAACAAGGACGCGGACGGGCACCCCCGCTCCTGGCGTGCCGTGCAGACCGCGCAGATTCCTTTGGAGTTCTTCAACGAGTAAGCTAGAAGAGGACGGTACACAGCCTGCAGCTGTAAGATTATCATATCTATTACGAGGAAGCCAATTTACAACAATGTACACCCATGTATGTATGGCTATCTGTACGCGCTCGTAACTTCAAGGTATGTGAGCGACTGGTATCGGGTAACAGTGGCACCCATGTTGCAGAAGCTCATGGATTGTCCGGCAAGAGAATTCTATGAGGGTATCTAAGTACACTAGAGCCTACACGACCGGCCACAGCACGCCCAACCCTGGACCGACAGCCAATATCCGTATATTCGTGGGACTGAAGTCAATAGCATACGAAAACAGGCAACCAACTTTCTACTATGTACAACGCCCCACAAACATCCAGGAAGCAGAGTAAAGAACTACAGGGGGCATAGGGCAACCATAAGAGTACGCAGAGCAAAGAAAAGAGAAACGATACGATACGAGATCAAAAACGGGTACATAAATACAAGACTATTGTTGATACACGGATCCTCCCAGCATGTGGACACCCAGCGCGCCCGACGAGGACACCATCGAAGCTTGGTGGAACCAGGATATGTCCACTGTAGACTGAGCTCCATTGCCCCCTACAACGACAGGAACCGACAAAGGGAAGGACGTCGCCTTCATGAAGTCGGCGGCTCCCGGGAACCCGCCGCCGAGCAGCGGGGGGAATTGCAGGAGGTGCGTCGGCACATCCGCATCCGAGAGCGCCGTCATCTGGATCGTCCGATCGCCGTCAGAGGACGACTCGGAGGACGTCGTTGACGATGGCGAGTAGCTCAGCGTCGGCGTCGGAGGGCTGTTATCTTCGACTGGGGCGGCCCACGGCCTCCTCTGGTAGCCGTCCACGTTCGCCGCTGCCCCAGGCCAAGACGAGCAACCCTCGCCATTGGAGAATGCACTCTCGTAAAAGATAGCTGCCAATGAGGACATGTCCGAGGCACCGTTGAAGGTCGCGATTGCATCGTGTGCTGGCTGCCTGGACGCCCCAGAGCGAGGGTTGTAGCCCATCGAGGTTAACATGGAGTACTCTTCGCTAACGGTCCCCGTAGGAAGGGCCGGCACCGTAGAGCTCCTTCTCAGCATATTCGGACGAGGAGCACTGTTGGAAACTGTAGGCCAGGCAGTCCACTCCACGGAACTTGCGTTAAACTGACTCGGCGCAGAGGACGGGTAGGCGTTGAAGCAAGGTAAGTCGGAGCTCCTTGACGGGGGCCCGAGATCGGCTTCGCTCTTGCACCTAGCAACGCCGCGCGCGCCGGCGCTCTCCGACTTCGTCGGCGCCTTCCCAACCCACAGCCTCCACTCGAGCGCATCGCCCAACGCGCGCTCACATCTACCAATCTCCCGGGGGTGGAGACCAGACAACTTGGCCCATGCGCGATTAGAATAGCACTTATCTTGCATGAACTTCGATGCCAGAATGAGCGACGCGAGGAATGCGCGGCGCGGGCAGAGCAGGGGCGACGGCAGCCGCGGGAGAGGTGGGAGCGGCGCCGAGGGACCTTTTGGTTTCTTCTGTATCCCTTCCATGCACGGATGGCACCCGGCGAAGCGAGTAGACGATTCCGCGAGTGATGTCGAGGGTCCAGCGGTAGACTGGGACTGAGGAGCCGCAGCACACCCGTCTTGGATGCGCACGGTGTCCATCACGTCCGTATCTTGCTCGTCGCCCGACGAGGTGGTTGCTGGACTGACGTAGCACTTACTTGAGATTGATTCAAGAGAGACGCCGAGGGCTTCGGCGTCCTCTTCCTCGGGAAAGATGATGCGGCTAGCCGATTCCGACTCGCCCTTGGCTCCCTCGCCATCTCTCTCCTTTCGCATTAACTCGGGGACCTTGCACCGGATGGCTTCGAGGTAGCATAGCGCCGTCTGAAGCACGCACCCGGAAGTCTTGGAACGGCGGAGGACTTCGTGTACGAAATTGCGTAGTGGAAGCAAGTTGCTTTTGGAACACTGGGCGGCCGCTGCCGGGCCACCCATGCACGAGTCGGAAGGAGAGGATGTTGAGGACTGGGAGGAAGGCGAACACGGGGAGGATGGAGAGACTGGAGAAAGAAGTTGTATGTTTCGTGTATGGTGGTGAGAGTGGGAATACTGATTGGTGGTGGGAGCGGTGGTGGTCTGAGAAGGGGCGCAGAACGGGACGCGGGCGGAGGTCTGGAAGACGACTGGGATATCGGCAGGATGCCAAATCTCGCATAACGATTTGACGGCCTGGTCTAGAGACGGTGCAAGGCTTACTACACGCTGGAACAGAACGAATTAGAGCCGGGACGCACCGATGAGACTGGTCAAATATCTGCCTCTTTGCGTGTCCCGATAATGCGCCTCCTTGGGCGCTTGAGATGTGGAAGGAGGATTTGGAAGCGGGTTCTGTTGTCGTTCGAAGTCGCATATAGAAGGGGCATAAGTAGAGGCTGGAGATGTTGTTACAGACGAGGCCGGGGTATTTGGATAATTGCTGGAGACGGAAGACCTTGATGAAACTGAAGGCGACGGAGAGGCGTAAGGCTGCCACCGAGCCCGGGCGCGGGTTGCACCTGGGCCACGATGGGCGAGAGAATGGGAAACGGCATGCATATTCCGGACCGGAGACAAGGCAGAAAGCGGTCGAGAGACTAAGTGGTGATTCGGAGTAAGATAGACTATTCAGTTCATAGCATAGACGGCCGAGTAAAGAATGGTGTTGGTTTCGGTAGACTTGATCCTGAAGATGAACGAGACGAGCAGGGCGCTGGGCTGGGACGGGGCGAAGCGGAAAAGAGATATCGGATTCATTTTGCCTGGCTGGAGTCACTCTGGACGCCCTAGTCACTGACTCGGACGGTCCAGAAAATTACAAAGTCCTGCCGCAGGGCGCGGTAGACTTTATAATAAAAGCGAGCAGGGGGTCTGGTCGAGGCTTAGCGGGTCTTTTGCAGCGTAGACAGGCCGAGCTGGGGACCACAGGAAGCTTCAATCGTAACGGGACGCACAACAGCCACGGGCCTTGTTTATACAACTCCCCGAGGAGTCATTCGGTCTGCCCCGGACATTCCCACGGCTCCGGCACCCACCGGTATGATTCACCCCGCCACATTATTTCCCCTGCTTTGCCTCCGCCACACCGCCATCGTCGTCCGGTGTCCTTTCATGGTCGGCCGACCGACTGCGCAGGACGTCAGCGCAAACATTTTGCGCCGCCCGGATCTCACTACTATGGTTCTGCATTCTGCAATTTTCCTTGAGGCTGCCCGTTTCGCTGGCACAGATGACTCTTGTCTGGTTGTTGATGCATTTCTGGGAACATCCTTGACGTGAAATCAATCTTTCAGGGGGGCCGAGGACTAGGTTCCCAACTGGCCGAATCATCACCCGTAGACCCGCAAAGGCCTCTGTGTACACGCCGCCACAATAGACTTTCTGTCTTGGCCGGAGACCGTCTTCCCCGCTAAGAGCTTGTACCAATTATGCGCCATCCATACCATTCATATCGTTCCGCGTCTATATGCTGTTCGTTCATACTTGCTTCTCCTCGTCACCTGCTTCTATCTTGTATGAGCTTGATATAACAGAAGACCCCGCTGATATTGCGTCACCTCGATTGGACCCACCAAGAGCCTTGTCTGCTAAAGGGATATCGAGGAGGATGCTCGGGATTCACTCGGGAGCACGCGGGGTCCACCGGGACCGGACCGTCTGCATATCTCGGGGCGCTTTCTTTCCCCCGATGCGCCACTCACGCGAAATTGGTCCTTGCCCTGTTAATCTTGGCATCCTGGGAACGGACACTAATAGTACAGTTGCACTGGTGATATGGATGCAATTCTGTGCGTCTCTGAGTCTCATGACAGTGACTCAGTAGATGCGGGAAGATGGCGGGCATGTCCAAGTGGCGCCATAGTTCGGTGTTCTTCCTGCATCGCCTGGTATTCTGCCCATGGCCACCTGTGCTCCAGCACTCTGAGCACTTTCTGTCAAATCTACCTTCTCAGCCAGATGTACCTGCGCAGCTCGAATCGCGCGATAGTGCATAGCAATCGAGAAGTCTGGTAACTGCCTCAACCCAATATGGAACATGAAGTTTTGAAGTAAGCTTGTCCTGCTGGGTTCCCTACCAGAGGACTCCGGGCCCATAGTCGATCCCGCGACGGTTCTTCCACCGCAGCGGGAATAGGACGGGCATAGCTTTCCATGGCTACAGTGTTTCAACTGCGCAAACACGCCGATGAAGCATGGCGAGCGTGAGTTTTGAACCTCCTGTCCGTCGAGTCTGCAACGAACGATTAACATGCGACTTTGTACGTAGCTGCTGTCCATGAGCCCCGGTGCCGTTCGCCAATTGGACGGACTCCGAATTCCAATGTCGATTTCTCTGGACATGTAAAACGTTAGACGGTGTCACACCATTGCGGGCGGGCTCCATTGTTGCTGAACGCTACCTCATGTCCACATTGTATGCTCGTCGCACGGCCGGCCTCGGGTCTTCAAGGCTGTACGGTATGAATGCGTCGGACTCGCAGCACGTCCCACAGCATACGCAAGTGCTCCGACTTGGTATGTCCCTCCCGCTGCAAGCTCCGCATGACTCCTAGTTTCAGCGAGCGACGTCGCCTTGCGCACCCCTCTCGGTCTGCTGCTCCATCCCTCCTACACTCGGCGTGTTAGGAGGCCGTGACGCGGCTCGAGATTCCTGTGACTCAGTTTTACTCCCTGACCCTGGACCCAGCGGAGTGCGACTTCCGTCTGCGTCGGACCTCCGCACTACTGCTGCATTCCACGAACTGGTGCGCTTGCTCATAATTCCTAGACCGGTCCAGGGGTTCGTCTGCGCTGTCTTACGTAGCAAGCTGCTCGTTCATACCACGTTCCCTGGATACGCTGCTCGCGGCCCTCGAAAGTGAGCTCCGCACGGCGCCCATCCTCTAGCCTTCCTCCCCCTTTGTCCAGCTCAGAGTCTGCAGTCTGACTGGAGATGTCTCTGCCGACGCGTCACCAATGGCAGCCTTCGGATTCGATCAACACGATCGGTACATCGATCGTGTGAGTCGTGTGGCGGGTGGCTGTGCCCTTCGCGGTGCCGACGTGTTTCCCGCTCCTCTCCTATTCGAGTCACTCTTTGTGGGCTTGCACTTGTGGGTATCGCGGGCTATCGTGCTCGCTCCTGTTGCGGGTTTGATATCTATCGATGGGGCTAATTATTTTGGTTGTCTCTGCTATTGTGACTTGCTGGACCAGTGATCTTCCAGAACATGCATTTCGTGCGGCGGCGGCTTCTGTATGTGGTCTAGCACTACTATGATTATCATGCGCGTGCTGCTGCTAGTGGAGGGCGCAAGGAACGGTCTGCATAAGTATAGTTATTTGGCTTAGTTTACGTGAGGTACTGTAAATCCACGTAAGTTAGAGACGTCCCTGTCAATGAAGTTCCAAGGGAAGAGGTCGAATCATAAGTTGTTCTTGCTTTCGCAATTGGCGGTCTTCTTGCTAGGTTTCCGTTTCGTTTACGATACGAGTCCTCAGTCAGAATCCGTCGCACTACTGTGAGGCATGGCCGGATTATGATCCTTCTGGAAATCAATCATGTCTATTACTCCGTGTATTTCACACTTCCATGAAGACATGGCGAGATTGCCGTGGCGGTTGACATCGTAAATCGTCCCTGGGCTGCGCCGCGCATCCAGTACCACCAACACATCAAATATCTCCAGGTGCTCTTTCAGCTCGATGCGCCCACCGTCTCAAGAAATGAATCTGACATCTTGTTATGCGAAAAAACCGGTATCGTCGGGTTTTCCAATGCGCAGTGATTCCTGTCCGAATGCAAATCAGCGACACGACAAATCGCGAGAACGTCTCTCCTGGCCCGATACCTTCGCTGGCGAGCACGGGTCTCGGATCTTTCTCTTCTGCGCGTATGCCATACCTCCGGGGCCATGGATCACGGCCAGGCAAGATTATCACCTTAGTGGGTCTTGTCTATTATCTTGCAACTTTCCAACCGGGTGTGGCTGCGGTGCCTGATGATAATATTGGATGGCACATCTCACCTCAGCGTTCATCGAGGTTATGACATTTCCAGTAGATCTGTTTACGAGATCTCGGGGAGATTGGCCTTCTGCTTGACGAACAACGGTCATATGGAGAGCAGGACGATACGACCTTAGCTTCAGCCTTCTGTACTGGGCTTGGGTTATCCAGCTGGTCGGATACTACGCATCTCTCACCAGAACTGAGTACCATTAAGCAGGTGCTTTTCCACCGGTACCGCGCCCGCGGCGCTTGTCCCATCGGAAGGCGTTGTTGACCGTCCGTGTCTTGGTGAGTGTCAGCAGGATGACGCGCTTGCTCCTGTCTGACCAACTTCCGGAGGCCTTCCCTGAGATACTTCAGGTAAGGTATTCGTCGCGCGGCGACCAGCTGCTGATGCACGAGGATCAGTTGACGCGTTCGCTCGGCCTGATTGTGCGGAGGGGAAGTCACTGACATGCCTCCGGTGCCGCAGTAATCGGTATGTCCGAGGTCGTACGATATCACAAGGGTATGCCCCTTGATAGTTGGTCAAGTCGGCGTCCGTGTGTTAATGTGTACCGGGGAATACTCACTGTATATCCAGACTGCTATGTCAGTGTGGCGTCAGCCCTCAGGTTCTCTATACCATAGTCACGTCAATGGGCATACTATCGTATATCATTTCTCATTGGCTCTCACCTGTCCGCTATCTTCTTAGGAAGCTGATTACGCTCGTTGTGAAATACCGGACGTGGAGGGCATTCCTGCACTATCCTTAGGAAAGGTTACGTCCCTGATCTGGCTTAGCACGAGATGGACATGCAGGGCTTATTCTACAGGTGAACTCACCTCTGTAGCTGGTCATGATCATGTAGAACGTCCGCGGGCCTTACTGCCAGCCACAAATAAGGCGCCCATGTAGAGCGCTGGAAGGTTTTTGCATTACTCACGTCGTCCCTCTCTGCTCACTGCTCAGACGTCAACGTCGCGCCGTCCGCGTCCGTCCGTGTCCAACCAGTATACGATACTATCGTCGTGCAACAACGTGCAGGTCGTCCCAATACTCTTGGGTCTTCAAGTTGCCACAGAGAATGCGGTTCCTGAGCCCTGACGCAATACAAGGATTCGGAATCGGGGTTCTTTCAGGTTCTCTCATGGGAAAGAAGTCTGAATGGAGATCCAGCCATGCGCAGCAGGACCAGGATCTGGAACGCGCCCGTCATATATAGGCATTCGTATATGGCTTTACAAACTTGGATGCTTTCTCCTCGACCCTCTGCGCTGACCGTCGCTGGTCTGAGGTCTCCGCTCTCGCCAAGTTGCCCAGCGCGCAGCACATGCCCTTTGTCATGCCGCTCATGCGACGGAGCATCATGCCCGCGAAGGAACCTCAAACGAATCCGATTGGCCGAGAAGGCTCAGAAGCGCACCGCATTTACCCTACAGGGTATTTACCGACTCTGGCCTGCAGCAACCAAAATCCCCCACAAATTCATCCCTATACCTGGAGCCAGTGCTTTGCTGGCCGTTCCGTTCGTATACCTGACCTCAGTCACTCTCTTTTCTCCCCACTGTCGTTTCGATGAAGAACTTTGGATTACTCGTTCTCCTGACCTATGTGGTCGCGGTTACGGCTGAATTGACTCATCACAATCCGCTGGCGCGTCTCGAGAGGCGTCATAGCACGCTGCACAGGCGCAGGAGCACCCCCGCAGAGCGATGCGCGAGAAGAAATTCAAAACCCTCCAGTGCTAGCATCAACGTGAGTTGGTATGCCTAATCTACCCCTGTCAGGGTGTTATGTCAGCCTTTAATTGTATGCCGCTCTGTTCTGTTCCTTTTTCTGTGTAACGTCCGAAGGATGTCAATTATTCAACTTTCTAAGTCGACCATTCAAAAAGATGGCCCCTAATAATGAGCTCCTTGTTCATGCTTTTCACGCCGTAGCACCCTTGGGAACGCATATATGATGCTGATACTTTTATCCCCTATACATAGGTTAACCAAGCGATTGTGAAGACTAGCGCTGCACCTCCCCCTCCTGCGGAGACGCCTAAACCCGCAGACCCTGCCCCCGCACCCGGGCCGGTCCAGGGCCTCATCAACGTGAAATCCAACTGTGGGCCCAGCGGAGCTTCCCGTGCGTCAAAGCCTTCCCGCAGTTGGTCTCGCTAGTTGTATTGACCGGTTCCCTCTTGCAGAGGATGTAACGCAGTACAGTGGACCCAATGGCGGTATCGACTGGCTCAACTGCGGTCTCAACGACGGCGGCTGGAACCCTCCGTACATCCGCGTGGAGGACGTCATCACTATGGACTTAGGCGAAGCTATCAAGGACCCTAACAGCGCATTCAAGGCTTGTTCGGAATATATTCCAATTTTCCAGAAGTATGCTGGAGAGTTCGGTGGTATGTGGACACTCCGCAGGTACTCGCCTTCTTGACTGAAAGGGTACGACAGTCCCTGCGATCATGGTGGCCTCTTTCGCCATGCAGGAGAGTGGATGCAACCCCCACACCGTCGGTGGTGCGGGTGAGCAGGGATTGATGCAGCTGACCTGGGACAAGTGTGGGCAGGCGCCCGGAGGCAACTGCCAGGACGTCGTAAGTGCTCGTCCCTAAGTTCCGTGCTCGATCACGCGGTAAGATACCTGGTGTGTCTAGGACTACAACATCAGGACCGGTACCAAATACTTCTCGGACACGCTGAACGCCAACGGTGGGGATCTTCTCAAGACTATTGCCGGTTACAATGGGTGGTCGATCAAGATGACCTTCGTGCGTGTATTTCCTTGATTGTGTCCTCCATCTCTCCTGACCCGCGTGCATTCTAGGACCAAGCTACTGCCGCCGGATGGGGCCCGTGCTGCCGCTGCCAGAACAACTTGGACTAGTACGTCATCAATATCCTATTCCATGGTTACTCATCTTCACCGGTCTTTTTGCGATGCCTATCAGCCTTCACCAGTTCCTGAACGGATGGTGCCAGAACATCAACGCTTACTCGCACAACCCTCCCCTCGGAAAGTACTTCAACCTGAACAAGTGCGGTCCTCCGGGTGGACCAAACTAACACAGCCTGGCGCTCTCCCTCCATCCCCCCCCCCCCCCGGTTGTGTGCCCATACGGGACCGGGTACCCACGCTGATTCGAACTGCCTGCCTGTAACATTATCTTGCCTGCATACTTCCCTTTGATATACCCTGCAAGCGGAGCATCCTTCATCATTCTAAGTTCCCTGTGTACTACACCCTAGTTGGTAATCCAATGGAATGTTTCCCTTCGATGCGAAATGCCTTCTTAACCCGTGGCTGTGTGAATCTTAAGCTTCAGGCCTCAGGATTTACCGTTACCCATCGTACATTCTGCATTCACACAGCTTCACTAAGTCACTGACAAGCCTACGTCAAGAGAGATACTTCTGCTGCCTATCTGATAATTGACCCGGGTCCGCTTTCCAATTGCAACTCGGTGTCATAGCTGTCTGTCTACCTCACGGGACTACAATTGCATACAATGAGTGCATCCGAGTCCTCCGCGTCATCGCCTCTCGATTCCACTCCGCCGTCCTCGGCTCCCCCAAGCCCTGCTCTGTCAGCGCTTTCCTTGAAGGACATTACGGAGGAGAGCAAGCAGGAGGCGGCGAAGATCAAGGGCGAGGCCAACAAGGCGTTCACGAGTCTGTATACGCGCAATGGCACAGCTTACCCAGGCGCGACGCTGACGAGCATAATGATATTACAGGTCACGACTATGTCCAAGCTGCTAAGCTGTACGGGCAGGCGATTGAGCTGAACCCGGCGGACGCGACGCTCTGGTGTAACCGAGCGTATGCGCGGATTAAGTTGGAGGAGTACGGCTACGCATTGACAGATGCGGGTACGTCTACGCTGCGCCGTTCACATGTGGATTTGGTTTATTGAGCTAGCACCGTAGCCAGAGCTATTGAATTGGACCCGAAATATGTGAAGGCATACTATCGGTGCGGGGGATCAGTCAGACGACCTTATAACTTGTCTTGTCTCACGAGGCGAAGAAATTAGGAGAGCGACGTGCTACTTGCAGACGCTAAAGCCGCAGCTGGCTGTCGCAGATTTCAAAAAAATATCGGCACTGGAGCCACACAACCAGCTCGTCAAGCAGCAGCTGGAGACCACACAGAAGTTGGTGCGGAAGATCCAATTCGAAAAGGTGCGTCTCTATAGTTGCCTGCTTTCGTGGCGTAAATTCCAACTTGACGAACCTCTTGTAAGGCAATTGAGGTCGAAGAGGAGAAGAATGCCGTGGAGAGATGTCTTGAGATCATTGCGGAAGGCGGATGCGAGATGGATAAGGACTATACAGGCCCGAAACTGCCAGTACTGGACGGAGGGAAATACGGCATCAGCCTGGAATTCGTTCATGGAATGATCCAGTGGTTCAAGGACGGGAAGAAGCTGCCTCGGAGATACGTTTGGGAGATTGTGCTCGGCGCGCACTCGCACTTTGTTCAGGAGGAAAGTCTGGTCAATCTGGACCTGCGCGAGGGAATGACGTGCGACGTGATTGGCGATGTTCATGGTGCGTCTTCAAAGTAGAGGAATACTCTTGAATATGACCTAATATGATAATAGGTCAATACTACGACATGCTGCACTTGTACGAGTTAACAGGCGAGCCTACCGAGAATCACTGCGTGTTGATGAACGGAGATCTCGTGGACCGCGGTTCCTGGTCCATCGAGGTGATCCTGACCGCATTTGCCTACAAGTGTAAGAACTTCCAGCGGTGATGTTGCACCGACTGACCGATTGTTCTAGGGCTGTATCCGAAGACAATGTTTATTAATAGAGGGAACCATGAAGCTAAAAGCATGAACCAGCAATACGGATTTGAAGGTGAAGCCAAGCACAAGCACGGAGAACAAACGTACAAGGTCTGTGATCTTTCCGCTCCTGTATGATCCATAACTCACCGCAACGTCGCAAGTTATTCGCGCACGTCTTCACCGCTCGTGAGTGACATGGTACAGCCGTTATCCTCCAAGTTAATGTTGCTCCAGTCCCCCTGGCCACGCTGGTATCCGCAACCAAGCCGCCATCGAAGAAGGACAACTCGATCTTATCCCCTCAGGGTCTTAGAAGATTCTTCGTCGTACACGGTGGTCTCTTCAGCAAAGACGAAGTCACGCTGGACGACATCCGTAACATCCAGCGGATAGGCCAACAACCCGGTCAAGAAGGCATCATGTGTAAGCAATCTTTTTGTTCTGTCTCTCGAGCATGACCTGACAAGAGCCGCTCTTCCGCAGGCGAGCTCCTATGGACAGACCCGCAGGAGCTACCTGGGCGTGGACCGAGCAAGAGAGTAAGTGCTACTTACGGGGATCGACGAACCGGAGACTGAGTCGCGTCTCTTCTATTCAGGGTGTAGGTATTGCCTTTGGCCCCGATGTCACCAAGCGGTGGTGTAATTTGAACGGCGTGACGGGCATCATTCGTAGTCACGAAGTCCGCCAAGGTGAGCAACCTCAAGGATTTCTTATTGGCTTCGCCAACGCCGCTGGTTAGATGGATATGCAATCGAACACGATGGGCTGTGCACGACAGTGTTCTCCGCACCCAACTACGTCGATCAGGCAGGCAACAAGGGTGCATTTGTAAGTCCCTTCCCCCCCTCAAGCCCTCTCTGGCACTCATCCCCCCTGTAAAGATTCGAATCGATTCCGAAGGTAATCGAGAATACATCCAATTTGACGCCGTACCCCATCCGCCGATGAAGCCCATGGCCTATGCTGGTGGCTTGTCGAATCTAATGATGATGTGAAGCGAACACGTCTCGAACGAAACCAAGTGCGAGATTATAGGCTGCCTGTGACGATTGCTCGCCCTCGTATCCACCGCCGCTTTTCAGGCGCCAGTCAAAGCGGTCAATATCACAACAACATCAGAGTGTAGTGGTTTGTCGTTCGCAGCCCGAGCATTGTATTGTTACTGCTGTATCTATATTGGCAAAAATTGCATGGTGTAGTCCGGTCAGAAGCGATTTCGCGCTGTATGCCGAGTTCACGCTGGGAGTCGTTGGGTAATAGCTTAGACATGACCACCACTAGAATAATAACGAAGCAGACAAGACTCCATACAAATCGCCCGACAGAATACAAATGGAGATACACGGCTCAAATTTCAATTGGCTGTCCATCGACGTCGTCCTCCATCGGCTCCCCATCCACGTCTTCCGCCAATGGTTCCCCGTCAACGTCGTCCATAGGCACGCCATCGACATCGTCTTCAATGGGTACCCCATCAACATCATCATCTATGGGTGCGCCATCCACGTCACTGCCCTCGTCCATCGGTTCGCCGTCGGAGTCAGGAGCACCAGCCGGTTCTGTGGCTGGCGCTTCAGCGGGCTTGAATGCATTCGTCTTGAATTTGGGTACAGGGACGGCCACATCTCGCTTCTCCTCGCCAATGGACGCACTCCTCTCCTCCTTCGGCTCTTCCCCTTCTAGCGTAGTACCCTCCAGCCTAGCCCGAAGGCCCGCAGTGAAGTCACCGGGGAACAACATCCAGTCGTCCCAGATATCGACAATCGTCGTGATTTGTTTTTTGAATGTCTCGGCGGTGATCCGGCCGGGGAATGAATGGTAGATCGTGGACAGGTGATCGAAAACGAGGCCTAGTCGCGATAAGAACTCCTGGCGGAACTTCCAGGCCCCTGGTACGGGCACCGCGGAATTGTGCAGGATATCGCAAATGAGGTGTAGTCTCGCTACCTTCCGAGGCACCGGAGTACCATCGACTAGAAGCGACGATACGATAATGTCGGCGACCTGATGAAGAGGTACGAAGGGGTCAGTAAAGTGGAGAACGATGAGTAGAGAGACTTTGCGTACATCTGCAGCGGCTTCAGCATGATCCAGGCTGAAGGCCATGCACCTGGCCAGCTCGCCACGACGTCCCGTAAGAGCACGTAACATGGCTTCGAAGCGTCTCCTAGCAAGCTTCCCGAGACGATTCTTATTACCGTTTTCTCGCTCCGACTCTTCCGCAGAATCGGTGGAGTAGACGGAATTATAACCCTGCGGGTAATTAGTTGGCATAAGAACACGACAATAAAGGGACCAGCACACACATCGTCATTGAACTCGGGCTCGGAATCTTCACCTTTCTTGAGCAATGAACGGTAGTACCTGTTCTTGCGATGCTGGATAACGAGTTAGGACCGGCTGTGAAACCAGTGGCAAAATAAAGCCGCACATTTTTGTTGACCAGAAACGCATACTTGGGATTATGCTTCTCCCTTTCCTTCAGCGTCTCCTCGTACTTCCCGCCATGACCTCTCACTTCCGTCGCGACATTCCTAATGAACTGGTCCGTGACAGGATCCTCTTCATCGCTAGCAAGCCTGCGGTCGCGTTCATAGGGACTGTACGACCGGCGGTGATGGCGTGGAGAACGGCTACGGCTGTCGTACTGACGAGAGCGACTGCGGGACCGCGACCGATATCGGCGGCGCTCCCTCGAACGGCTCCTGCTGTAGCTCCTCGACCGACTGGGAGAGCGCCGAGAGGAGTGGCCTCGATCTCTGTCCCTCGATCGCGAGCGAGAGCGGGAGGCCGACCGTGGCGACCTGCTGCGGCTTCTATCTTTCGTATGTGAACGGTCCACGACTGGCAACGGCAGTCATTAGACGATATACGGGAGATCTGCTTCGTTGAAGGGCGGCTTACCGTACATTGGCTTCGAAGCGACCGGAACCGCTTTGCTCCAGCCCACTCGAAGGACTGAGCCTCCCCAGTCGAATCCATCCAACTCGCGGAAGGCAGCTTCGGCATCTTTGCGCTTCATGAAGGACACGAACCCGCTCAGGCCGGCATTGCGATTGCGGCGGGAGGCGGTCATATCGGCGCCTGGCCCTATGGTATTGTCGCCCCTTGGCCACATGATTTTCACCTGAACGGTAGGGGGTCAGGAGATAGGCGACAGCAACATGAGCTATAAGGACGTACAGAACCAACTGGTCCACATCGCGCGAAGAAGGTCCCGAGGGACTGCTCAGTGACGTGTGGAGGCAGATTGGCAACGAATATATTCGTGGTCTGAGAAGTCCATCAGATAAGCACCTTTATCGTATGTCGGGGTACGTACTTCGGGATCACCACGGTCTTTACTCCCACTCTGCCCTTCATATGCTGCAGAACATTCGTAAGGCGGTGAAGCATAAGAAAGGTAACCACCAACCTGCCAATGCCGTGACTGACCTTCCATTGGCTGTATGGATGCGTGATGAATCTTCTGGGAGTGACATAGGTAACGACAGCACGAACCTCTGCGTGAATATCGAGCTTCACGTTCAGCTTGATCCCTTCATGGGGTGATTAGCTATGAACGTCCGGCAATGAGAGATAGTCACCTTTTGATTTCCTCCAAGAAGGCATCCATAGCACGCTTTCCTTTGGGTCTGGATACGGGAGGAGGGGACGGTGTCTGGGAAAACAGGAGTCAGACCTTCAACAAAACCTCAGCGGGTCTCTCACCTTGAAGTCATCTTGACCAAATGCTCGAGTAGGACCCCTAGAAGAACCTTCCGCCTTGCTCTTCAAGGACGGCGCGTAGGTCGTCCCCGAGTCCGCCTTGACGAACGCCGAACCGGATTTCCTCCTACCAACATCCTCACCCTCGAAAGCGTCTATGAATTCCGCGTAAGCTCTTGCAGCATTCTCCTCTTCCTCCCTCTTCTTTGCTTCGGCAGCCTCCTTCTCTTTCTCCCTGCGCGACTTGCGCACTGTTCCCTGCGTATACGCGGAGACCTTGTGGTCGTCGACCGCCTTTTGCTAGGGTATTCAGCGGTGAGTTAGCGGAAGAGGCAGGAAATGAGCTCAGTCCGTCGCACTGGAAACGGATCGTCTTCGTCGTTGTCAAAGAACGCCGCAAGCTTCGACTTGGTCTTGTCCATTGCCACAGAACTAGAGAAGAGCGGTGCCCGATGCACTCAGAGCGGTGTAAGGCTGTAGGCGTGTCTGGTCTCAGGGAGTCCCTCACGGTCCCAATGTTCACACGGCGCTGTGCTACCACGTCAAGTAAACGAGCGCTTGCTGTAGCGTCCCTCACCAATCCATCCCCCTCTCTAACTTCAGAATATCGGCGACGCTGTTGCAGACGTTGCAAAGTCGTTGCCCAGGTCTAATCCGTCAAAGGCTTTTCGCTTCCGGACAACCGTACACACTTTACTATGGCCCTCACAGCCGCTGACCTCCAGGTACGCTATTCGTTTCCTTCTATATTGACCGGAATTTCGGGTACCCACAGAAATGCTTCTTGGTGTCATTTCACGAGGCTTTGGACTTTCTCTGGGCTTTTGGTATTGTCCGTTGGGCACTGGGGACAGCAGGGTGGATCGCCCACAGTACCGGAACGCGTTGGATCTGCCTTCATGACGTCTTCTCCCATAGTCTTCGCGCCTGCAGGCAATTCATTCTCTTCTTGCACTATTTTGAGGGCTTATTTCAGCACGGACTGATTGAATGCCTTATAGAGGAGGCATGAGCTCGAAGGCGCCCCGGATCCTTTCCCAGCTTTAGGCGATTCTAGTGCACCTGCCCCGGCGCGTCCCATCGGGTCTCCCAATGGTGAACTCAACACCGACTCCCAAGAGGCGTTCCCGTCCTTGGCACCGTCCACTGCACCGGCAAAGCAGCCCGCGACCTCTGCCTGGGGCGCTGCCGCAGGTCCTCGCATCAAGACCACCACGGTGTCGGATTCCATCACGCTCTCTGCCATTGACCTCTCGACCGTCGGCAAGGATGGCAAACCCACTACCCTTAGCGAGGTCATGAAGCAGGTCATGCAGAAGTTCAAGGTCAAGATAGATGCGTCTACGAACCAGAGGACCAAGCAGACGACCTTCTTCCTCAAATCGGAGTCGCAGAAGGAACTGGACAAGGCCAAAAGGAGCCTGACGGCTCTTCTTAGCCCTGTCGTGAGTTGTTCGTGCTTACATATATGCTGCAAATGAACGTTGGATCAGGTCTCCTCGGTCATCAACGCACCGGCGTCTACCATTCCTACCGTCATTGGGCCCAAAGGGGCGACCCTCAAGCAAATCCGTGACCAGACTGGCGTCAAGGTCGATATCCCCCGCAGGGATACCGAGGTCAATGGCAAACCTAACGGACACGCTGCCGCTGCCGAGGATGAGGATGAGGAACCGACCATTCCGATCACCGTCACAGGACCACAGCCCTTGGTACTGGAAGCCCAGGCCATGCTTAATGCTATCATCGCGACCAAGACTTCTAAGGCTACTCAGCGCGTGCGCGACATCCCTGCGCACATTTTGCCTTTTGTCAAGGCTCGTCGCGAATTCTTCCAACAGGCCGCTCAGGGTGGAGAAGTGAGCATGAATCTCAACGCAGCTGCTCGCGAGATCACCGTCAGCGGTGACCGCGAGGCCGTCATTCGCGTCGTGGAAACCATCAAGAGCACCATTGAGTCTTTCCGGACAGGTCTCACGTCTTTCAAGATCCAGCTCCAGAAGAGGCAGCACCGTCTTCTCGGTGGAAAGGCTGTTGACGAGATCATCGCGAAGAGCAAATGCTCCGTCGTCATCCCTGCACCGGAAGACCCTAGCGAGGAGGTCACCGTCTGGGGTCTGGGTCAGGATCTCGCCAGCGGTATGCAGGCTGTGATGGAGAAGGCGAATTCACAGTACATACACGAGTTCCCTCTTCCTGGTCCTATCTCCCTCTCTAGGCAGTACTTGACGTATATGACTCGCGTTGGATACCCGAAGACTTTGAGTGCCGCGCACCCCGGTGTATCTGTGTACACCACCCCTGAGGCGCTGGTTCCGAAGGCTCAGGTCCTGCATGTCGAGCTTATCGGAGAGAAGCCTGCCGTCGACGGTGCTGTGAGACAGGTGTCTGAGCTCATGGGTAAACTCATCGGCGCCACTAAGGAGATTCAGATCGACTGGCTCCTGCACCGCGTTATCCAAGGCAAGAACCCCAAGAAGTTGGTTATCTATGGTATGACTGGCCAAATAGAAACTAATCAGACATTGCAGGTTCAAGCAGTTCCATGAGGCGCACAACGTTCGCGTCTTTTTCCCTCTGGAGTCGGCTGAGCAATCTTCGGTCCTTTTAGTTTACGACCCCACGTCGCCCAACGCTTCCCCCAACCCGGTCGAGAAGGGAAAGCATCTCGAGGACGTCGAGGCAGAACTGCTCAAGTTGGCTCGTGACGCTGCCGATGTCAAGAGCAAGACCATATCTGTAGAGAAGCGCTGGCACGACGCTGTCGTCGGACAAAGCGGGACTACCTTGAATGCGTATGTGCTCTGGCGTTTTGTATCTTCGTCTCACGGAATGGATTGCAGGATCATCGGCGAGGACAAGACGCTCTCCATCAAAGTCGGTGCTGATGCTGGCGATGCGAGCACCGAGGACATCATATTGATACGTGGTGCCAGTGCTGACGTCGAACGCGCGGCGAAGGAAATCTTGCAGATCGTGGAGAACGCCAAGAACGACGAGATCGTCAACAGCTACGTGAGTACAGGTTACCAATGGCCTGCTTACGCAGCATCCTAACATTCGGCCTCTTGGCATAGTCGACCGAATTCGAGATCGACAGAGAGTATGTAGGACGTATTGTCGGTGCTGGCGGTGCTGGCGTCAACAGGATCCGTGATCTGCTCGGTGTCAAGGTCGATTTCAATGACGAGGCTGATGAGAAGGAGAAGGAGGGAAAGAAGAAGAAGGCAGCTCACTCCAAGGCCAAGGTCAAAATCACTGGCCGGAAGGAGAATGTGGAGGAAGCCAAGAAGCGGATCCTCAGCCAAGTCGAGCGTCTTGTAAGTGGACTTGTTGATTGCTGTGGCTCAAGCGCTCAACTTCGTCCAGGCGGATGAAACCTCAGAAATCCTCAAGATTCCCCACCAATACCACTCTGGCTTGATCGGTTCAGGCGGGAAGTATGTCCTTCGCCTTGAAGAGAAATATGGTGTCAAGATCACTTTCCCTCGTGATACGGGCGATGCTGATGGCAAGACCAGAGAGAACCTCAAGGCCGACGAGGTTCTAGTCAAAGGCGGTCGGAAGGGTGTCGCCCAAGCGAAGTCCGAGCTCCTGGAGGTATGTCTTGTCTGCGGCTCCGAAGGTACATGACATGACCCGTTCTTTGTCAGGCTGTCGAATTTGAGAAAGAGAACAACAATATCGTCAAGTTCACTGTTCCTACTCGCGCTGTCGCTAGGATCCTTGGCAGAGGTGGAGCCAGCATCAACGAAATCAAGGACGCCACCGATACGCAGATCGATATCGAGAAAGGACCTGACGACGTGACTCACATCCAATGCCGTGGTACTAAGAAAGGCATCGCTGCTGCGAAGGCTTCCATCTTGGAAATCGCGAACCAGGTCGGAGAAGAGATTACAGCCACGGTCCACATCGAACCGAAGTATCATCGGAACATAATCGGTGCTGGTGGGCAAGGCCTTAAGGATCTCATCGCTCGCTGCGGCGGCCCTGCGGACCAAAAACAGCAAGCAGGTCTTATCCGTTTGTGAGTGATTCCCCGTCGAGTTACCTCCTCGTCTGATCATTCATTACAGCCCTCGTCAAGGAGAAGCGGTCTCCGACGAAGTGCTGCTCCGTGGTGACGGCAAACTCGTGAAGAAACTCCAGGCTGAACTTGAGAAGATTGTCGCAGTGCTGAGAGACCGGGTAGTATTGGGTGTTGAGATCCCTGCCACCCAGCACCGTGCTCTCATCGGCCGTGGAGGCGCTCACTTGAACGATCTGCAGAGCCGTACGGGCGCACAGGTCCAGTTCCCTGGTTCTCGATCGTACAACCAGACCGGTGAACCTGAGAATGCTGAGGAGCTCAAGGACGTCGACCCTGCTAACCTGGTGAAGGTAACTGGTCCACGTGCAGCCTGTGAGAAGGCTATCGAGGAATTGAAAGTATGTAGCCTTGCTCGTCGGCGTCTTTATTGCTCATAGTACTTCAGGCGAGCGTTAAGCCTGCCGCTGCTGCGTTCGAATCTGTCCAAGCCGTTGTCAAGGTGCCCCTGAAATATTATCACTTCGTTACTCAGCAAGGCAACCTGTTCCGGACGCTGCGCTCTTTCGGCGTCCATGTCGAGCAGTCTAGGCAGCCAACGAAGCCTGGGGTGCCCCCGCAACCTCCTCGGGAGGGTTCGACTACCGCTCGTATCGACGATGTGGAAAGCACCGGGACCACTGAAGTACAGTGGCAAGTGGTGCCTAACTACGAGAATGCGGAGGATGGCGAGTCCGAGTGGACTCTGAAGGCTCGTGATCAGGCAGGTCTTGAAAAGGCCCAGAAGACGATCGAGGAGGCGATTGAGCATGCCAAAGAAATGACTCACGTCGGTTTCCTCACTCTTACTGATCGTTCTTCCTTCCCAAGGTATGTATGTATGAGTTTCCAATGTGGAGGACGCTCATATCGTTTCCATCTTAGGATCGTCGGTGCTAAGGGTGCCAATGTCGCCCGCCTACGTGCGGAAAGCGGCGCCGACATCATTGTTAGTCGGGAAAACAACACCATCGTCATTATTGGTTAGGCCCTTTATCCTGTCCATCTTTTCTATCTCTCATGGGTATTTCCTAGGTTCTGAGAGTGCGCTAGAGACCGCTAAAGAAGCCATCCTGAGGATGGCTGCACCTCGGGGGCGAGGACGTCAAAATGATTACTAGTCTGGTTAATTAAGCATTATAATGGATACATCTATGGGTATGGTGAACTGGTTTGTGCTTCCTTTATTGCATATTTGTCTGCGTGATGTCAATATCGCATTGCTGTCCTGTTATACCGTAAGCATCATGAGTTCGGGAGGATCATGGACTCACAACCAAAACAAAAGTTGACGTTAGGCTGGGTCACCACTTGGAGTCTACTGTAAGCTTTAAAAAGCAAACATTTGCTGGGACCATGTATTATGGAACGATCGATATCTTGATTTCACATTTCACATGTGAAGAAGGAATTATAACGATTATAACAATTATCTGTTGCATTGAGACATAACGCAGGTCTACTACAACCACTTCAGGTCCTCCATAACATCCTCCATCCGCCCACAAAGTTGAGAAGCGAGATCCATCAGACAAACACTCCTCTCGCTGGCAGACATCCACCGAGCTCAACGAGCCCAACAGAAAAACCCCGCCAAACGTCCTCGAGTTCCTCCGAAGAGGAACATGTTCTCAGTCATACGAGGGAGTGCGGATGTCATCGAATGGATTTGAAGGATGTGGCATGTGTAAACATGCGAGACTCGAGTTAGTACCTATAAAATAGATCCTAGCTGAGTATGTTCTGAGGAAACAGCAATGTCCGAGGGCGCCTTTTATGCTGCCTGGTGTTTAGGGCAGGCTGGAAAATTGTCCGGGTGAGGAGAAGACCGGCCGATTCGCGGCATCTCCGCGGAGTATCTCAAGTCCGCCCCGGTCCGCGACCACTGGAGTAGCGCGAAGGGCCGATGCATCTAGATCCCCAGTTCCTATGGTTGGCTCTCAGCCCTTGCTCCTCAGTTCAATCTTGAGAGGGCTCAGAGAGAGGGCATAATGAATCAAGTGCAATATTCGAAGATTCCATTGTTAAGCATAGAATTATACGATTTCGTGGTATATTATATCGTCAGACAACCCTCCCTTAGCCCCTCCCCCGCGTTGTCAGGAGAACCGAGGAACAGTCAAGCTTGCTTCTCGCCCTTCTGACCTTGTGACTTCCGGAACTCTGTCATTGCTTGTCTCCTCATGAACCACTGGAACAAAGGGATCGTCAAACACGAGACGGCGATCCATGCAAATAGAACACCGAAGTTCAGCCCAACTGCACTCAGAATTAGAATTGTGCTCTAAAGCGAGGAGATGATTACAGCAGACCTTGGTTCCTGGTACTGAACACGATGGTTCTGACGGCGCGTGAGACATTGTAGAACGGGGCGGCGTATCCGTAGCGGAAGATCGTAGGCAGGAGCTCGATCGGGTAGTATGATACGGAGACATTGGCTGTAACGTCGTGGTTGGACTTCAGCGCACCCCCCTTGCATGAGATGTTGAACACATACCGATTAGCCATAGGACAAGGAAGAAGGGTATGAATTTCGGCGTCAAGATGGTCACCAGAGCCTCCACTGCGAGGCCACTTTTACAATGCATTACGTATCAACTCCTGGGCCGGTATATCAAGTAAGGCACTTACAGAGCGGTCATCCCTACCCAGGCTAGCATCCAGAATGCCACAAAACCACCATTTCCGAATCTACTGTCACCTATCAGACGCGAACACGCTTGAGACAATGGGACGACTCGCCTGCGATTAAATGGTACCTTGAAGGCAAGGCTGACAAGTGCGTAGTTTAACTAGGATGTGTATGAGGTTTCTAAAACACGATGAATTGCAGCTATTGCCCGCTTACCGAGATCAAGAAGTAAAGAGATGGAGGAACGATTAGACGAAGCTTGATGAGAGAAGACAGTTTGAGCCGGCGATCGAGGCCAGATACCATAACGCGCGCGGTAAAGTTCATTAGCTACCATAGCGACCTATCAGTCCTCTTGCGACGGGGTCATATGACAGGGAATCGGCTTACCACCGTGATAAACTGAACACAAAGGGGCACGGCTCTGTCAGCCGGGGCTACGCAATGAGCGCAAAAAACGTACAGCAAGAATGAGCAGATAAATCAGGCCGACGAAGTCAACGGCGGAAGCGCTACGCAGCAGTCCGAGTCAGCACTGAAAGGATAGTCAGGATACGCAATTCTCGACATACACTTCCACGTCGAACGGCCGGACATTCTGTACAGCATAGGAAATAGGAGTCGTGACAACTTGAGGTGCGCGAGCAAGCAGGTTGCCTATGTTCGCTGCGCTTGCAGGTAGTTGTGTTACGTATCTATTGGCGAAAAGCGTGGAGATGTTTTGGAGTGACATGGTCATCTGCAATCAATTAGCGACAAATATGCCTCAGGCACTGAGGTTAACACCATAGGTAGGATAATAAGACGGCTAGAAGCTCGCTGAGTGAGCTCACGAGAAGTGGATAACTCAAACACGTACTAGGCGTTCTCGTTCCTGGCTTCAGATCCGAACATCGTGACAGCTGACGATCCATTATACGATGCGTCTGCAGACGCCGCGGCAGAATTCAGGGAGTTTGTCGCTCCCGGATTTACTGATTCCTATGGGTGAGTGCTTCCCTCTCTGATCCAAATGAATATAATTCACTCACTGGTGACGGCGAGCCAGCAGTCTTCGTTGACGATATGCGTTGGAAGGTCAGACGGACCATTAGGGAAATTGCTGCTGGGAAGTATATGCCACGATATCTGCTCCTTAGGTCCAGTGAGGCTATAGATATTTTGTGAAACGAAGGTCCCAATCTCTCCCCCGTCGAAATCCTGATTCGTCCTATCCGGAGTCGCATGCAAGGCATGCGTGTGCCACCTGGGTAATGTGAGATCTACCGTGACGTCAGGAGTTTCTATCCAAAATGGCACGTCGGTGCATATGGGGCGGAATTTGCTGGAATCAATGTCAATCTTGGTCCTGAAACTGGTGCCTTTGAAGGTCATCAGGGCTATATAGAAGTGCATGATTCAGCCATGGACACGGAGACGAGGCACATGCTATTATTTACCATTCTCATCCTTGAGCAATGGCTTGTCGATGATGTTGTGGTCATTGACGTAGGTGTTTATCTCATATTTGTGGAAGTCGACCTTGGCAGCATAGCGCATGGGCACGAACCGGTAGTAGTCACCCGGAGGGCCGGAAGTCCAATCTTTGGCCAAGTCAGTGAACATATTGATATGATCGCGTATGAGGTAAAAGACAGGCTGGCGCAAAGAAATCGAGAAGGACCATAGCCGCTCTGCGTTCCATGCTAATGGTGTAGGCATTTCGCATCGAACCTGACAACAGACACTTCAGGCATGTCGACTGTAAGAGTATAACCGACCTACCCGGCAGGATTCAGCCTTCAGCAGCCGGATATCGTTGAGCGTGGACGTAACTCCGACATCATCTAGATGAACCTCCAACTGCCCCTCGTATCCGCCGGGGCTAATTACCATGGGCACCGTGTAACTGATTGTAGAGCCATCCCCGGCCTTAATATGAATATGGGCAGCTTCTCGTGTTTTCGGCCGAGGAACGTCCACCAAGCCATCCCACATCCAATTCTGCAGGCAGGTTTGTAAGTAACAGCAGATCCAAGTCAAGCACAGACGGCTGACCTTGGATGCCTCGCGAAACGGTATGTGGAGGGTAGTGCCGCCTCGAAGCTCCACAAAGACCTTGAGCGTTGTCCACATCCGCTTGTCGCCAGGCCGAAGAAAGGCGGTGGGCTGCATGTCGTGATACGACGGAGGAAAGAAAACACGTTGTAATTCCGTCCTACAATCGTCTCAGTCCGCTGAAGCAGCACGAACATCATTTTCCGTACCTTTGACGATCTGCCCACGGGCCGTAGCGCACAAAGCCGCCATGAACAATAATCTCAGCGCCCCATTCCGGAGCTAGATCACCATTTCCGATCTCGAAGTCCGCAGACCCAGTTCTGATCTGAGCCTCTAGCGGTGGGACGGTACCAACCACGTCAGCGTAATAAAGGAGCTCCAGCTCGGGAGCCTCGAGGACATGACGTTCCGCCGCGTACTCAAGTTTCAAGGCTTCGGGCCCTACGGGGCTGATAATCTCGCCGCCCTTGTTGGTCCTCCACCACGCACGTATACCGACGCCATGAGCCTGAATCCATTTACTGGGTTCAGACTTCACCAGCCGCGATAGTTTCAGACGACGCCATAGTTTGGAGAAGGCGTGATAGGATAGGTATGGGCGCAGACTCGAGTACCTGTTTTGATTCATAAGTAATTTACGCGTGCTGATTGAGGGCTGAAATGCTCACTTGGAGTTCTTGACCTTCTCATCTACCTTCTGTCCAAATTCAGCCATAGGAGACTGGAAGCTAGTGTTGTCCACATAATGTGAAGACACGTTCTTGAACTTGATGTTCAGAAGTTGCTTATGAATATCGAACTTAGACTTGGACTGGGTATTCAACAGAAATCAGACACCAGAACTCGTGAAGGCTGGATCAGCCGTAAAACACGCACCGGGACAATCCCGAAAGTACCCTCAGCTTCCTTGAATTCCAATATCAAGAGGTTGGGTGTGGAAGCGTTCCCACAGATTACGGCTGCTTTATTTACTTCAATACCTAACGGTAGCAGGTCCGTTGGATCGAGTCTCGGTAGCTGGCTCTTGAACCAGGCAATGGCTTTTCGGACCATTTGTGGTGGGCCGATGGATCTGGTAGGGTACAGAGACGGTGGATACAAGGGAGTTGCTGTGCCAAAACAGTCAGTGTGTTTATGCAAACCACAGAAGGGTTAGGGTACCTTCAGGAGGGACGGGAGATTTACGGAATGTATCGCGCGAACGTGACCGCCTATTCTCTGAGCTAAAGCGAGGGGTTCCCATTAGGTGATCTCCGGCACTGCGCAATTTCTCCGCGATATCGTCATATGCAGCAGTTCTGTTATATAGGAACCACTCGAGGCCTTGGATGGATATTTGAATCCGGCATGAGGGAGGCCAAGAGGACTTGGTGTCTAGAGCATTATAACCGTCTCTGAGATTGGTGCGTACCAACTCAGAAGAGTGAGGAATACACACGTCCGAGATCTTCGCCACCTATCCGAGAGTTGTATAGGTCCTCCTCGCCCGCCGGCGAACGAATCCAGTAGCGCCAGCTAACCTGCCCCTTGACTATCTTAATCGTCTGGTTGCTGGAATGGTATCTAAGGTTCTTGAACGAGAGTCTCCCAGCAAGTAAAGATACATGGATTGCCCCTGCACAATAATTAAGTACACAGGTTCGTGGAACACAGCCAGCATGCTCACCAAATTCCACCCATGTACTTGAGCTTCCTTGGTTCCAGAGCGCGACACGCAGAAGGAGGGTCAGAAACAAAGATATGAAGCGGTTCCAAAAGAACAAGTATAAGATGACAGCCAGGACAATGACGGCGCATACGATCAGCAGCAGGTAGTTCAGCATATTGCTACCTTCCTCAGAATCACAAGGTCATCCGGAGTGTAGAGTTCAGCGTCGCTTGTTGGCTTGACGCTGTCTATGGTGCCCTGAGTCCTCTTCCGGCGTGTCCCTTCAGGGTTGCAATATACCGAGGATAAGCAGCGGATTCAAGGAGCACTGGCGTTGCCTCGGGAGGCGGAGGTGTTGAAGCGTGTGGACCGCTATGGACCTTGCATACGCGTTCTAACAATAGCTTCCTCCTGCCGCCGGCTACGGGCGCTTCTTGCGCTGCTCGATTTCCCCCTCCTCCAACTGACGTCTTTCCACTCGACCCCCACCCACCGGCGACACGCGTAAAACACGCTGCTCATATGAACTCGGCGACGACTACGACAACGAAGAGCAGAGCTCTCCGTCGTTTCGCGTTGCACGCTACCTCTACGTGCGCGACGCAGGCGGAAGCATATGGCAAATGCATACTTGCGACATACACCGACGTTAGGAAGGATGCATGCAAGGAAGAGTTCGCCAAGTTCGGCGCCTGCTTGAGGGAATCGGTGCGTCTTCCCCGGAAATGATGCAGATGGATAGCAAGCATTGAGCTTGCGGTGATAGCTGAAGAAGAAGTGGTGAAACGAAGCTACTAAGTCTGCATATTGTACCCATCCGCCATTCTAGCTTCAATAATGTACACGCTGTCCGAACACTATCCCACACCGCGAGTTCATCCACCATCATCGTCGCCCAGCCCACCTGGAACACGACTTGGCGGCTCGGCCTCCCGCTCCTCATTATTTCGTCTCCTCGCCGCCATTCTCGCCGCTCTGGCCCTCACTATCCTCTGCAGGCTGTCCGGCAACTGTCCCAGTCCAGCGGGCGTCACGTTCGGCATTGGGAGGCCATCCTCCGGCTCCGGCGCGGGAGGCGGGGGACGTCGTATGCGGTCTATGACGGTAGATAGCCGGAGTTCAATAATGTACGGTGATTCGTCGGATTCTGGCGGTTTTGAATTAGCATCGGACGGGGGTGGAGGAAAGATACTGGAGCTCAAAGGGCTAGCGCATTCCGACGCGTCTTCGGCCGTTGGGAGCAGAGAATATGTTGCGGAGGGTGCGATGGAGGGAAGAAGGGGGTCTGGGGTATCATCGGGAGATGCCATGATGTATGAGGTTTCATACGCGATCGTTGTGAGCGCCATTTGGAGCAGTACGATGAGGAAGTCAAGAGATAATAGCTGGAGCTTGTTCGGGACATGTGCTACATAGCACGAACGGGTCAGCGCCCAAACGCACGGAGACAACAATGCCCAAATAATCTTCGTGAGTGACGCACCCATGCCGACGAAGTCGAGGACCGCCGCCCGCCCGACCGCTGCGCCCTCCGCCGCGTGCGACCATATGCTCCCCGCATTGAACAGCAAGATGAGGAAAAACCAGAAACGCAAAGAGCGCTTCGGGTCGAGGTCCCTAGGCCTGGAGAACTGGAACTGGGTTGCTGAACGGCATATGAGGGGCCAGACTCGCGGGGAGAGGAAGAATGACAGCGTGAACAGCTGGTATAGCAGGGTGTCGAGCTTCAATACGAACTTAGATCAGGGCATTTCATGAGAGATACAGCACACTCACAGACTGGATGATGTGCTGCCGCTGAGCATAGTATCGTATACGCATGACATGTATGCTAGGGCAGCGACTTCGGGCCCCTCACCGCCTCGCGCGAGGGTATTGTTTGCACGTATTTGGATCCCGGAAAACATATCGCCTATGTAGCTTAGCTCAGCCTTACTAGTATGCGCTAGTTCAAAAGGTTCCAATGGTTTGGCTGTCATTAACTGGAAGAGAAGCCGATATCGATCTACCTACTACCAATACAAAGTGAAGGCAGCGCGCGGCACTACATAATGGCTAACGCGCCAACTTATGAATGAAGTCCATGGCAAGGTCCCATATTACAAGAAGAGCGAAGCGCCAGTACCGGATACATCTATGATGAGAAAGAAGCCTAAAGCGCGTCCAGCATAGTCGTCCTGAATTTATGACCCGGTCGGGGTGTGACGAGAGCCGGGCGGCGAAGGAAGGAAGGATACTCTGGACCCGTGGCTGCTCTTCGTGCTCTGAGTGTGATCCGGGCTTTGAGCGGTGGAATAGTATAGCGCTTCAGGTGAGAAAGTTGTCGCAGGACGAGCTACGGGAGCAGCAATCGTCGGTTGTCCCCTTGGATCAGACGAAGGCACCGCAGGCTCAGGGAGGTCCGGAGAGGCGCTCTTCTCGTACTGCTGCAACTGTTCGTGACTCCACCTTCCGCCCCCGTATCCTGCCTCTTCGTCAGCATAAGCTGGGGGCACCTTGGTCTCGTCGGACAGCTCCACGTATCTCGTGCTGAGCGAGGAGCTCGCATTGCCCTCGTAGGTGGCGTAGGGGTTGAATTCTTTATTATATGGGCTGGAGCCGGAGTCGAGGCTGGCAAGGCTTGCATAGCCGCTCTGACGGCTTCGCCTGGCCAACATCCGGGAATTGCGCATCTCACGTTTCTGTCCCTTCAGCTGAAGTAAGTAGCGAGTCGCAATCAAAGCGCCATCTGTTATATGGGCGTTCATTAGAGGAGGGACGCCACGCCACGCATGAACTACAACCGTCCACTTACATAACTCGGTAAAAAGAACGGTAAAACCAACGACGAGAAAGATCGTCTTCGTGATCTCGAGCAAGCCAGTACATTGAGCTTGCGCCTGGCTGTTTGTGATCGCCTCTTTACATGCTTTCACCACGTCACTTTGCTCCGCGTGCGTGATCATCCAGAACAGGTAGCCCGCCACGCCGACGTTCAAGAGGAAGTGGCCGTACAGGAAGTATGTGTACATCGCTATGAAGAGCTGTTTCCGAGCTATTGCACCTGCGAGCCTATACCATGGTTGGTCAAGACACCAGAACTTGTAACGAGTAGCTCACCCCAGGATAGAAGCAAGACATAGCAGGGTTTCTACTACGCCAGCGACAATGAGGACGCTATTGGCATGTGCGGTCATCATGTTACCTGGACGCCACCCATGTTATGACTGCTGTGGAGGCAAGAGATACAAAGCGACTTACTCGCGACCTCGTGCCATAGCGCAATGGTCAGCACCCCGGTAATTGCTATACCGACTGTGGACATGCAGATGACGCCGAAGCGCACAGGTAGGCAGCAGCAGAATTGCTCTCGCCGCCATATCCCTCTAATGAAATCTTTGAAGTGAAAAGACATGAGTGTTGGTTTCGTGCCGGGACGTGATGGGTCGTAAGAGTCAAGAGAGAAGCAGAGTACAATGAACGGAGACAATAAGACAGAAACCGAGGCAAGTCTTGTACCGTGAGGCCGAGGCTATGCACGACGCCTCGACGGAAGAGCTGCGGTGTCGTGTCGTGCGACCCGGCGGCAGCATGGTGATTACAACGGCTGAATATAGCGTTGAGAGTCCCTGTATTTGACGTTTCAATGCACGCATCTTGTTGGGCAATGCAGGCCTATTTCTGGTCTGCATCCGGGCTTGCACTGCATTAGACCCGGCAATCAGTTTGCTTGCCGGCAGCAAGCCTGAGACTGTTTACAAACAGTTATTTGAGTCACTTGCTACGAGACATAGACACAAACAGCAGCAGTACGATTCCAAATTCCACGTATTTTTGACATTGGAGTTGTGGCGTGAAGATCACTGATTTGCATTAATATTGCATCTCCTTGGCACAAGCAATAGGACCCACAGGCCCACAGGCGTCAACAACGAATGGAGATTGCCGGCGGCAACGGGCGAGATGCAGCGCGTCCTTGTACTTCCTCCTTCAGCACCTGCTTCAATACCCTTCCAATGGCTACCACTACTAGTATGAACACCCCCCATGCAGGTGATCCCATGGATGTGGACACAATTCAGGCTGCTGGGCGCTCTTCCGTCGGGGAAGAGCGTCGAGCAGTCTCTGTCCCACTTGAGCCATCACGGCAGCCACAGTATACCGTCGGTTACGTCTACGACCCCGTCATGATGTCCCATTGGCGCCCTGGGCTTGACCACCCGGAGCAACCAGAACGTATTTCCAGAATTTATCAAATTATCAAGGATAATAAACTCCTCAATAAAATGAAGAGGATCCCGATCAGACGCGTGAGACACGAAGAAGTCCTTCTCGTGCACAGCGCTGTCCACCTGGCCAAAGTGCTCGAGATCAGCTGTGAGTGGCATTTCCAACTTTTAACTAAGGCGGTTCTGAATATAAGTTACCTTATAACCTGCTTGTAATGGACTATTCTCTACAATTCTTCTAATAGCTTTTACCGAGGAGTATATTCTAGAGTCAGATGCTTTCTACAACGAGCTGTCCCTCTATGTTTCTCCTAAGACACCCCTGGCCGCGGAGCTAAGTGCCGGGGGTGTCATCGAAGCAACTCTTGCCGTAGCAAGGAACGAATTGAAGAAGACATTTGCCATCGTCCGTCCTCCAGGACACCACGCCGAGCCGGAGGAACACATGGGCTTCTGCTTTTTCAACAATGTGGCAATCGCAGTACGGACAGTTCAACAGATGACGAACATAAGAAAGATTCTCATATTGGACTGGTGAGTCGAGGACGCACCCCGCAGCCATCAGTTCTCACCCATGAATTCCAGGGACGTGCACCATGGTGGGTTCCTAGAAATAGCATGTCGTCTGTGTCTTATTTAGCATCATTAGGCAATGGGACTCAAAAGGCCTTTTACGACGACCCGTCCGTGCTGTACATGTCTCTGCACCGCTACGAGGGTGGCCGTTTCTATCCATGCGGCCCTTTCGGAAGTATGGAAATGAGCGGCGAGGGGGATGGTGTGGGATAGTAAGCACATATTTTACGAATGCCTCTTTGCGCTGACTTCGTTATACCAGCTCGGTGAATATTCCATGGCCAGAAAAGGGCATGAGGGACGCCGATTACCTACATGCCTTTTACCATGTAGTCATGCCAATCGCAAGAGAGTTCGCCCCCGAGCTAGTAATCAGTACGGACACGTCTCTTGCTATTCTTGCGAAAGATTATCCTCATCCGTGGACATAGTCTCCGCTGGCTTCGATGCAGCCGACGGAGACGAACTTGGCGAATGTCACGTCTCACCGGCTGGATATGCACATATGACGCACATGCTTTCGTCCTTAGCGGGCGGACGACTGGTCGTTGCTCTTGAGGTGCGTCTGTCTATTAGACCTACCGTGCACACCCGTCATAAAAATATTCAAGGGAGGGTATAACCTTGACGCCATATCGAATTCTGCGTTGGCAGTCGCACGGATGATCGTTGGCGAAGAGCCACCAGAACTTGCCCCGATGGTCGCTTCAGAGACCGGCACGGAGACCGTGTATCAGGTTGCTAAAGAGCAGAGTAAGTACTGGAAGAGCGTCGTGCCCAAAGCAGTGGAACCTCGCGAAGGTAAGCCCGTACTATGCACACTTATTCCTCCAGATGATAAAACGAGTTGTGCGACGCAGAACTGGAACCTCTCACCTTCTCGATACCTGGTAAGGAGGGATAAATGTTAGACTTTACGTACTGATCGTAATGCCGAACATCCCGCAGAATTGTTAAAGGCGCATCGGCAGGATTATATGTACCGCCACCACAACATGCTCCAGATACCCCTATTGACCCAGAACACGGAGGAGCGGTTTGGAACTCAAATTATGTGCACGTATGTCCGTGATATTTACGTCCGCAGTTCGTCACCTCACGCACGCATAGGCCCGACATCAATGACAACAAGACGATGGTAATATTTCTGCATGAATTGTGAGTTCTGAGATGCTCCCAAGAAGCGGTCCTTATCACGACTCCGAACAGCGGGAATATTCAGGTAGAGTTCGACAGTATTGTCAAGGGCACATTGCATGAGGAGCACTCATACTTGGTGAGTACCTGTGGAGACTCGAGGAAGAGAGAAGTATGATATATACGGATGTTCTAGGTTGATTGCTCTAGACAAGTGGTTGACTGGGTCCGCGAAGAGGGGTACTCTCTGCTCGACGTCAACATTCATGCAAAGCCTGTAGAGGGCACTGAGAAGGTATGCTGGACTTTTCGCTATATTCATGTCGCTGAGCGGGGATCAGAAACGAGGAGCTCAGGCTCCAGCGGAGCAGGAGCTCATCACATACCTTTGGGATAACTACGTTCTGTGCGTTTTCACATTCAAACATAGTCCCGGCCTTTCTCATAACTTTACAGGCTGTCTAAGGCCAAGTGCCTCATTCTCATAGGGCATGGCTCGGCCTGCCAGACGCTTATGCTTCTGATGAATACCAGGCGTAAGTCTGATCAATGTTCCGTGGTTTGGTGTCTCTGAATAACGGCTCGATGGTCATTGAATAGCGAATAGTATGATGCGACGGACGCTAGCGATCTTGCAAATTGTTGGGAATGGTCGGGTCCCTCTGACACCGAAGGACTCGAAGGAAGCAGTCGAGTTGAAAGCTTGGTATGCCAAGGTGCGCATGAATCCGTTGGTATTTAGCGTCGTGTCTCAACCTGCGAGTCAGCACTCCCTCGTCATCATTCCCAAAAACCACCGATTGCTATCTGAGAAGCCCCTCAAGAGGCATGGAAGACTTTGGGTGATAGGTGAGTAGCACGCGGCTTCAATATTCTCTCAGCCTTACCATCGTGGATAGAGGAAACAAAGCCAGTCAAACTTATGATGAAGGCATTACCAGCTATACAAAAATACGTCAGACAAGCCATGGCTGCTCTCCCGCGCGATGATGCCCTTGTCAATGGCGATAGCTGAGTATCGCAACTAGGCCGGGTATTTGTCGGCCTCAAATTCCATGGACTCGACGACGAATTCTGGATACAGGGCGATAGGTCTTCTCATCGGATTCACGACTTATTTATTTGTTCTTGTGTATCGCATCAATTGTATTTCATCAGCCATTCCTTGCTTTCTCCGACATAGAAGATCATAGCAGATCTACAACACCCCTCCTCGGTGAAATGACGCCGACGACTTTGCTACTGAAATCAAGCAGATCGCCTCCCGTAGTGGCCACCAGATCGCTCAGAGCGGGAGGAACGGACAGTCCAAGCAACTCTTCCACGTTCACAGACGCCAGAGAGAGCGCCTCCGACTTTGAAAGCTCGATGTGGGACTCGAGCGCAGCCTATGGTTTGCATAGATACGTCAATATCTGTTCCTTATATACCGTGACTTGACTTACCCATGCAGCGTCGAATCGGATGTTGCGAGCAGCCCAGTTCTCGTGGGTACCGATCCCCACCGTCACGTTATGTGCCAGCAGCAATGACACAGAGCTATCTCGAGTCAACGGGGGACCCGGCAAGCTAAAGGATACATCCCGTCACTAGCATTCCCACAGACGATAATGACCGCCACCTACACTCTACGCTCCTCCCAGACACCTGGGTAGGGACGAGGAGGGGTTAGGAGCACTCCCACGCCGTTTTCGCCTATTTCTTTTGCGAGTAGATGGGCCTCCGTGGCTCCCGCAAAGGTCAGCTTGATGCTATGGCCCATCTCCGCTTCGACTTCGCGCTTGAGGCGAATCAGAGTAGCCATGACGTCTGCGTTCTGGACGGTGACGACAAGAGTAGTCTTGCCCTGCACAAAGCCTCAGTTGGAATAGACTTGTGATTGGAAAAAAATATATCCGACCTCTCTAACTCGCTCGAACCAACGCCCCAAATCGCCCTTCCCCTCGCTGCCGAGCAGCCTTCTCAGAGCCGCAACCTGGGTGCTCACGCTCGGGATGGCCCCTCCATGTCCGACCGAGACATGCAGAGCGGCGACGTCTTGCACTACCGCGCCCTTCTCGAGCTTGTGTGCGGCACCAGTCGAGAACGCGACGCTAAGTCCTGAGAGGAAACCGAGAGGTTTAGGTGCCGATATGCCGGTGGTAACACCGGAGCGGTAAGCAATACTGGATATCAACCCACGACGTTAGTCGAGAAAGACTTGAAGATAGTAAAAGAACGTACAGTGCGTCCCGGGTAGCGTACTGCAGTCCGTCGACGGCCTGCATGACTGAATAATCCCCTCCGAGGACCTTGGGTAGCTCTCCCGAGAGCGGGTCGAGGGCATACCCATCCTGCGTCGACACCTCTCCCTGAATCTCCTGAAGAGCCAAGGGCGAGCCATACGCGGTCAACCCAGGAGAGATCGCGCCCCCTGCGATACATCAACCCATAAGCTTGCATCCCACCCCTCATCTCGAGGAGATAGCTTACCCTTGAGATCGACGAGCTTCGCCTTTCCCGCAGACGCGGCTGCGTCACACGCGCCCTGGCAGACCACCTCCCCGTTCCTCACCACCACCACGCCCTCGCGCTCCTTCGCTAGGAACACCTGCCGCACCCCGCCGGCAGCCTTGACGTACACGCTCCCCACGTTCGTGAACACCACCACCTCCGCCTCCGCGTGCTCGGGCAGCAGCGGCGGGAGACCCTCGTATTCCAGCGCGTCGCGCGCCTCCTTGTCGAAGTCCGGCGTGGCGGGGGCAGATTGGAAGGAGTCGGGCTTGGGCGGGGCGGCGTGGGGGTTATCGAGCTGTGCGATGCCGTCGATCCAGACTTGTTTGGGCGTCGCGCCCAGCGCCAGCGGGTGGCTGTCCCAGATAACAAGGTCTGTCGGGGTCAATCGTCAAGGCTCGGCGCTTCATGCGGGCAATGAGCTCACCTGCGTCGTAACCTACAGAATGGCTCGAATTAGAAAAGACGTGGACAGATACAGGCTCTCGTAAATGACGCACCTTCCTTGACGTACCCGATCCGATGGTCCTCGCCCATAACCGTCGCGGGCGTCGAAGTCACGGCCGCCAACGCGAGGTTCGCGGGCAGGCCGTAGTAGTGCGCCTGCTGCGCCTCGAAGAGCAGGTACCGGCTGTTCAGCACCGGGTGGTCGCTCTACATGCAGGGATCAGCACATATTTCTGCTGCGAGAACCGTGAGGAGCTTTATTGGGACAGTAGTGTACCTTCATGACGACCTGCAGCCCCTCATCGGCGAGGATGCGCGGCGCGAATTCGGAGCCGCGGTAGCTCTCGCGTTTGTACCGTGCATTCGTGGCGAATAGCGCGATCGCGGGCGGGTGGCCTGATAGTAGGAGATTAGTTCATAGCATACAGGGGGTAGTTGTGGCAGGGGGAAACGACTGACCGTAGGCTTTCTTAAGCGTCCCAGGGACGAGGTACGTCTCGTGCGCGTGGTGAAACGCAGCAATGGGGAACTTGAACTCGTTCGCTGCGGTTAATGTTCACGTCAGCTGGCAAAACCTCAAAGCAGGGCAGAGCAAGCCGTACACAATCTAACGATATCCTCCAAGTCCACCGTCTCATAACAATGATTCTGGATCTACCCAGCCCCATCAGCCATCCCACCCCCGCCACAAACACACCGGGGCTCACCTTGACCCGGCCCCGCAAAACATCCACGAGCGCCTCCCACTGCAAATCCTCCGGGAACGCGCCGAGGCCGTCCCACAAGCCCTTTTCGGCCTTTGCGCAGTACGCGTCCTGCTGCTCCTTGATCTGGCGCGCGTGCTCGTACCCCTGGCGGAACGCCCACATGGTGTCCATGCGCGTGCCCGAGTAGACGCGGTCTGCGCCGCGGTATGAGTCGGGGTTGCTGATGTCGAAAGAGGTGAAGAGCGTACCGGGGTTCTCGCCTGCGGGGCGTTGGGCCTGTCAAGTCAAGCTAACGGGGGATTGCGGGAAGGACGAAGACTGACCGCATGCTTGTCTGGGTTCGAGGGTGTGAGTAATAGAATAGCGGGGGGTGGGGGTCGTACTTTATATGTCTCCACCGAGGCGGTAGAGAGGGGTCCACCTCGGAGCCGTTGATTCCATACGGTGGCTCGAGCAGCATGGAGCTGGGTGACCGTTCTTTCGTCGGCCTGAGCTTGATGGGAAAGGCCTGGCCACCTGCAATACCATTCAGTCACGAGCCCCACGCATGAAAGCAGAATGTATGCACCGATAGCGTTGGCAGAACCGGGCAGCACGAGGGCTGTGGTGACACCGCCCGAGATGGAGAGCCTGTAGGCGTCGTCGCGCGTGTTGAGCGCGTCCAAGCTGCGGAGCCAGGGCAGGACAGGCCCGTGGCGAGAGTTGCCGTCGCTCGCACCGCTCAGGGCCGGGGCAGAGTAGACTCCCAGGTGGGAGTGTAGGTCGACTATGCCTGGAGACACCCAGGATCCCTGCGCGTTAATGTGAACGAGGTCATCCCCGTACCATCTGACCAGGCTGTCCTGGACGTGGCCGACGGCCTTGATGAGGCCCTTGTCGAGGAGGATGTCGCCGGTGAGGATCTCGAGCCCGTTGTTCCGCCCCGTCCAGATAGTCGCGTTTCTGATGAGCGTGGGCCTAGTGCCCTCTACGAACCTGTCGGACTGTGGCCGCGTGTTGAAGTCGGGCGGAGGGCCCGGGAGGACGTTGAGCGAGCGGCATTTTTGCAGCGTCTCGTGAGCGTGGTGGGGAACGTGAGACGAGCGGCGGGGGAGCGGTGGCCAGAGCGTGGACAGACGGAGAAGAGTGCAGACAAGCAGACCAGCGAAGAGAGCACTCCAGACGCGAGGACGGCGACCACGGCGCGGGGGTTCGGCCTGGGGCACGTAGGCGGGCAGTAAACCGGGCTTGTCCATCGTTGCGACGGACGACGTACGCGACCAATCCCTGCCTGTCTTATATCGTCCCAAGGGACGGAATAAATAGCGCGGAATCAGCAGGAGATAGCGAACGCGTCCACAAGCTCGCGCCACCGTGATAACGAGTCTCGCCGGCACACCCGGGCCGGCCACTGCCACAACACTTACTTGCAACGATATTCGCTCATTACTCGCAAGTATCGTACGCATAACAGGGATACAAAGACAAAGTTGACACAAATCTCCTGACTGAGAGCCAGTCTTGCTTCACCCCAGTGCGAGGTCCATACATGCAGCTCATCCATAGTCGGTCCTCCCCATCCACTTCCTCTCTGCTCGCCCGCAGTCCTCTGCGGGGGCCTGGGCTTCCATATCATCAAAGGCAGCTATGGCCGAGCTACCTCTCGGAGCACCCTAGATATACATCCTGAGGAGCAGTAACCCTGTAACTGAAATGGAAAGAAATGAAGCAGGACTGTGTAATGTATCGTACCTATCGTCAGAGAACCAAGGGTCTGGTGACGTGCGCAATTCAGGATCGTGACGGGCCCGCAAGCGATGTATCGAGGTTGCTTCCGCCATCGAACACAGGACCCTCCTGCTGTCCTCGCAGCACCGGCTCAATGTCCGGAAAGTTCTGGCCAAGTGCCTCCAGTAACTGGTGGCGGTAGGACTGTGCATACAATCATTACTGATTCTCAACACCACCGAAGACATATACGCACATCTACAGCCTTAATCTTCGCGTTCATGAACTGGTTCTCCGTCGCCGCGCGCTCCAGCCGGTCGCGCGTGAGCTGCATCGGGTTCTTCGAGTTGTCAATATCCATCAGCACCTGGATCGGTATCATCGTCCGGCAGTGCTGCGCCATGTCGTCGATGCTCGCAAGGTGGTTGATCACTTCGTTGCTAGATTTAAACACTACAGTTCAACATCATCAACGCGCAACTAGCGGGGGCCCTCGCACGTACACGCGCTGCCCGACCTGCTTGCCTGCGCCGGGCTTGTTCTGGTCTTTGGAGGCGTCGGTGACGACGGTTGTGCCGAGGTTGTAGAGCGCGTTGGCGAGCCCCATGAGTTCCATCTCGAGGTCGCCCTGGATCCCTGGTGGAGGTGACTGGGAGTGCCTCGGAGAGTCCGCAGCTGGTGTTACAGCGTTTGCGACATTGCGAGCCATTGCAGAGGCCTCGACGCTATCGATACAGGTAGAAAGAGAAGCGAGACTTGCGAGAGTGTGGCTTGTGGCTGAGAGAGAAGCATCGCGTTCGCACGCGTTTGGAACGCGTCCAAGCCATGTCTGCTGCTCCCGCCACCGCCGGCTCCTCCTCGTCGCGACCACCCGTCAAGCCGCCCGTCGTCCAGCCCGGCACCGGCAACAACATCATCGTCAACCCCTGCCAGCGCCTCAACCCCGTCCTCGAGCACATCCGCAATGTCGGCAAGGAATTCGGCGACATCGTCCCCGACTTCCAAGTCGGGCGCACCACGGGCGTGCTCTTCCTCAGGTACGCCTTGACGCTTGACGCGCCTCTGTCGCCCGAGCTGACTGTTGCCAGAAAAGCCTGAAGTATCACCGGTTGCACCCCGAGTACATCCACACGCGCATCGAGCGCCTCGGACACTCGTATAACCTGCGGATATTGCTGCTCATGTGCGACGTCGTACGTGTCATTCCGTAGCCTCTACGTCCTCAGCCCATGACCGGTTCCTGCAGAGCGAACACCAAGACCCCATCCGCGAGCTTACCAAGGTCTGCCTCATCAACAACATCACCATCATCGTCGCCTGGTCGTACGTAGCCCCTCCCCTCCTCCCCTTTCCTCCCAACCCACGCTATTCAGACCAGAAGAAGCCGGCGCGTACCTCGCGACATACAAACAGTTCGAGCACCGCCCACCGGACATGATCAAGGAGCGCGTCGAGAAGGACCACCTCTCGCTCCTCCGCACCGCCCTCACGAGCATCAGCAAAGTCAACAAGACCGACGTCGAGACACTCCGCACGTCCATCGGGGTGCGTCTCCTCCCATTTATCCATCCTGCTCCCTCCCCTCCCCCAAAGCTAACCACGCACCGCACCAGAGCTTCGCAGACATCGCCCGCGCCTCCTCCACGCAGCTCCAAGCCCTCCCGGGCTTCGGCCAGGTCAAAGTCCGCCGCATGAAAGACGCCTTCGAGCGTCCCTTTCGCAACTCCGCCACTAGCATCCTCTCGTACACCACATCCCAGCCGCGCGCTTCTCAAAACGACAAAGGCGAGGAAAAGGGCAAGGAGCCGACTGTTCCCGATCGTGACCCGAGCGTCCTCTGGGACGATGACATCGACCTGGGTGACTTCACTACTCCCGCACCGGAGCCCCGACCGCCTCCCGTGAACTGCGGACTAGTAGAGAAAGAGCCGCAGAAGGATGCAGACGCGGCATCGCAGCGCAGGAAGCGTCCACCTAGCCCTGTTTGGGACATTGAGTTGGACCTCAATCCATCCGATCTCGACGAAGGCGACGCCCCAAATCACCCGAGCAAACGGCGAAGAGAAGAGGTCGGCTTTGGAACTCCAACCGGGGTACTATGACACAGGATGAATTGAATGGAACGGCGCCCGATCTGTACAACCTCTCTACTAGAATCTAACTGTAAATCATAGCTGTCATCTACCTACAATAACATTGAATAATGTGCGACTAGCTTGCTCTATGCGTAGAATAATATAGCAATAATGACGTTGTTTTACCAAGCGTGCAGGAAAAGGGGAAGCGAGGCCCGAGTCTACGACACCGAGACATTCGCCTTCCAATGCTCACGCAAGGTCCTCGGCCGCACTGGCCCGCCACCATAGTGCGCCGACGGGCCAGACTTGAGAGCAGCCATGCGCTGATAGTGTATACGCATCGCCAGCCGCTGCAACGCGGCCTTGGTGCGCGACCGCTCGAGATGGGCGGCTCTTGTATCCACTGTACCACAAGAAATATCAGTAATCGAGACAGGAGATTACAGTTGATGGCACCTCACCTATCTTTCCATGTACCGAGTATACTAGATTTTTGATCCGCTCCAAAGGCATGAGCTTCCTCTCCTTCCGCGGGCTACTCGTGGGTGAGGGTGTTGGCTCGTCGTAGGCCTCCCTCCTCTCCTCAGCGACGTAGTTATCTATGTTCGTCAAGGCCACACTCAGGATCTCGACATAGTAACCCAGCTGGTCGTAGTCAATATCCTGGTTGCTCACATCGAACAGAGCGCCGGAGGCCACAGGTGGGGACAGTAGAGTCATCAGCCTCGACAGTGGCGGTGATTCCGTGAACGTCGTTGGTACGGCAAGGGGCTGGGCTTTGACCTGGGGGGCCAATCGTTCCTGGTCTTTCCCCTCCTGTGCTTCGGCATACTGGTTGACGGCGGCATTGTTCGCTTCAATCAAGACCACGTATGCAACGAATCGTGCAACACTAGCGATGAGGGACGAGCCGCACATGAGCATGGAGAAGAGATGCGTTTTGTTGGCTGGTGTCAGTTCGCTGGCCAAGCAAATCAGTCTATCGCACAGGGCCTGTTCCTGCAAAAGAAGGTCGATATGATTCGGCAAGACACGTAGAGCAAAGGGCTGACCGAAACGTCAGAGGAATGCTCCTCCCAAAACCGACCAGAAGCATCGACAGCCATGATGACACGCCTCCGAAGCTCTCCGGTAGAAGACGAGTCCAACCCGACCAACAGCAGTGTAACGATCATCTCTGGTAGCTCCTCCACGGATACAGCACCCCATCTAGGAATAAACTATAAGATCTCCCGCCTCACTGCAGCGTTCGCAAGACCTACTGAGCTAAGAGGGAAACGATGTTGACCATGCGGTACAGGGCAGCCGCCCGTGCGCATGAATCGACACGTAATTTGGGTAGTACGACGTCCCCGTCGTGACCGGCAATTTGCAAGTATAAAGGTCTGGCACCGAGACGGCCAATGCTTTCCCGCATCAGAGGCACCACGGATAATGCATCAGCGTTTGATAAAGAATCCCTCATATTCTCGAGAGTCTGAAAGCAAGTCTCGGAAAACTCTCCGAAGACGGGCAAGAACGCTGCACAGAATTCAGCCACACGACTAGAACCACGGGTAGGAACACGCATACCTGTCTCACAGAGCCAGAGGAGCAAGGCGGACAATTGGGCTGCGTCAAGATCAGCGCATACGCAGGCCTCCACATAAACCCTGGCCAGGCTCATGTCTGGTTAAACACAGACTTAGCCTCGAATTCATGGAACGCGAAGCAGGACGACACGCACCGTTAGCCATAGCAGCTTTCTTTAATCCCCGCATGATTGGGTGCAGTTTGTGGCCCTCGAGGCTTAACGTCGGCAAGGCTAGTAAATCGTTCCCGTCGTGGGCAAACACTTCGGTATCGAACACCTTGACACCGACGGATGCATCTTCCGTCTTGACCTTATTCTTCCCCTTTTGCTGGCGATCCTTCTCGAGGATCGCACCAACTGCCTTCGCATTTTTCTCTCCGAGCAGCCGAACACGGTCTTCCTCGTCTACAATCTCGCCGTCGCTCTCTTCGTCCTCGTTCTTGTCGAGTTGAGGACTAGACGATTGCCCGATCCGCCTACCCTTCACGACTGCGCGCAAAGCCGCATCCTCGTCATCTAAGTCCATCTCCTCGTCCTCATCTTCCATTTCCTCCCTCATGCGGTCCTTCCCGCGGGAGGCAGCTGCCTCTTCGGCATCACGCATAGCCGACATGCCCCGGCCGCGCTTGTCTGCCAAGGTCTTCTCCCTCAACATCGAGTCTAACGGATTGCTTCCCCTCTTTTTCTTCTGAGGCTTCGTGATTTCCTTGCCCTTCGTCAGCACCACAGGTGCTTTGCTAGGACCCGGCCTAGAGAGTCTCGTGCTCGCTCGCGTAGCACGTCTGCCCTGAGATGGCGAACGTGATCGCGAGCTCGGGGAGGGAGAGCGCGAAGAAGAGACCTTGGGCGTTGGCGCGACGGAACTCAAACCGGTCAGGGGCGTTGTGAGAGGAGTGAGCGGAGAGGTGGCTGCGAGGCTAGGCTTGATACCTGACTTGGGTGTTGCAGGTCTAAGATAGCCGTAGTCAGATCATGCAAAGCAGTGCAAATACAGACAACTGCAACATACCCTTTGACCGGCCCCCGCGACTTCAAGAAGTAGTCAAACGTCACCTCCTCTGCGTCAGAGCTGCTATCCGAAAGGTCCGGCAGGTCGGCATTCCTGGGGACAGTCTCCGGCTCTTCGCTAAATTCCCTGGCAGCATATGCTTGCGCTTTCGCCCTGGCAATTATCTCTCGAGCTCTGGCTTCAGCATTGACAACTTCGGGAGTAGCGGGGAGAGGAGGCAGCTCATCCGCAGGTGGAGGAGTAAAGGGCCGGAAAACTTCCGGTTCCGGTTCAGCAGGAGGAAGGGGAATAGGGACAGACGCAGCGGTCGAAGGAGTGGCCGAAGTGTGAAGCAAAGCGCTCACTTCGGTCTCGGATCGCATAGTACCAATGGAGATAGAACCCTCCTCAGTACTGCGGTCGACATCCATGGGAGCAGGTTCCAACTCCACCCGAGCATCGTCGTGGCCGGCGGTATCAGAGGAAACGAAGGAAGTCGACCTACGCCATTGTTCGATATTTTCTTTCGTTTCCTGTGGATCCTTGTGCACGAGCCGCGGGGCAGAGAGCTCCTGCTCGTCGGACTGGCTACTCGGAACGCGCTCTTCGTCATCCGTCTGGACGGCAGCAGCGGGCTCAGGCTCAGACTCCGCCTTCAACCTTTTCTTCGGAGAAGGTTTATCGACAGAGGCCTGATCAAGCGTCAAGGTGAGATTCTCCCTCGAGAGCAGAGGCCCTTGGGATTTTTGCGGCGACATGGAAAGGAACTCAGGGGTGCGTACGAAATTCGAGGACGACCCAGGCTTGACAGACGCCCTTGATACATGCACTATGGACTCTATGGGGTCTGACTCAGTGTCCGATTCGAACTTCTTCTTCCGCTTCAGCAGGTTCTGTGAAGGTGGTTTCGGTGCGGCTGCTTTTGTGGGTGATCGAGATAAAGCGCGGGGGTCCGGGGAGCGAGAGTGCTTCACGACGGCGTCGGAACCAGATGAGATCGAGAGGACAGTACTCGCTCTCGTCTTGCGCGGCGAGAGGATCTCCACGGCATCCATCATGACGCGAGATTTGCTCCTCGTAGTACGGGGCGACAAGCAGACAACAGAGTCACTGGAGATGGATATATGCGAACCAGAAGACACAGAGATGACCTCCTGGTCGAGTTTCGGAGGGATATTGTCCTTTTTGACCCTGAGGGCGCTTTGTATGCTTCTCTGGCCCTGTTTCAGTGGCGCCTTCGGCTGGGACGACGAAGGCTGAGACGAAGACGGGGATCTACTCGATGAGGGGATTATGTGGAAAAAGTCGGTGACCTTGCCATTGGTCCGTGCCGGCTTCTGGCTGGGCTTGAGGCCCTTTGTAGTTTTACTCATGGCCGCGTTCGGTGTGGCTTGCAGCAGATGAGCTGTGGTGGCGGAGGCGCTAATTTCGGAAGCGCGTCAACAAACGCGTTATTTGGTCGCGTCACGGGGACCCCGGACATTCTGTAATCACGTGTTCGCGTGAGTCCTCAGCGCTCAGCCACCACGCGGGAGGAGTACAGAACGTCACTTGTGGCTTCAGAATAATCACCGTCGATTCGTAAGGAGTAAACTAAGTACTGTCGAACTGGCGGTATAAAGACGGAATACACTTGGAGGGCGCCCACTAGTCCATCTTAAAGGAAACCATCTTCATTTCACTGACAACTGCATCATCACACTGTGCCCTTGCATTCATTGTCATCCTTGAAGCCACTGCATCCACCGCCAGCGAATTCACGCTTAAGGGCAACTGCAGAGAATGTTCAGATTACTGTCAAGGATCCTCTGGACCACTATGCACCGGCCATCCTTCATGTCCCGGAGGATATGGCGCAGGGCGCTCGGAGCGACGCAGCTGTCGTGCTCATCAGTGGTGCCGGGGGCGGAGTAAGCGGCCCTGGTGGTGAGTAGCTCAGGGCAGAAATCCACGAGTGCCCGGCGTTGACGAAAATATCCACGTCTTCAGGGATTTATCCGTCGCTAGCGGACAAGCTGGCGTCCCTTCTTCGCATTCCGACGCTACGCCTAGATTACAGGCAGCCTGCAAGGAACAAATATTGTGTACCGGACGTCCTCGCTTCGTTTGATTACTTGTTGCAGCGATTCTCCTCGAACTCGTTCGTTCTGGTCGGGTGGTCCTTTGGCGGCGCACCTTGCTTTACGGTCGCAGCCCGAGACCAGCGCATGAAGGCCGTCGCGACTGTGGCAAGCTAGACAGCCGACACGGAAGGTATTCAGGCATTGCCTCCTCGACCTATGCTGCTTCTGCATGGGACTGGCGATGATTCTCTGAGCGATTACTGCGCCAAACGACTGTACCAGATGTACGGTTCTGCGAGAGGCGAGAGAATCCTCAAGCTATTCGACGGTGATAATCATGGCTTGACTAGAAATTCTTTGAAAGCCGAGCAGTTAATCTTTGACTTTGTCTCCAAGAACCTGGGGAGGAGGGTAGAGGATGGGGAGGAGGCCTTGAAAGCAGAGAATATGGTCGGGGATAAGGAAGACAGAGTTAAGTTGATGAAGGCAGGCAACGACCTTGAGAAAGAGTCCTTGTAGCGAGGGCTCGCAGCTCGTAGAGTCACTGTATCTGCAGCATCGGTAGTTATGGAAAGAACTGCACATGGAGGAGCTTGGAAGAAAGCATTCGGTGTGCTTGGTCGATCAGGAATCGTGGGAAAAACATACATATTACATACGTCGTGGCAGACTTATCTCGAGCTTGACGCACGCCTGCAGCCTTAGACGCGTTGCAGCTGCTCGCTGAGGGTAAGTATACGGCCCTCTCCCATTCGTTGCGTGTCGTCTCCAGCGATGAAGGGCCTCGCAATGCTCGAGGTTCCTAATCACTCAAAACAAGTCCTGCGCACGGTCTGGGCTGCCCTTGGTCTACTTGCGGGCCTTCTCCTGTTCGTACAGACTCAGGGACCCCTCTGGCAGCGACGACGTGTGCCGGCGCATGCATCCGCAACCATTGCCAAATGCCTCGCAAATGACTTGCCGCCCGGTCCTCCAGCCGACTTTCACAAGAGAAGATATTCGGACAGGTTCGCCCCCGGTACTAAGCCCGTATTGATCAAGAACGCTCGGATATGGACAGGGGCGCACAACGGCACGGAAGTCGTCAGAGGAGGGATCCTCCTCGACAAGGGAATGATACAGGAGGTAGGCCGTATTTCCAGAGGAACCTTGGCCAAGTATAAGCATCACTTGTTGGTATACGACGCTGAAGACCGCTTCGTTACCCCGGGCATTGTGGATGTACACTCGCACATTGGCGACGCATCCTCTCCGGAACTTGAAGGTGCGAGCGGCGACGACAACTCTCCCAAGGGCCCTATCCTCCCTTGGCTCCGATCGCTTGACGGTCTGAACACACATGACGATTCGTATGCCTTGTCTATTGCTGGTGGAGTGACGACCTCGCTCGTACTTCCTGGATCTGCCAATGCTATCGGTACATACACTTTCTCTAAATGTGATGGTCGTCTGAGTCGAATCGCTTGCTTCACCTATGTAGGCGGCCAAGCGTTTGCTATAAAGCTGCGTAGGACAGCCGAAAGGTCCCCAACTTCGATGTTACTTGAGCCGCCATATGAAGTCGTGGGTGGGCACGGACCGCCCAGATGGCGATATATGAAGTGAGAAATCATGCTCGGTCCATTTGCACTGATATCGATGTCTGTGAGGTTGCCTCCAGACATGCATGCGGTACGTAGTCGTCGTAGTATCATTTTGGCTGATGCGCTGCATCCTAACACCCGGCGTAGGCGAGAACCCCAGTCAGTAGCTGTGCTATATGCGCGCATATTTTGCATTATTGAGACGATACACCCTTCCGTCTAAGGCAGAGTATATGGCCAGACCCGCATGGATACCGTCTGGGCTTTCCGCGAAGCGTCAGTCCCCCTTTGCGCTCATATGAATGCAATTCGGTATAACCCCCCCCCCCTACTTATAACACAGCTACAACAAAGCTAGACAGATTAAGCAAGCTCAGGATGCCTACTGCTCGCGAGCTCTCAACGGCCAATGGGAGGATCTCGGGGAATATCCCGAAGATTTACAATGGGAGGCCCTGGTTGCTACACTCCGAGGTAAAGTGAAGGTGATGTGGGACGGATTGTACCTGCAGAAACTTTACCGATCAATCTCTCCAGGTGCAAACCCATTGTTACGAGGCCGTCGACTTGGATGATATAGTCAGGGTATGCTCCATACCCATTTTGTTATCTGAGAGAGGCTTTGCGACGGAATGTCCGATAGCTCTCGAACGAGTTTGAGTTTCCCATCTCGGCCTTCCATCATGCGAGTGAGGCATACCTCGTACCGGATGTCTTGAAGCGAGCCTACGGTGTGTCTGATACCACCACCGTCGTCATGTCGTCTCATAGTGCAACCTTGTTGGACAGGCCACACACCTGCCGTCGCCCTTTTCGCGACAAACTCAAGGTAGATGGCCGTAATCTTCGGCCCCCTGATCTCTCCTGAGGCATAGTAACTAGATACAAGCGAGAAGCATATCGCGGCTCCGAATTCGCTGCACGCATTCTCGCGGAGAATGACCTGGATGTCGTGATGAAGGTGATTCCGGCGCGGTCTGCCCGTGAAAATGAGTCTGAGGTATTGGATACAGAGCGACCATCCCGTCTTGAACTCGAGGTACCTGCTGTACGAAGCCCAGCAAGCCTTTTACTATGGTCTCCCCGAGAACCTGGCTATTGCCGCGGTTACTAGCACATCCGCCAAGGTTCTGGGATTGGATCATAGGATTGGGTACATCAAAGGAGGTGCGTCAATGCCTTCGTTTGCTTTATGATGCACATCTCACTATCTTGCGAAGGCTGGGATGCTGGTATGATACGTGTTCACCCTCGTTTCTTCGTGTCTAACGAAACGACTTTGTATTAGATCTTGTCATCTGGGATAGGTATGCAGTGATGGGTTGCAGTCACTTTGATGATATTGTACACGTCTTGACCCTTCTACTCATAGCCATCCTCTGGCACTCGGTGCCACGCCTACCCAAGTATTCATTGATGGCATACCTCAGATCGAGTCTCCTCACATCGTAAAGAAGCCTAAGAACTTCCAGCACACACCCAAGGTACCCAACTTTGACAAGGAAGCCGCGGATGCTGTGCAGTACGAGGGTTTGCCCCCTCTGGCTCCTAAACCTGCATCTTCGAGAGTGGTGCTCTTTGCTAACGTCAGCAGTGTGTTCCTACCGCGTGGTGAGGAGGTGCATCATGCTCAGCTGCAAGAGTCTGGTGTTGTCGTTGTCGAAGAAGGAAAGATTACCTGTGTGGGCACGTCTGCGTCCTGCGTGCTGTTGGAACTAGCCGAGGAACCGGAGTTGATAGATCTGAAAGGTGGTTCGCTGTCCCCGTAGGTGGTCCCTTAGGGTGGCGTTAGGGTGGCTACTGAATTACGCTCTGCAGCGGACTGGTAACGTTCGGGTCGCCTTTGGGCCTGGTACACATGGAGGGGGAAACTTCGACCGCGGATGGCTGGGTCACAGACCCTCTCGAGAGCCTTGTGCCTAAGATTCTCGGAGGCGACGTCGCAGTCGTGCGCGCTGCCGATGGATTGGAGTTTGCAAGTAGGGATGCCCTGTGAGTTATATCTACTGCTTTCAGCCGCGTGCTGATCTATGTAATTTTCCAGTCTGGCATATCGATTCGGCGTAACTAAAGCCATCACTGCTCCCGTTACTGCTGGATTCATCTCGGGACTTGGAGTCAGCTTCTCCACGGGAGCAGCACATAGGCTAGAAGAAGGTGCCGTTATTCAGGAGGTGACCGCTCTGCACGTCTCTATCCGATACTCTGGTGGCACGCCTAGTATAAGCACCCAGATAGCTGCATTGCGGCGTCTGCTCTTAGACCTACCGAAGGGGGACGCTGGGCGTTGGTTCGAGAAAGTGGCGCAGGTAGGTCGTCCTATGGCCATTGCGTGTCTGTCACCTGACAGACTTCATGAACAGGGGAGGATAACTCTCGTAGTGGAAGCTCATAGTGCAGATGTGATTGCAACATTGATTCTCCTTAAGAGGGAGATCGAGGAAACCAATAGCGTCAATCTCAAGATGACTATTACCGGAGCTACTGAGGCCCACTTGCTTGCTGCAGAGATCGCACGTGCCAACATTGGGATCATAGTGAACCCTTCAAGGCCTTTCCCTGCTGTATGGGAGTCTAGACGGGTGTAAGTCTCAGACACTTCTGGGTACTTCTTTTAATGCCGCGATAGTCTTCCAGGGCCGCCCTTGACGCGGGATAGTGCAGTATCGCTGCTACTCAAACACAATGTCACAGTTGGATTAGGGATCGAGGTAAGCATCAGAGAGTAGGGGTAGTTCTCATCTTTACTGACAATACGTCCAGGAGAAATGGAGCGCCCGCAACTTGGCTTTCGACATTGCATGGGTAAGTGGATTTATGGAGTACGCGCGGTAGGTTTAGGTCACGCATATTCGATGACTGCAGGCTGCCTTGGAGACGGGTGGCGACATCACCAAAGCACAAGCGGTTGCCCTCGGGTCCACAAATATTGAAATACTACTTGGCGGGAGGGTGGAAGTTGAACAGGCAGCTGAACTGGTTGCTAGACAAGGTGGTGATCTCTTCGACGTCGACAGCAAAGTAGTGGCTGTCATCGCCCCGCGTCAGGGGCAAGTCCATATGTTCTAAAAATACAGCTAGCACTTCATGTCCACTCGACGACAGCGTATCGTAGAAACAAATATAATCCGGTCGCTTTCTTGTGACTATGGATTGGGGGAAATGCGAGCGAGACTGGTCACTAGTCAGTCGTGCACTAAAACATTCTGCCTTTGCAGTTCCGGGCACCACATTTGCACGGGACATAGATCGCATCGTCATGGTCCGGCATCGAAGGGCCCGTTGCCTCTTCCTGCACTCATTATGCGTAAACCGTTCAGAGCGCATGGATTAAAACACGTACCTCATCTTCATCAGGAGGCCCAGTGTAGGAAAAACACAATTCTTCGTATGCTTCAACGTCTCTTCGGGTAAAAACTGTCAGCAGAGGCTTTTCAATATTTCCCTCGTTGATGTAGCAAGGGACCAGAGAGCAGTTTGGATCGCAGCTATGGTTCTAAGAAGTGCTGTGATCACCGATTTGCAGCAAACCGCGATAAACGGAGGCATACCAAAAATCGCGTGAACTATGGATTTGTCGTCAGTATGGCACAACTTCGGCAAGGTATCAGAGCACGTACATTCCCAGCATGGTAGGCGTCTACCGTATACGTGACTTCCCAGTCTTCGACTTCCTTCCGTATGTACCAGAAATCGATATCAAAAAGGTATGTTCTGCCGAATTTGTTGTATTTGCTGTACTTGCAGTCATTTCAGGCACTCCGGGCGTATGCAAGGAGGATAACGTACAGGCCTCTCTGTTCACCCTCTGCATCAGTAAGCAATTCCCCAGCATAAATGCCGATATAGGTGCCGCAGGGAATTCGCTTATCGCCGGCAAATACTCCTGCAAAGATGGCTTAGTGGAATACAAAACTCCAAGAATATTAGCTATAGTCATACCCCATCCCTTGGACTTTGTCTTCACAATATTGATCGCACAGGCTCGTCCATGTTGAACAACCTGCAGATCACTGCAGTAATGGCTTTCACTGAGGATTGGTTCTACTTACCCGATTTCTACACTCGTCCGAGCAACCACAGAGATCATTGCATTCAAAGATGGGGTAATCCATCATTGACCGTTTCAGCCGACCTTTCTCATCATACAGGAAACCCTTTACGCCCTCGGTGTATTTCTCCTGTCGGCGCAAACAGGAGCATGTCTTGGATTTCGGGTCGCACGGTCCTTTGCAGCCACATCCTCGCAACCTTGAATGATCCGGTCCGGGAACACCTTTGCCATGCCACATGTAATTGGAATAGTGAAATTCCCATGGAGGCGTAACTTCGTCATCACCGTCTATAGGGTTGTATATGCGGATCACAGGAGCATCCGGCTCGTCTTCAGCAGTGCTCTCGCTCATTGTGGCTTCGAATATGACCCTGGCGAAGTCAGATTTAAGATAGCTTGACGGGAGTGAGTTCATATGGTCTTGAAGTAAATGAGGAAGGTCTTCAGCCCTATGACAAGTTGGGACAATCTCCTTCTCGAGGGCTGCTGTATCCAATGAGATATCTCTGATCCCTGACGTAATCTCTTCCGATGCTTGACTACGGCCCCTTGCACGGATTCGACCCGGTCTAGAGGTCAGCTCATCCAAGTTGGCATCTATTATATCCATTGGGAGGCTTGATTGTGAGCCTTCCGTTTCTGGGGACGAGTGAGAAGCCGAAGATGGACGAGACGAGCGCACAGAACGTGAGCCTCGAGATCTCAGCCGTGCACGCGGCCGATTAGTCGTTTCGCCGTCCAACTCCTGCAACGCATTCAGTGCTCGTTAGTGGCTCAGCATGCCCTCGGTGATAAACGGAAGCTTGCCTGGTAAGAATCGGGATATCCGAGGTCCATCGCGTCTCCTTGGGAAGAGACGGGCGAATAGAAGCGTTGTGCACGACGAGAAAGCGGCATCTCCTCGTCCGAAGACGCTGTATCCGACTGGGGAGGGACTTAGACTTCTGGACTACGAGCGCGAGAGATGGGCAAGCTCACTGCATGACCGTCCACTGCATCTCCCTCAAAAAAACCTAGAGCCTTCTCTCGCAGGAATGAGGATAATCTGCTTTGCTGTGACAAGTGTGGAAGACTCACAGGGTGCTCTGAGCCAGCTTTATCGGCGAAGGGTTTCTCAGAACTTGCGCTAATCGCTTCAGGTACGCTGGGAAACAGATGCTGCGATGAAGACGGCTGTGGCATGGAGAGTCTCGCAGGTACATGCGAGCTCTCATTCATCACAGGATCTACCGTAGAGGGAACACGAAGCCTAGCTCCGCGCCTAGAAGGACCTAATAACTCATTACGCATCTCCGACATTTCTTCAGGGGTAATTGGACGTTGCACAAGCATAAGAGGACTCCCTTCAGAAGAAGTAACGGCCGTAGTGAACGGAAGCGCGTGCTCTGCATCGTAGGTATCCTCGCTTTCCCCTGCGTGCACGCAAGGTCACATTAGCATAAATAGAGAATACTCATGAGAGGGACAGACCAGTCAAGTCACTCTCATAGTTAGGGAGCACTGCTCTCAATCGTAATGCTTCAGCCAAAATTGCTTCCGAGTCACTTATGTTTTCGTCCTCGGAGTCGATCGTTAGATCAATAACCTGCTGCTCCTCTTGGTTGTGGGGGAAGAGCGTCGCCGAAGTAGGATATATTTCGTCACCGGAATAGGGTCGCGGTAGTGGACCCGCTGCAACAAACGTAACTCCCAGTTCAGGTCGCACAAATGGCAAGGGGTCCTCGCTGGAAGGAGATACGGGATCTTTATCCTTATACAGCGAGTAATGGTCAGAGATGTAAATGTCGGCTATGCCGCGGCGCACTCACCTGTGATGGACCAGAGTCCTTGTCTCCCGACATTTCAGCTGTGGCTTGAGGAGTAGGACAATCGTCATTGCTCGGCTGAATACCGTGCTCCACTTCACCGCGCGACACATATTGGCCAGGCTCCAGTAGGTCTTCCACTCTGCCTTCACTTGAATCAGACAACTCATACCCTTGACTAGGCGATGTGGGCTCAAGGATATCCGCCGGCGGAGGGCTACGAGGTGGAGGGGTCTCGTTCCCCAGTTGGTTAGAGCTTGCGGAGGGCTGTTGAGAGAGAAACGGTTCTGCTTGAGAGAGCGAGCCACGGCTGGTTTGTTGACTAGACCTTCGACGATAAAAGCGTGCCCATAGACCTGTCTCGCGGGAATATTTGGAGCCCTTATAGACGGCTTTATTGGATGGTTTGGCGGATGCAGAAGGCGAGCGCTCTGCTAAAGATGGACTTTGTGAAGGAGAGTCGCTAGTAAGGTTGCTTGCTGTTGTGCGAAGAGACTCGATGGGACACGTGTTCAGCTCCTCCGGAAGTGCAGTAGAGGAGTCCGGGGAGTTGTCATCAAGATCACCGGCATCATGTCCTGTGGACAATACGGCTTGGCCCGAATTTGGCTCCCGAGAGAAGTGCTGTAAGCCCTGAATGTCAACAGGTGAGTTTTCCGTTTGATGTTGAACCGCACTATCTTCAGGACCGGCGAGCCTGTCATTTGACGCCTCTGGAGGGTCCGCATCAGTCCCGACAGTTTGTGCTAAGTCTAATGGGTCTTCATCTCCGAGATCCGGACCCGGCGACTCGTTCATGCGAAGAGCGTCGTCGTTATCGAAGACGGGGTCCGGCATCTGAAGGAATACAGTTATCCAAAGTGCACCACGGTTAGATGGGCCGGCTTACGGGTTCATGGGCTTCCTGAGCAATGTTATCCTCACCAATTGTAGCATCTTCTATCTCTGCATTTCGCTCGGGATTATTTATGGCAGGGAAGGCAGGCGGCGACATTGCAGCGGGGCTAGATGTAATAGGCTGCTGGAGAGCCAAGTGATCCTCTCGACCTTCCTCATCATCACTACAAAGGTCAATAACATCGGTGTCTTGACGAATTGCAGGTGTAGAGGAAGGTGGTTTGACTCGCACAACCGAGGGCGTGTCTTGCTCGTTCTCGCTGTCGGACTGGAGCTCAATGGGATCAGTCTTGCGACCCGTTTGCGAGAACGATAGGCGAGGATGTGAGGGTGCCAGATCGATGAAGTCAGCTCCATTAGTGCTGGACGAGGTGCTTTTCCTATGTTTAGGCCCTGTGTATGCGGAAATGGAATGGAATGAGATGAATGTGAGTCTCCTAGTCGAGACACTGACATCGAAAAGCGGGAGGTGCTGTTTGAGGCGAACTCTGGGGCTTGGATTTGTCTGTACGACGACGTCAGGAATTCTCACTCTCCCCGGGACTAAAGTCAAACCTTTTCCCTTATCTCTCGGGGTGAAAAACGCCGAAAAAAGCTGAGGATCTCTGGGGAGACGAGACTCTGGCTTATATTGTGACGCGGGTGATGCTCTTGCACGGTTGTCCCTCGTCGGTGACGACGTAAGTCCATTGGACGGTCGTCGCTGGCTGCCCCGTGCTCGAGATAGTAACGTCGAAAGCTCAGGAATGTCAGGAGAATCAGCATTCTCTCTCGATGCCACTGCTTCATGTCGCTCAGAAGAAGGGTTCTTGGAAGAGCTGTGCAGAGCAGTCGAGAGCGGACTTGCCGCAACGGACTTAGCAGGTTGCTTACGCTTGCGCGGAACTGGTCGACCGCTCAACGTGTAAGCTGGAAGGTCACCACTTGTCTCCGTGTCAAGCACTCTCTGCCTTTTCCTCTCCTTTGGAGACGCTCCCACTGGGGCTCTGCGTTTCTGCGTTGCGGTGTTTGAGTGTCCTAACTCATCATCCTCTGGCTCCAGCTCGTCATTCGACGACTGGGACACGGGAGACGAAGCACCGCTCTCTAAAGAAATAGTGTGAATCCAATGTCCGGACAAAGATCGAAACCTGCATGTGCCTGAGCATCACGGACCTTCTCCAGGTTGGAGGGTAGCCCATCCTGGACCGGGCGATGACTCCGGGAACGGCATGTAAGATGCGATCTCCTACAATCCGCAGGTGCTGTTCCAGCCCGCAAACACACACGCAAGGGTTGAACGTTGAGCGCTTGAGCGGCTCAGTCACAAGTGGCGGCAGTATTGGCCGGGGTTAGGTGCGAGCTCAGCTTCTTCAGCCACAGACGCGTAGCTGTCACGCGAGCAGATTCCACGGCCACTTGTCACGTCCTGTTATCGAGACCGTGATACACGATACATTCATTCATTCGATAACCAGAAACCCTAAAGGATACATAATGGTCTTTACAGCAAAAATCTATAGTCGTAAAAGGCATTCTGATAATTAGCCCGAACCCTAAAATACATATTCTACGGTAAAACGAATGTGGTCACACAGAAAGATGCAGTAGAACTAGTGCAGATGTAGAAAAGCCAGGCAAATGCATTGTGACGATCGAGTGAGATGCAGATAACATTAGATGCAATGAAGATCCTTCGATGCGACTGAACGATGCGAGTCTAGAATGAATGAGTCCTTCAAAAATGCTCTTGGTGAGGCGGTAAGGGCTCGAGATGAGAAAGGGGAGTCCGTGATGGTGTAGAGTACTGCGATCCTTCTGGTGAATAATGGGAATATTGGGAGGGGATGGTCGATTGCCGCAACGAACGTCTCGATTGAGACGAGTCATTCAACGTCGAATCAGAGTTCTCGCGCTGGAACTCGGGATAGGGGCCCTGCGCTGCACGATCTTCAAGCTTATCCTCCGGCGACGGAAGCTGACGCCAACTACCACGTCGGCTCTTCTCGATAGTCTCACCCTTCTCCAAGATAGAGGACTGCGCAGAGTTCTTGTGACGACGCCACAGGTTCGACAGGCCAAGGTTCACCACAATATTGATGAACATAACGACAACAGCCACAGCCCAGATCACGGCAATCACAGCGCCAATAACGGTTCGCGGGATGGGCTTGACGTTCAGGCGCTCGATGAAGGACACCATGAGCCCCGTACAAATAAGCCGTACAATAGCCAGGTAACCCGCTAGGAAATCGCCGCCCCGACGTCTGAACGGTTTAAGGGTCACAACGGCGACAAAGACAGCAAACTCGATGATAATGAGCGCGATAACCTGCGTTGTGCCGCTCGCCTTCGCGAATGATACGAACAGCGCCTTGAGGAAGGCCCCGACAATCAGAGGAGCGAAGAAGTAATAGCGAGGATTGCGGTATTGCGCATACAATGGCCCGTTTGCTTGCAGGTGATCGGTATGCGTGTAAAGCGCGAAGGGCGATGAGTCGCGAGCAAGGCGTAGGGTGACGAAGGAGGGCCACAGCACATATGCAACGATGACGAGGAACATGATCACGGAAAGCAGGACAGCAAGCCACGAGTCTTTCAAGGTCCACTGGTAGAAGGTGAAGATCACGACTGGAGAGAAAGCGAGGAAGGCCTGGTTGACTCGTTAGTGAGGTGCGGTGGGACGCTCGACGAACGCAACTCACCAGTCGTAGACCCCACGCTCTCGCAAAAGCAGAGTAGCGATCCTCGAATTCCAATACACTCTCTCGTTGGCCCCACCGAGAACGCGTCAGTAACAGCGCCAAGCCGTATCCAACGGCGAGAGCAGCCGAAGCGATCGCGATCATAATGAGGACCACGAGGAAAATGGTCATGAAAGCATTGCCTGTTGAAATGCCAACAGAGTTGACGTAGATAGGGATGCCCGCTTGCAGAACATTATCGGAATCAGTGGTGACTGTGGCGACGTCTCGCGTCGCCAGAACGGAAGTGTTGCGAGGGGAGGCAGCAGAAGGGAAGATGAACCCTTTAACGAAGTCCATCGACGGCAATGCGCCAGCCTTTGCAATGAGACTTTCCGGAACCACGTAATCTTGATTATACGGACTGAGCCGACGGTTCACGAGACTCACAGCATTCCCGCTACTGGAGTCCGCAAGGTGACCACCGGTCTTGTGTCGCATATTGTTGATAGAGTTCTGCATAGATGAAGTGAAGGACATTGGGAAGAGCCCCATCGCCCATGAGAAGTTGAGTGTGAAGGCGCGGTAGAGGGATGAATAATTGAGGTCCAGGAACGCAGAAGTAGCTATCGCCTGGTAGAGATAAATTAAGTCTAGGAATCGGAAGGGTGCGAGGGATTCGGGGATGATGGAATGCCAGATTGCAGACAGGAAGGCAAGAATGGCCACGGCGCCAGTTGCCCATTCGACGCCCGGTTGATGTGTTGACCATCCATTGGACAGAGTGGACTGGACGCACGCCTTGAGATCGCCGGTACTGACTTCGTTCAGCTTCAGCTGCGCGAAAGCCTCCAGGTCGGGAACCTGGTATGCGATTCCCGGAACTCTGGACGACACGTCCAGAGAGGAAGGTAACTGAATGGTCTCCGAGCCGTTCAGTTGGTACTGAGGGAGAGGGCAGAGGGCACCGCTTAGGACATCACATAAGTTAATCGTGAAGTTCCATGTCAAGCCGTAGACATTCAAGTAGAGGTTCGCTGTCACGTTCGCGTCCTTTTCCTGAGAAGCGTCTTTGTCAGACTGGGGCAGGGTGAAACGCGCTGCACAAAAACTTACAACGCTAGCGGCCGACACGTTGAAGAAAACGGAGGAGTTGTCGGCAAAGTATTTGACATCAAACTGTGAGATGAGAATGGCTTCGGGTGGGGAGCAGTACGACACGGAAGAGGTAACTGAAGGAAGGCATTAGCAGGCGCGCTTCACCGGTAGGAATTGGTACGCACATAGAGACTTTTCGCGACACTCGACGAAAGGCGAAAGGATCAAAAGAGCCGTCGCGAAGTGTCGCAGCCTGGCGACTGATAAACGCATGGGAGGCGGAAAGTTTGGAAGGATGGATATCGGGATGTGGAAGGTTTAGGCCAGCTATTGGTGGTAGATAAAAGAAAAGAGTGAATAGCGCACAGGTTAGCCTCATGGAAACAGTGAGCATTGTGCGCTGTTAAATGGACTCACGAGGTAGGGTAGTCTATTGTTCTCGCGTGTAACGTAATTAGAACAAGGACGACCACAACGACGACGACGACGACAAGAGCAGCGCGGACGAGGGTAGAGCAGGGGTGCCCGTTGTCATGCGCGTCGCTGAGGTTATATAGGGAGCGGCAGCGAGGTCGACGTAGGTGTGGTGAGCGAGAGCCAAGAAATGGAGCTGACTGTCAAACATAGCGGGCCTTGCGTCTTATGCATGCTTTGTGCCCAGCGTGGGAACCCTCCAGCCGACCCGCCGACGCGCTCGGGAATCTCACCCCGCCGCGCCTTCCGAGGTTCCATCCTCGTCCGCAGCATCATTCGTGACAAACGTTTTATTACAGACCAAGTAGCTAAGTACAGCGAAGCCACAATGGTCGTCTACAAACGTTTCTAGCTGTTGATGTACAGGCATCGATCGTAGTTCCCGTTCTGGTTCGCGCCCCACCACTGCGGGAACAGGTGCGAGGACCCTGCCGCTCCAAACACTGCAAACGACAAGATGAACACCTAGCCAGCAGTCCATCAGCCAGGAACGTTGACGACACGATCCAGCTGCACTCACCATCACCTGCGTCCCGCCATCGAGAGCTGCCATGGATAGCCATCAGTGACATACATTACTCCTGACCGGGAGCTGTCGTGCGGGGACTGCAGCCAACGCTCCATGCCTCGCGCATCCGCGCCGCGCCCAGCACGATTCTCCCGGCTCAAGCTCAACCACTCACCAGCGCCAAGAATATAGTTGTACTTCGCGAACCAGCCAGGGTACCGCGTCCGGAGCCACCACTGGGAGAACCACGCAATCGCAAAGTACGATAGGATCGACGAGTTTATCCCTACGCAAAGCCACCCGATATAGTAGCTAGAACAATATCAGTCCAGCATCACCTCTGCAGCGGTGCTAGCTCACCAGATCACAGGCGTGTACAGGTAGTCCATTCTCAGTTTCGGCCATTTCTTGTGCACATACCAGAAGGGAATAGGAACGACCAGACCGACCAGGTATGCCCACGCGACCCACTGATAGCGCTTGCCTGCAGCAAATAGTTGATGGCTCAGGCCTCCCCATGCCACCGCCTGGGAATTGTACTGCTGCGGCTGTTGGCCTGACCAGACGTTCGTACCCTGAAGTGATCGTCAGACCGCGGCGAGCTCCCACTTCTGTGCGTACTGACCTCAACCGAGAGAAGGATGGGCCGCTGATTGTCGATGATGGAGTTCATCAGGACTGCAGTCTAAGTATCAGTATCTCTCCAAATGGCAAGTGGAAAGTACAGACTAAAATTCAGGACCGAGCCAATCAAGGTGCCTAGGAGCTGTGCCACGAACGCAGCTCGAGGAGGTAGCTTGGTGTCTAAGCAGAGATCAATGAGTTCCGAAGAGGCGTGAAGAGGTCCACAGCACACATACACTGCGCTATCTTAAGATCCCTGAGGAGCAGCTGTGCTTGCGAGACGGAGTTGTAACTGTACAACACGAAGTACATGTTCGCCATCGGTTTGCCGGGATGTAGGAAGCCGCCGATCATTTGGACGAACGGCTGGATGGCAAAAGGGAAACCTGTAATGGCGTACAGCGCACAGAAGAAAAGGACAGAGATGGCGGCCAGAAGCAGAGCGATGATGAATCCCCACCTGATCCCACATATAAATGGCTGTTGATCGTAAGTCAAGGGTAGCACTCACCAAGGCAAGGTAGAATCCGTCTTGTAGATGACAATTAGGGCCACCATGAATGAGAGTACGAGCGTCAAGAAGTACCAACTATTCGGGGCGTCAGGGTACTTGAGCATCTCCCGATAGTGCGGGTCCGTCTCGGGGTCTTCTTCCGCTACCTTGATTCCTTTGTCTTGCCAGAACCTCCAGTTGAACGAGGTCCACCACTTCCTGATGGCACTGGGACGCATCCACTCCCAGGCACCTTTCATGTCATCGCGGTTCCACAGCAGCAAATGCGTGATGGTTGCAGCGAGGCCAAGGTTGGTGCCGAGCAATTGGATAACCCACGTGGATGCATAGTAAGGAAGGCCTTGTTCCGCAAGAAGGGTGGGGTCGACCTCGTACTTGTCATTCAATATGAGCAACTGATCGTACACCGTGCCGTTCTCGTAGAAGAGGGTTTGCGACAGCTACCCGGCCCGATTGTCAGTAGGTGGTAAACAAGATGCATGAATGACCTACGAAAGGGAAATTCTGCGCTTTCCAGATGTTCTTGTAGTACACAGCGACGAAGACGACCCTATGACAGTGATCAGGATATCGGCACCTCAAAAATGATACTACTCTTACATGCAAAGAATATAACCCAGCAAGTTTGAAAACTGAGTCTCCGTCAAGACGAGGGCTTCTAATACACCAATAGATTACTTACCTGAGCCTTGAGAGGAATGGCGAAAGGATTTACTCCTCCGGAAATGTATTGCCAGTCCAAGCAAAGTGACAACAAGCCCAGCCCTTCATTTCCGTTGGTGCCACCGAAGATGCGTGTGAAGTCTGCGTTATTCTGGTCCGCGAGACAGAAAATGGAGAAGCCAGTGAGCAGCGGGAAAATCCATTCTGGCACAAGTTCCCAGAAGAATATCCTACGATGCAAAGATCAGGCAGAGCTCGATGCGGATAATCTGCGGCACTTACACGAAGAATGCGATAGTGAATAGCTTGAGTTTCTTCCGATTCGCGGCGCCCTTCTCGTACCACGCGTCGAACATGGCCACGAGGGGTAATGTACCGGGGTACAGCATCTTCGAGGGATACAAGAGAATGCCTAGCGTGAGATAACGTCAGTGCGCTGCTCCGGTACCCGATCGGACTTGGTCGTACGCCTCATTAGGCCCGCAATCCCGTAGCCTATTAACTGGCTCGAGAAAAGCAGGAAAATCGACGCCGCAGCATTGGGAGTAATGTTGTAGTATAGCCGCTGCACTGCCAGGACCTCGGTACCAAGGGCAGAGTTGGCTGCGGCGCTGGACATGATCACAATGAAGGCATTCTCCTTTTTATTGAACGGTCCCTTAGGTGCGAGTCAGTAAGCATGCATGTTTATAACTGAAAACAGGTATCCTACAGGGTTGAGGTATCTGAACCAGCCGCGAGTAGGAATGAATGTCTCCATAGCTATACCTAGAACATATGATATTATAGCCAAGAACATGAGGGACACCAGCACCGTTTGCTATCACAGATATTAGTGAGGCTAGGACGGACAATTACGCTGGCCGTACCGGTTTGAAGTAATAGATCTCCGCTAAACACACTGTTGTGAGCACGTATTCAGTAGCCCATCGTTCCTAAAATTTCACCCACCAAGGACGCCACCGAAGCACGAGAGTCCGAGGCCGATGAAGAAAGACCGAAAAGTCCAGGGGTTAAGCGACGGGTCATCCTCCACTGAAATGACATGGGTGGCGATGTCCCGCTCGTCCTCCAGAACAGTCTCGCTCGAGCTGTCCGTTTCCTCGCTATGGGACTCGACGTCGGTCTTGGTATAGTACGTCTTCTCATCCACCGGACTGAGGAGCCGGCCACCCGCAGGTAACTGTTCCTCGATAGAGGACATACGTCGCAATCCTTCGACACTTGCCATGGCGGAGAGGGACGGCACTCGTGGACAGTTTCACGCATCGGACTGGGGCTTATTAAGTATGCCAGAGCGACACCATGTCATAGCGAATGTGGTCGCGCGATAAGGGCCTATTCTTACACAGGACCTAAACTGGCTTGTCAGGATGGCAAAAATCTGGCATCGGCAGAACCTTCTAGTGGAGGTCCGCAGACAGAAGTCTATATTGGAGCGTGTTCCACCAGGTCTGCACAGGGCTGTGGGAAGGTTGAAACCAGAGGAATCCTAAATATATGTTAGGGCTTCGGATCCTGAAGTACGCATGCAAGAGGGGGCCTTCGGGAGAATCAACGGAGGCTTCAGTAAGCATCATCATATCTGTCTGTGTATGAAGCATTCGCGAAGTTACTTACATTCTTCCAGGAGGGCCCGGTACTTGGGTTGGTTTCCGCTGTGGTATAATTGACAGGAACTCGACGATGGTACCTTACGGAAGAGACTCTGGATGACGGAGGTGAAGCAAATGAGGGGTATCGGTGTCGCCGGCACCGAGACAGGAAGAGAGGGAGATACGCCGGGCATGATTGAACCGAAGTCACCGGTAGGATCACGACGGCATGGGGCAGAACGAACGAAAGGCCAGTTGTGGTTGCTATGACCGAATGAAGGATCCTCGAATTCGCGAAATGGCATCCTGGAAACTACATAGGGCCTCCGCCACAAACCGCAGGATTAATCCACTCAGCCAAGACGAAGGTAATGCGGCTACTTTCCAGAGTAATAAACAAATATGGTTGAAATGCGACAGCCCACCGTTCCGTTACACACTTACGAGGGGTACGAATGCAATTATAGTGGTACTGTGCAGAGGATACTTGGATGAATGACGATGCCAAGTAGAGTGCGGCATTGGCCGAGAAATTACAAGTCCGCCACGGTAGTCGGGAAATATTGGGACGAACGCAAGCAAGCACGCCAATACTCCAGAACATCCTCAGGGACGATGTTACTCTCCATCGCGCGCCCCGCCGCCGCCGCTACGGGTTTGGGCCGTCGTGCTGCCTCCGGCATTGCCCTCAAGTACTCCCAGGCGGTCTACAAGGCAGCCCTCTCCAAGTCTCCCCAGGTCCTTAACAAGGTCCAGACGGAGCTGAACGCGATTTCCTCGACGATCAAGGAGGTCCCGGAGCTGAACCAGTTTGTCACCAACCCCAGTCTTTCCGCTAAGGACCGCACAGCTGGTCTTGCGGCCCTCTACGCGCGCGCGGAGGGGACGGGTGCTAAGAAGGAGCCCGTGTCGGATATCACGAAGAACCTCTTCTCTGTCCTGTCGGAGAACGGGAGGTTGGCGGAGACGCAGGGCGTTATTGAGGGCTTCAACGAGCTGGTCGCTCAATATAAGGGTGAATTGACCGTGGTTGTCACGTCAGCGAACCCCCTTCCGAGGGAGACCCTTTCCCGGCTCGAGTCCACGTTGAAGCAGTCGCAGGCAGCTCAGCAGGCCAAGAGTCTCAAAATCACGAATAAGGTGCGTCACAGCCCACTTTTGATTTCATCCAGGTCTGAATTATCTCGTTTAGGTCAACCCAAGTATCTTGGGTGGGATTGTCGTTGACTTCGGCGACAAGACAATAGACCTGAGCGTGCAATCACGGGTGACTAAGCTCAACAACCTTCTGCAACGTGCGTACTTGTTCCTCGGTGCAGCAGGCTCAGATCTCACTTTACAATGTAGAGGCGGTTTGAGAGGTGGATGCTTAAAGTGGAGAGACTTATTTAGAGTTGGCAATGATACGGACTTGAAATGCCCAGCGATTTCTCTCCAGTCCGCCCTGCGACGTGCGCTCAGACGTTGCTGGTACGTCAACGTCATGTCCAAGTTCATCGGTCTGAGAGGCTTCGCCGCCTTCGGACCCGGAAGCCCAATCATAATGCACTTACCCGTGCGCCATCGACTGCCTATTCCGAGTCCCATATGTGGGAATCTCAATTTAATCATTGTTCAAGTGCGGTAGGAATGTTGTCTTTCGAAAGGAATACCAGTGTGGCAAAACGACGTTGCCACAGCTGACCGCACGTGAGTGTTCCAAGGATTGTCACAACACGAACACAGCGTGCAATGTGTGTAACCTCTGCGCAGCCATTCTACTTGCTCGGATGACTGAGCAACCACCTCAACCCGTCTACCGTGTCCATCATAAACCGCTTTGACTCCTCCTTATGTGGCCAGAATGCCCAGAACCCGTGCGGGACATTGTCATACTTCAGTAACTTGGTAGGAATCCCTAAATCTTCTCTGAGCTCTCGCTCGAACACGATTGCATCGTCGCGCAGCGGATCTAACTCGCAGACTTGCAAGAAGGTGGGCGGGAGACCGGCACGAGTTGCGTTGGGTGTATACAAGTTATACAGGGTGGAGTTGCCATCCGGCTTGTAGGCAGCTACAGGCAGATATCAGCGTGACGGTAATTCGAACGGCAGTCCATGCTGACCCTCGAACGTATCAATCAGCGACTGGTTGAGCGTTGCAGCGTTTTTCTGTTCCTCGTAGCTCTTGAGGTCGCCCTTATACTTCTCAGGGATATCATGGGAATCGAAGAAACACGGAACCATCAGCAGAAGTCCTGTTACTGGGGGAGAGAGCTGGTGGTCGCGTGCGAGGACTCCACACACTGCTGCAAGGTTCCCTCCCGAGGAGGTACCAGCGATAATAAAACCTTTTGACGGGTCTGCCTTCAGTTCAGCAGCGTTTGCCGCTGCCTGTATGCATGTATTAAACCTGACCTTCAGAAGTTAGCTGAAGCAGTGCACCCACCCATTTGGTGGCGTCCCAGCAATCATTTGGTGCTGCAGGAAATGGATGTTTGGGTGCGAGCCGGTAATCCACATTGACCACCACGCATCCAAGGTTCTGAACGAAGAGCCGGGAAGATTCGGTCTCGTTATGCAAGCCTCCTGCAACGAAGCCACCTCCGTGGAATATCATGACCAGCGGACTCCCATCAGCTGGAGGTGTTGCTGGACTGTGAAGACGGATTGGGATCTTGTGGCCGTCGGTCCCGGAGATGGAGATATCGACTTCCTTCACGCCTTGGACTTTTGTTGCCCAGTTGCCCTTCGCCTTCTTTTGTACGTCAATGTCAAGATAATCCATGCACCCAGAAATGTGGCCGGGGCTGCCAGTGCGTGGCCTCAGGCTAACTAGAATTCGCGTACGTAGATATAGCAGGAATTGTGGCACTGCTGGTCGCATGGAGAGCGGCCATTGATGCGGGGCTGATGATGCTCTCCGTGTGCGTGCGGCGGCTCTGCGGCCGAAAGACTGTCAGTGATCCTACATCAAGTGACAGTTACTAGTGCGAAACTTCCCATACTCAGAGATGTACCCGTCATGCAGGCAGATATGGTGCCGCCGTTCCAGCTAGAAGACCCCGAAGGTCGCCCCCGTCTTTATCGATACAGTAAGTAAAGCGGTAAAGACAGCAGTGCAAATATTATAGTAAGACGGAGCATCGACATCGGATCAGTCAGGGAGGATCCTAGTAGGTCGAAAGGATGATGGTATGGTGCGGGCCAGCTAGCTACCACCACTTTTGTACAACAGACATGGAAGACTTAAATTTACCTCTTTTTATGATGCCTCTTGCACAAAGACTCCTTTTCATGAAAGGAGCAAGTCTACAAGAGGGTCAGATTCAATTTTGCCACTTACCATATTTGGTATGTTATGCATTACATAATCCTACCTCAGCAACCACTGGCTTGCCAGAATACCCAGGATACCAATTTTCTATGGTTATCTGCATCATTCCCAAGCAGTTAAGCAGCATCCCAGGGCACAAAATAGTCCATTGAGAGTAATCTAAATTTCGAAAAAATTCTCAGACCGATTTTGCCGCTGTACCAAAGTGGTGGCAGTTAGGTGGCCCGCACCATACAAGAGATGAACAAGCCAGGCAAGTATACTCATCACCTCTCATCACTTGGCAGGACTAGTACTTTGAATAACTTGTCTCGGCCGCTTGAGGGTGTCGACATTGGACTCGGACAGGCAGGCTGCCACTCTGGATGTACCGTTGTCTCCACCGCTGTGTTGAACATTTTTGCCCTGGATTCTCCACAGCACATGGAAGAAGAAGAGCCCAAGCTCCACTTTTCAAAAATCATTTACAGTCGCACCACGTCAAACAAGCAATTGTAAGTCCCCGAGAGACGGAAATCAGACCATCTGGACTTCCCCACCTTCCTCATGTTCCGTCCCTGGCACCCACTCCGACCCACTCCGACTATACAGATTTTCTGAATTGGTGGTCAATCGATCTGCAAAAGAGCGTCGCCGCTGGCAAATGTACAGTTTGGATCGTTGAACGTTGAGCAGGGAAGCGCCCGCGCTTGGGGTACGTAAAGTGTGGCTGTGATTCATTTAAGACCACTTGGGAGGTATTCGGCGCTGCGCGGCACGCCAGGTCCGATTCCTCCTTTGCGGTCGCCGTTTGAGCGTCAACTCTGAAGTCATGACGCTGGGTTATAATGACAGAATTAACGTGCTTTACTTCATAACTCTCATTAGGTTGTTTTCTGCTCGCATGACGCCTTTGCAGCCTTTCCTTATGTCCGACGGCTTCAGCCCTATTGGCTCAATGGTCTGCGCCGACAGTGGGCTGACATCGTCAATCACATCCTCACGCGGAAGATTCGGGTTGGGGCACAAAGTCAATACAGACCAGGTTAAGGGTGTGTGGTCAACCGCCGGATTAATATTAATAGTCGATGATACGAACGAATTAACAATTATGTATATCTTGCACCGTCGATGATGTCTGCTACCCAAAGCACGAAGCGATTGAGGTACAACGTTGTGGGCATGCACATTACTTGCTTTTCTCTTCCTTCGCAAGAGTTATTGTTTCCGTCTCGGAGGCAAGAAGGAAAAGGGATTGTGAGGTTTCGGGGGAACAAATGGTGAACAACGAGAGTGCCGTGTTGCCGAACGAACTGATACATTCTGACAAGGGATTTAGGCGTGCTCAATTCTACAACTCGGCCATTCGCTCGAGCAATCGTTTGCGCTTTCGTTCGCGCCAGGAATAGCTCAAGAAGTGATGCGGGAGATAGCCAAATAATCATATGACTTTCTCCTCCGCGCTGGTTTGGCTCGCTCGGGCTCTCGTGTAACCCAAATATATGTACTACTGGGTCTGCACCGTAGGATGGGGATTACAATAATGATGACAGGCACTAAACATCTGTTTTGTTACTATGTTGCCCCCATGTAATGAGCTTATTGCCAGTGAATAGGAGACGTTGCAAAACTCGAGCCGCTCGAGGGAGCAGACGCTAGGCTCCCTTCGGCCATCTTTGAGCTATTCCTGGCGCGAACGAAAGCGCGGCGTGAACGATTGCTCGAGCGAACGGCCGAATTGTAGAATTGAGCACGCCTATTATAACGATGAACCGAGCCGTTCAGAACAGAGATGGCATCTTTGCATACAGTACGGTTTGGAAGCTCCCCTTTGGGAAAGCAAGATCTCATCGCGCTTGGAAAGTAAGGCACAAGCTCCTCTAGATGGAAAAACTGTCCGTAGTTGGTGAAAACCCCTGTTAAGCGCTCGCTTTCTCGATCACCAGAGAGCCCTATACAACAACTGAACAGTAAACCGATTCTAGAGGAATCGGAACTCGATCGCGTCGCATCGCGTTCACTTGCCCGCGACTTGTCCTTCCTGCCCATGAGTAACAAAGGCCAAGCGAGCAAAGCGACTTCAGGTACCCAGTCACTTCCACAACTGCATGTAGTGATGTCTGACAAGCTCTCCAGTTAATTGGTACGATACAATGCGAATATGTGCAGTGCAAATGGGGGTTGCTAATGTCGTTGGTATCTTGGGACACTGTAGCCCGATCTGCGGCAGAATAGTCCGTGAAGAGAATATCAATTATCACCTTGATAACGATTGTCCTGGACAAAATGCCCGCGCCACTCCAGCTTCGAAAACTACCTCGAAGGCTCCAGTAGCACCAGTATTCAATTCTGCAAAGAAACCCTCAAACGTTACTGTCGAAGGCAGCTTTCATATAGGGTCGTCGCTGGCGACCAAGCGAGAGCATCCTGAGGCCGGTGGTGCCTCTGTCCCTAGAGCCACGAAGCGCAGCAAAGGCACGGTGACGTCTCGTTCGCAAGCTGCTGCACCGCTAGCGGAGAGGCTTCGGCCCCAAGAACTGGAAGACTTTATTGGACAGAAGCACCTTACGGGAAGTGACTCTTTATTGATGAATCTGATGCGTGGAGGATCAACAGGAAGCATCATCTTCTGGGGACCACCCGGGTATGACCCTAGTTGAGGGCTATGTTGTGCATACGCTCAACCCGTGCTGTAGATGCGGCAAGACAACCTTGGCAAGGCTCATGGCTAGGAAAAGCGGGGCTGTCTTCAAGGAAATAAGTGCAACCGAAGCCGGCATCGGCGATGTCCGTGCTATTGTGGAAGAGGCCAAGGGCACTCTGATGCTTCAAAATAGGTATTTCCTCTGTTCTTCTGTTTAAGGCATGACCTACGTTCTGAACATCCCTATCAAGGAGGACTGTTCTTTTCTTAGATGAAGTCCATCGGTTCAATCGAGCACAGCAGGTACGCCCATGAGGGTTCCGGACGGGAGATGGTGCTTAAGCAATATCAGGACATATTCTTGCCTTATATAGAGCAAGGGCAAATTCAGGTTATCATTTTGCTTTTGTACTGTAAATGAATCTATTGATAGTCTCGTAGCTTATAGGCGCAACGACCGAGAATCCTTCTTTCAAGATAAACAGCGCCTTGCTTAGCAGATGCCGGTGAGTATCTCTGTATTCTCCTTGGATCCGCTTTGATAGCGCACTCTCTCAGCGTCTTTGTCTTGGAGCGACTCTCAGATGACGATGTGTCTGAAATCATCGACAAGGCCGTGCACCGCGTACTAGCAGGGTTAAATGAAGTTACTGACAGCGCCGCCGAGGCTAGCACTTCTTCAGCAACGGCACTGTCACAGGAATCCAACCAGTCTACTCTGATCTCGTCCCAGCCCTCAATTTCTGCCGTATCATTCCCAAGCTATCCACAGCTGACCGAACGTGTCAAAAAGTCAATCATCTCGCTGTCCCTGGGGGACGCCCGCACTGCTCTGTCGCTCCTCGAGCTGGTGCTGAGCTCCCCACAGGATATCCCAGAGGCGAAGTTACTTGACTCGCTTAGACGATCTGTCTCGACGTCGTACGACCGAACAGGCGACGACAGGTACGACCTGATATCTGCGCTGCACAAGAGCGTGCGCGGAAGCGATGGGAGCGCGGCTATGTACTGGCTTGCTCGGATGCTTGAGACCGGGGAAGATCCTATGTACATCGCTAGACGCATGACTGTCTGCGCCAGTGAAGATATTGGACTAGCTGACAGTCATGCCTTGCCCTTGGTGAGTGAAGAATACTTTTCATTTGGCTTAGAACCAATTGCTGCTCTCGGAAGGCGATTGCAACCATGCAGGCATGCCAGATGATAGGCATGCCAGAATGCCGTATCAATCTGGCTCATCTGGTTGCGTACCTCGCCGAGGCACCCAAATCGACGAGGTCGTATGAAGCCTACAAGCGCGCTGCCGCTGCGGCCAAGTCAGATCCTACCCTGGCTGTGCCTTTGGTGATCCGGAATGCACCGACTAAGTTAATGAAGAATCTGGGCTATTCTGAGGGGTACCGCTACAACCCGGACTATGCGTGCGTACCGATCGCAATAGCTCCCACTGATCGCTGAATATACCCGTCTGTAGGCATCCTGTGACAAATGACTACCTCCCTCCCCAATTTCGGGACGAGGTATTTCTGCGGAAAGAGGGCGATCTTTCCGGCAAAGAATGGGACGAAGAGGCCCTGCACCGATGGGAGGTAGACATGAACGGCGGAAAGGCATGGGAAGGCCGGGGAACCTCATTCCAAGACTTGTCAGACAATGACTCCCCAAAGGAAGGTGTCTAGGGCATATCCTCCATGCGATACATAACCGTGTTGCTGTGATGTTGGTATCTTGATGGTAAATGGTTTAAAAGTAATAAATGGTGGTCCATTCTGATCGAGCTAGAATTGGACCATTTATGGGTTATGGACCCTCCAGAAAGGTATGGGTTAAGGGGTATCAGGGAGTTATGGGTCATTGTGATGATTAACTAGGAACCAAATCGGTGGACACAACAATGTATGGGTTATTGGAGGTATGGGTTAAGGGAGAGTCGACTGTACATCAGTCGTAATCCACCCCTATTCCATAGCGATAAGGTGATGACTCGATACAGCTTCATACCATCTGTATGGATATATCAGCAGTGGAACTTGTCCCCCTCAGAGACCATACTCGGGATATATGCGGAAACGCAGGAGATAATGTCGGCACGTCATATCACGTGGAGAAGAGGTATATCTCGGGGTATCGAAGATAGTAAGGTCACCACGAGATGCCTACCCTCCCGTCGAACGTAGTCGACGGCGCTGGTGATAAGCCATACCGAGTCCTGTTAACAGGTTTTGGAGTAAGATACTCCACCACAACTCACTTGAGCTACCGATCTTGACGTACTTTCAGCCCTTCGGGTCGTTTGCAGTGAATCCTTCCTGGTTAGCAGTGAAGCCCTTGCACAATCTTATTCTGGACACTCAACCGGCCCCCGTAACGCATGAGGAGCAAGTTGTACTCGGTACAGACGGCGGCAACTGTGGAATACGCCAATTACACATTACTTCTCTGCAAGTACCGACAGAGTACGATGTCGTACTTTCCACTGTCCCATCATTCCACACCCGACCGCCTACTTTGCCGGAATCCGATGATCCCGGCCATCCTATGATACCTGCCGATGGGTATGATTTGGTCTTCCATGTGGGCGTCGCGGGGCCTGGTCCTGCGAGGTTGGAGAAGCTAGGCCATAAATCGGGCTACCAGATGAGGGACGCCGCGGGGAAGATGGCCCCTATTATTGCAGAGGAGGGAGGAGAGTTCATCTACAAACGTATGACAGAAGCAGAGGAGATCGAGATGGCAAGAATCAGAGAGAGGCTCCCGAACATCGAAAAGTACCAGCAAACAGGAAAGGTGCCCCTCCGGGGGTTCGCAAAAGGATATGAGCAGTTCGAAGAAGAAATCCACACAGATATAGACGTTGAGAGACTCGTAGCTCATCTGAAGGAGGCATACCCAGAGGTAAGCTGCGTTCACGACGGCAGAACCCTTGTAATTTGACTTGTTCCCAGTACATCCGGGACTCGGTAGATGCGGGGCGGTATTTGTGCGACTTCACCTACTACTGTTCCCTTGCAGAAGCGCAACGGCAGAAGGAGAAAGATTCATCAGGGAAGCGCACCAAGGTGCTATTCCTTCATTGTCCGCCAATAGATCAGCCGCTGGGTACGGAAGAGGTGACGGATATGATCAAGAGGACGATCGTCTGGGTATCGCAGAATAGCTAGCTCACGTGAGAAATAGACGACCAGGAAGGCCATCTACGCCTGGTTCACAGGTTATGTCGCAGGTCCAGGAGATGGACACGTTGCTGACAGCCATCTCCAGGCCGTCTCCGGGAGAAATAGAGTACATTGGGTTGCAGTCGCACGGAAACCAGAGAGAATATGGAATTTTGGAGGAATTCCATAAACAATTCCATAAGGATGTTCAAGTGAGCTGTGCTGGCGGTGAATGGCGCGCTTGCGAGTGGTCGACCGCGACGACAGCATGATGTGGGTGATAGTCGGACTGCTGGATGATTATTCAGAGCGGGCAAGCCACAAATGAGCGAGGAGGATTTGTGCTGCTGCCTCACGTGCTCAAGGCGTAATCATTGCCTTTGAGAATTTCCGGTTTCCCTACTTAACGCGCTCGCCATGGCCCGTGTCAGCCAGCATCCCCCTCAGCAATGGCCACCAACATCACGTTCCATCCGGGCTCTGTCGACGCCGCCGAGCGTGCCCAGCTTCTCGGACAGAAGGGAATCACCATCTGGTTCACCGGCCTGAGTGCCAGTGGCAAGGTATTGTTCTACGAATCTACACTAACAGCCTTGCCCTCAACGCGTCTTTGTTACGTAGTCGACGATTGCATGTGCCCTCGAGCAGCACCTCCTTCATCTACACAAGTTTTCCTACCGTCTCGACGGCGATAACATTCGCTTCGGCCTGAACAAGGACCTGGGCTTCGACGAGGCATCGCGGAATGAGAACATCCGTCGCATAGGAGAGGTAATAGAGTACCCCTCTGGCGTGTGCAATATCCTGACGATGATCCCGAAGGTCTCCAAACTTTTCGCCGATGCGAGCTGCATCGTCCTCACTGCCTTCATCTCCCCCTACCGGGCCGACCGAGCTGTCGCACGCCAGCTACACGAAAAAGCTGGTCTCAGCTTTATCGAAGTCTTCGTCGATGCGCCATTGAGGGTCGTTGAGCAACGGGATCCCAAGGGTCTCTATAAGAAGGCGAGGGCCGGCGAGATCAAGGGTGAGTCGTCCTACCCCAGCTTATGGAATGAGCGCTAATGGTATGCTTTTGTTAGACTTCACGGGCATTTCAGCCCCCTACGAAGCTCCCGAAACACCAGAGATTCATATTAAAACAGATGAGAGCGATGTCAAGGAGAGCGTCCGGATCATCACGGAGTACTTGAGCAAGCAGGGCTTCATTTGAGGACTGTGGATATTGCGGTCTGTTAATTTATCAAGTTACTTGTATTACGTAGAATGTTGCAATGCCACCCACGAGTTCTCAGTGTATCCTAAACATCAGCAGCGTCGATCTCCGAATTGTTCAATCCCGATTCGGGTTCTTCGGAGTCACCTAGGCTGCCCAGGATTCTCCTGTACGTTGGCTGTAAATTCTCCGGTGCCATGACGATCTCCTGGCGCTCTTCCTCTATAATGTCTTGGTGAGCCTTATCGAGAATCTGGGTCAAGCCCACTTCGACAACTGATAACCACTGCGTCAGATCGTCAACTGTCTTCGCGAGCTGGGAATGGGTCGCTTCATGTGACAGCATGAGAGAAGCCATATCGAGGGGCTGGATGATTGGTCCTTGGGTGGGCAGAGCCGTGACAAGCGACACTAAATCCTGCGACCGCGAATGGTAGTGTCCCGAGGGAGTCGGCGTCTCGCTTGGAGTAAAACGAGGTGCCAAAGGAGAGGGTGGGCTGCTATGGCCTACATGGGACATGGGTGAGTCGATATTTACGGACCTTGATATCTCCTTGTCGTCCCCGGGAGTCACGAATTGGTTAAGGTGACTTGGAGCTTGGACATGCGTTCGGGAAGTCTGGCTCATGTGTAAGGGCGAGGGGGGTAGGAGGTCAGTCATCCCAAGCTGATGTTCGGACGTCAGAGACGGAATCTATAATATAGGCGTACATCGTCAGACGCGGAAAATCGTGCAATGCCGTATATACACTCACTTTTAAGACATCTTTTAGTCCAGGAACCTGGGACATAGTGCTGTCACTGCTGCCACTTGCATTACTACCGCTGCGTTCCCTCCCTGCCCTGGCAAACGGCTTCACCGGGGGGGTAAGGGGTCCTACGTGCACCGACTCCATCACAGCGACGGACGCTTGTCTATTGAGACTGGGCTTTCGGGATACCGACGGAACAGCAATGCCATCCACCCCGGGAATCGCAGAACGGCTTCGCCCCAGGAACGGAGGCAGTGGTATGGAGTCACCCTTGACGACAAGGCCACTAGAAGTCGAATTGTCCAGCGAATGCGTCACTTGGTGAGCGGCGGGGGACGTCCGAGTGGAACCAGCAATTGCGCCCTGGGCCACTCTGCTGGGAGGCCTAGAAGCACTGACGGGAAGAGGAACCTTGGATGGCGGAGGGAACTGGAAGTCAGCAGGAGATGCTAGATTTCGTTCTCGATACACCCCTGGAGAACCTCCCGAAGACAGCGTGGACGCACTACTCTGAGAACGCTTTCTGATTATGACGGGCCTCTCTGGCGGCGCTGATGGGGGTGGCGCAGGCGGTGAGGTAACACCACGAGGAGTACCGGGTACAATGGAGATGTCATGGATGTCCACGACGGGCGGAGGAATCTCAATGTCGGGTACACCACGGGAGGACCGTACTTCACGATATGTAGGATTCGGTCGCACGGTGCCTTGAGGAGACTCCGCACCCACGGCATAACTTGACGAAGGCGCAGAGAGAGACAAGGGGTCGTTCTTGACCGACGATGAATCGCTTTCGTCTACGCTCCACGAGAAAGTCGATGACTTGCCATTGTCTCGGGCGCTCGAAGTTGGAGGCGGGAAGACGAACCCGCCTTGACGCAGATTGGGCGTCTCCTCGACATTGTCGGCCGTGAAGTTCCTCCTATTCCAACCTCTGTCGGGCGCTGGAGATGGCGAGAGGGAAGAAGACATATTCGTCGGCTGGCTACTCATAGTAGATACACCGATGCCGGCAAGGTTCGTCTGATGGGCCTGATTCATCATCGCAGGTTCTTCGGGGAATAGACCACGCAAAGAAGTTGGTAGCTGACCAGCCGGAGGGCGGATAGTGGGATGAATGTTCAACTCATTCTCTTCGTCAATAGCCCCTTCCGTTTCTAAGGAGGGCAGGTCCAGGGATGGCCGTCCACGGACTGTGTCAAACTCCCAAGGGTTCTCGTCCGAATCAGATTGATTCATAAGACTGAAATACCTCGTAAGGAATGGATGAACCGAGTTTCAATACACGTAAAACACCCACTCTCTCGTTTCCTCTGCTTCCCAATCGAGGGGCTGGGCAAGACTGGTCCTAGATCCTCCTGTCTGTAGCCAGTCCTCGTATTGCGTCACGAGGACTTTGAGGCTGGCAACAGGGATCTTGGCAGATGATTTAATCCATCGGGTCTTCATTAACTCATCCGCTGATAGACGCTACCGCGCAGATCAGTACGACGGATATCTCACAGGCCACGACTCAACGTACATCAGTCGGCAACTCTCGCAGACAACTAACAACAAAATCACGCATATCTTTGCTACCATCCGTCTCGCTCAAGCGAGGAGGCTTCGCTTTTGGCAAGAGTTGCAACACTTGGGCGGCCAACATGTTGGAGTGCGGAGGGCTGCCCTTGACCATCTCATAAATCATGATTCCTAGACTCCAAATATCGGCTTTCGTATCGTAGTTCGGGACAGACTGAGCGACTTCCGGCGCCATCCAATAAGGCGTTCCAACCAATGTGTTCCGCTTGCTAGACGTTGTGGGGAGGAGAGCGGAGACACCGAAATCGCATATCATAACCTTCCCGGTAGCAGTAATGAGGACATTGGCGGCTTTGATATCACGATGAATGACACCAGACTTGTGCAGGTAACTGAGACCTGCTAGTACCTCGCGAGTGATGATGACGATGTACTTCTCTTCCAGCGTCCCGTTCGGAAAAGCCTTCATGAGCGTTCTCACGCTGCCGCCTTGAGCATACTCCATGACAATCCATACGCGTGGTCCGTCCATGTAACAGCCATAATACTTCGTAATATTTGGTCCATCGCGCAACTGAGTTAGTAAGGCAACCTCGCGTTGAATGTCCGCCACATCGTCGTCTGCAGTATCCAGATTGATGATCTTGAGAGCAACAACATTGCCAGTTGGAATATGTACGCCCTTATGAACGGATCCATATGTGCCTCGTCCTACTTCCTGGACGCGCTTGTAAAGCTGATGAACGGACGGTTGGGCCATTGCTACAGATCCGTCTGATGGTCGTCGTAGAAAGGTACCTCAAGAGGTGGCTGCGTATGATCAGGGTTGAGTATCGCAGCACGTAACAATCTCAAACTAGATTTACCAGACTCATCAAGCATGCCAGGTCAGCATGTATAGCACGAGGAAAGGCGTCGTAAGGGTATAGCTAGCCGCCGGAGGATTTCTAGCCTTATCAAGCAGTATACATGTGTTAGGAAGTAGAAGCCAGTCGTGGCAAGTCGTGAGCCAGAAAGCAATAGACAGCCAAGTACTGGCAGCGTTCAAGTTGGCACAAGCATAGGCCAGATTCGCGGATGTGAATTTAGGCGCAGTTACGTAAGAAGAAGTGATAACGAACATACTTACCGGATTTGGTAATCACAGATTTGGAGTCATCTGCCGACTGCAGCCTGCTGCGTCAAGACATTCGTTACGGCTCTTGTCTCCTTATACCAAGCGGAAAGATTTCCTCCGACGCGTCACTTCTTAGCTGAATAACCACAGTTTTAGCAGACACAGGCACTTGATGGATTTCAACGAATCCACATCCTCGCAGCCCGATATCCGGGAGTTCGTAGCCGTAATATTGGCCGGCTTCGGTAACGAGTGAGTTAGACAACCGAATTTTCCAGCATGACGTGACCCACGTAGATAACATCCAGACTCTCGCCCTTAAGCAGTGATGCTGGGGGTGAGCCAAGCCCAAAGGCCCTGCTTCCTATCGCGAATCAGCCGATGCTGGATTTTCCGCTTGCCTGGCTTGAACAGTCCGGAATAAAAGGTGAATTGCATGCCCCCTTTACATGAGATGTCTCTTCAATGCGAACCAACGTAAGACGTCATCTTGATCTGCCCAACGGCTCAACGGCAAGCGATTTCGCACTACATTCACTCAGGCAGCTCAACATCGCTGCGAATCAACCTACATCCGTTCGAAGAAACGGACGACCTTAGTGTCGGAACATGTGCAATCCTCCGTCACTTTGCTCATCTCATACAACAAGACTTCGTCGTGCTTCCATGCGATTTCGTGCCCCCGCAGTCGCTTCCGCTTTCGAGAGTTCTGGACAAATTTCGTACCGAGTCCGTGTCAGATGGATGTATAGCGACAGCATGCTGGTTTGCACCGCGGCGCTCTGAAAAAGGCGCAACACCGGATGAATGGGGCCATTATGATCTCTCGACTCCGATAGTTTACGACCAAGCAACGGGAACGCTCCTTCATATCGATACTCCCGACGACATCGATCGCGATAGCGAGGAGATTGGACTACGAATTGGCGCAATAACAAAGTTCGTAGATAACTCTCAATGTTAGCAAGTCTGTTTGCTCAGTCTTTGGGATACAGATACCCTCGCACAAGGTTGTCTGCCAATTTACAGGACTCGCACGTATATGTTTGCAGGCGGTCCGTACTGGACGCTTTGTCTGAGAAGCCCAACTTTGATTCCATCCGCGAGGAGTTCATCCCTTGGCTGTGCAAGGTTCAATATCAGCGGACAAAGCGGGAACGCTATGGAACAGGTCAGAGTGGAAATCACACGCGTTGTTATTATCGCCACTCACACACTATTGTCTACTTAGTACTGATGCCTAGAACGAATACCTTATCACAACATGTTGCGCTGCAGCATTCCACCTCCCGCGTGCCCGACGAGGTCCTAGATGGAAAATCCGGAGTGTCATCACCACACGACAAGGATATGGCATATTCCTTACCTCCGTCGCCCACGGGTGACCAAGACCAGCAGATGGCAAATGCGAGCCTCCGTGTGGGACTTGTCATTCATAGGGATCCTATTGCCTATGCCGCGAGAACGAACACACTACAGAGTTATCTGGAGCTAAACCGATCTGTAAGTGCCGAAATATCGTCCAGTAGATTGCATGTCCTCAGCATGGACACGTAGTTCCTTTCGAAAACGCCATACTCCCTACCCACGGATCCGAAAGATCGGTCCCTCATAGATCCTAAAGCTCAGATATCGAGCGATTGCATCGTCGGCGAGTCTACCCGTGTGGACGAGCGGACGACTATCAAACGCTCAGTGATCGGAAAGCATTGCACTATCGGTAAGATGGCTAGAATTGTTGGCTGCGTGCTTCTTGATCATTGTGTGGTCGAGGATGGGTAACATTAACCCCTTCAGACCTTCTCGCAATATTGATGCTTATTTGGGAACAGCGCTAAACTGGACAACTGCATTATGGGGAAGAACACAAAGGTTGGAAGCAAAGCCAGTCTCTCCTGGTGCGTTACGCAAGGTGGATTCGAAGTGGAAACAGGAGGTAAGCAACATTTGCACCGGAGGACTAGCGCGGCTGCTCATGTCTTGTCGAAAGGGGCATACAAAAATGAGAAGCTCGAAATCTCTGAATGGGCAGCTGGAGGAGGTAGCGAAGGTGATGAAACTACATCCGAGGACGAGGAGGACGGGGAGGAAGACAGCGAGGAAACTGAAGAGAGTGAAGACTAGCGTACATAGTACCGGTTCTCAACAAATACTCGTCGCAATGTCTTCATCATACAATAAAAATCATCACGACAGAGATTGTACAGCATAGACAGACTGTCTATCACAACATTTGCATGCGCATGTATATATGACAAGCAGGAAGTCGTGATAGGGGCTTAGCACATATCGTGACAGAATGTGAATCATATACGCTTCACCGAACCTGCTGAGCAACGCGACCAGGCATCTGGTTACCCAAACCCTGAGCGAAACGCGTTCCCCGTCCAACTCTGGCACCACCTAGGCATAATGTTAATAATCATCGGAGAATTACAACGATTGCGACTTACCACGTGCACCTCTTGAGCGCTCTGTTCGTCCTCTGCGCTCTTGTGCTTGCTCTCCCCGTTTGTCTCCCTTCGTACCATCTCCTCTGTCGCCCCAACCACTGCTTCCTCCGAGCCTGTTATCCAAAGTCTTCTCGTTCTGCTCTACCATGGCGTTGATCTTGTCTGCCAAGCTAAGCGATAATTGCTGACCACGAGAGAGCTCGATGCGGTGGAAGACAATAGCACCAGAAGATTGGTCCAAGGAAGCCGACAGTTCTTCCGACCAGATCATCTTAGAAACTATCGACGTAACCGTGCGTACAGGCAATGAGAAGGTTCGCCCCAAATGGACTAACGAGAGCGTGCTGTAATGAGGCGCGTACGTGAAGAGATACGTTCGCAGACCTTCCTCCTGTATGCGCCTACAGAAACCCACATCAATCACGAGAATGATGTAAGAACAAAGCACACTTACTTGGCGAGCATTTCCTTCACGGAGGCAGCCTCAGGCATCAGGCTCCAGATCTTAATGCTCTGGATGAGGTCGCGGCACTTCTCCCACTCGCCATCCTGTAGCGCCTTACTAGCCTGCATAATATGGTCCCTGGTGCTCTCCGGCGGACCGGTGAAGATCTGCCTGTCAGCGAAGTCCAACAATCTTCGGAATGGCTTCGAGATCGCCTTCCGCTTCTGCTCTTCTGAGTCAATGCTTGCCAGCAGCGGTATCTCCACGAGCATGCTCGAAACCAAGAACGCGGCTTCCAGCAGTTCCGTATTTATATGCATATGGAAGGGGAGCTGTCGCTGACGTTCCGCTTTCTCTTGCTCTGGGGTCATCACCTGGTACCTCTGCTGATGAACACCCTGTGCGAGCAACTCCTTGACCCGCTGAGTAGTGAAGATATCCTGGAGAGTCGCCTGTGCTTCGCGGATGAGGCCGCATCGGAATGCACACAAGCCCAATTGCACCACCGTGCGATTGTATAGAATCTGGGTGGCCACGTCAGCTGAGTGGACGGATTCTTGTAAATGTGACATAAGGAACATGTCCCGCGCAGTGTGAAACTCGTTGTGCAGGGCATGATGATATATGTGGCTGAGCATCGCCCGGGTCCGGAGAAGGGAATTCGAGCCCTTGTACAGATGCACGCATAGGGTCTGGACTAGAGCGGTTGTCGAACCCTGATTGACCAGTGAGATGCTGGGTGCAACATCTGAAGCTGCCAGGCCCGCTTCAAGAGCTTGAACCACGGGGTCGGGCTATGGAAAGTATTAGTATTACAGATTAAGGGGACGGGAAAGCGCATACTTTGGAGTAGATGTGCTCTATTCGGCGCATGATCACCCGCGCAAGAGGGTCCTCTTGCTTCGTCTTCTCATAGTATGCCTGCGCGCGGCATATAGTAGAATAAAGCCCCTTCTCATCCTTCAGGCGATCAACGTACTCCGTGCCATGGGGGTCGATATTCTGCAGGCTCTTCGTGAACTCATCATCAAGGCGGTCCACAAAGCTGATGATGCTACCCCGGATGCGCACCACGCCATCCGGAGATTCGGCTGGCGAGCGTTCAACAAGCTCGTCGTAATCTTCCGTCGTCTCCTGCACGACGTACTCTGGCTGGGAAGCGACGATTGACACCAGCTGGTCGATCTCCTTCTGCGCGGATACCCACGCCTCGGCGGGCATATGCGTAGCCGCAGAGGCATTGTAATCGAACCGCGAGGAAACGAGCACCAGCAGGACACGTATCCGCTGGTAAGACGTGACAGCTACTTCAAGAAGTTTTTCCAGGATTCGGATTTGTTCTTGCCTGTCAGTGTTCTAAAGAGAATCATATCAGGCAAAGAGATGTAACACAACTCGATCTGACTGACCTTCTTACCACGCGCTTCCTGAACCATTTGTAGATTCTTGAAGATACCCTCCGTGGTGAACTGCATCGCCCGACCGCCCCTGCCCACCGTAGTGAAGTCTTCGTCTGGTTGTTCTTCGCCCTCCGCATCCCCGGCTGCAGCTCTCCTCCTTTCTGGCTTAGGTGCAGCGGCTGCAGGAGCGTTTGCGGCATGGTATGCCCTTTCGAAAGCCTCCGGATCCTATACGCAACATTAGAAAGGGCACGAGTGCATACGAGGTAAGATACGTACAGCCTGATAGTCTTTGACTTCCTTCTCATACTCCTTCACCGTCTTTTTCACTTTTTGCTTCATCGCGGTCAGGGCACGCGCATTGCTGGCGTTCATTTTTTTCTTTGATTCCTTCTCCTTGGACAAAGCCGTGTTGAGAGAGGATTCGAGGTTGATAAGAGTCCGGATGAAGAATGGAGGGACGGGTTCTGAGACGTTTTGCGATCGCTGGACCATACGCGCGAGCTTGTCGAATTCTACGAAATTTCAGATGATGAACGCGAAGATCATGGGGACAGACAGACCACTAGAGATGGCGACCCAATCGTTGATCTTGAGCGCATTATCCATGATTTTTCCAGTCGCCTCCATCTCCTCATATCGCTTGTCTTTGGCGCTCTTCACGACACGCCTGACATCGTCCTCATCTTCCTCCTCACTGTCGCTCTCCGTCCTCAGGAACCTGGACCTCCTCTGAGCCTGACCCTCCTCTTCATCCGACATTTCCTCTTCATCTTCGTCTGACTCGTCTGAATCGGCATCACTGGAATCTGAGCCAGCTGTGCGCAGGAATCGGGACATGGCGGGCTTCGAGCCGGTCGCGGTAGGCTTGGGGGCAGCATCCTCGTCGCCGCTGGACATGAGCTCCTCCTCAGAGGAGGACTCGGAGTCGGAGTCAGAATCGCCTGCTTGTCTGAAGAAACGAGACATTGTGATGGACGATGAAGGCTGCTTTGCAGGCTGCAGTCAAGAGGACAAAACTTTGGCTTGCGGCGTTTGCCGGCGCACCGCTTCCCAGAGTCACTTCGCGTCCGAACACTTCCACGGGTCAGATATTTTCAAGGCAACTATACTGGTCATTAAAGTACAGGATGGTATCATGATTCGTCAACGTCCATAGTCTACATGTTTGTTCCAGATCTTCTCCGGTTGTGCAATCGCGTCTCAATGGTGGGCCTCGCGGTATTTCTCAGCGAGATATCTATCGCAGCAGTGAGCAGAACAGCGATTGCGAGCACGGGAAATGACTTACCCTTCACCGCCCCAGAGAGCAAGCAGGCCAACTGAGACGCTGGAGACGATGCGTCTATCCCACTGAGGCCTATCCCAGTTGGTGTAACCAAAGTAACCGACTGTGCCAAGGATCCCCACGTTCACTTTTCAATGAGCAGCAAGTCAGTGTCCTCGTGTATGGTGAATCTCGGCACACTCACATAGACCGACTAGCCCGCCCAGGACACCCGGGCGCAGGATGTGTTCCTTCAGATAGCGGTAAACGACAGCACCTTCCTCCCTAGCCCTTCGCTCTTCCTCCTGTCCCTTCGGTGTCTTGCGGTACGCTTGCGCGCCGTAGCCCTCTAGACCTAGGAGCGCCAGAGCACCTGCGACGGTGGAGGTGATGACCTTGGTGTCACGACGCAGACCGGGTCTGGTATAGTACAGATAGCCGACCGCAGAGATCAAGCCGACGTTTGCTGAATGAGGTATGAGCGATGTTGAGGTCGGAATGGGTTTCCCTTACTCACCGATCCCGATCAGACCACCAGCCACGCCGGGTTGCAGAACTGTCTGCTTCGTCACCTCCCATAGGTGAAGACCCTCGTCTTCTGCCTGGTGGAGGCGCTTCTTGGCCTTGTCCTTCTTTGAAGGTGCACCGGGTGCCTCTGGCAGTTCCGGCTCCGTGTACACGGTCTTCTCAGAGGTCACGGTAGCGGGATGCGCCCTAAAGTCGGATGGGACGACATTGACCTTCAAGGTGTCGTCTGCGACGCCGGCTGTCGGGGGTTCAGTGTTGAGGAGAGCGGGGTCGGGGTGTGGCTGCGCGCCAGTGAGCTACATGAACTGGGGAAAACACGGAGCAACATACCTCGTTGGGGGGGAGGTTGTGGGCAGCGACGGAGGCGTAGGACATGTCGACTGGAATATTTGTGGAGGAGACGGCAGCCAGTCGCGCGACGGACGCGGTATAAGTAGGCCTGACCAGTGACGTCACCTGGCCGACGTCACATCTGCGACGCGTCAATCTCGCCCAATCTGGCCGTCGGTGGCGGCTTCTCAGACTCCACCGCTTCCAAGTGCGCGCAGCACTCCTGTGTCGTACATTCTGCCATTGAAAGGGGTATACAAAGTATCGTGTCACGGTTGCCTGGTGCAACTCCTGCGGTATACATACTATAAATCATGGACAGCAAAAGGAAAGCGGCGAAAACGAGAAATATCGGGTTGAAACATAATTAAAGAATGGAGAACGGTAGAAAGGTCCCGCTTAGAAAACATCCAAAGAATGTGGGCAATCGGCAGCAGTGTGCCCGTGGCTCTCGCAGTCCTCGCAGTACAAGCCGGTCGTATTGCCTGCCATTCCGCTCTTGCTCGACCGGATGCTCGCTGCGTCGTCCGACAGTAGATCGCAGCTAAAGATGTCGTGCCCCGGCCGTTCGCAGATTTCGCACACGGGCTCGCCCTTGTCCAGTTGCAGAGCATTGCTACTGGTGCTTCCCGTGCTGCTACGACCAGGGGGGAATCTGACTCGAGCATCGCCCCCGTCGGAGCTGCCTTTTGACGACTTTTTGCTGCTTCGAGATACCTTCTCTCTCAGCCGCTCCACTTCGCGCTCGAGTTCATCCTAGCGTACGTATGTCAGTACAAGTGACTTGGGCGGATGATATAAAGTAGCTGACTTCACGGTAGATCTATCACAGGACGTCAGCAAAAGGAAATGTATGCACGAATCTGTGTTCTTACCTTCGATTCGACTAACGTCTCCAATTCACTCACTTCCTTGTTCAACTGCATAAAAGTTTTAGTATACACACATCAAAGTTTGCCTACACGCTTACGTCGTGGATCGTCCGGGCGCTCTTCATCTCAGCTTCAGCATGCCGTTTACGCAATTGCTCAAGCTCCATCTATCCAGAGACCAGTTAGATGAACGTCAAAGTAGATGACACAAAGAGCGCCATACCTCGTACTTCATCTTGAGCTCCTGACGGACCTTCTGGGCCGAGGTCTCGTCGCTGCCTGCGATCTCACCATCCAGAGCTTGCTCTTCTCTCAGAAGTGTCTGCTCGAAGTTAATTTCAAGTGTATGAAGTTCCTGCAGAGCACACTTAGCTCCACGAAGAGTATGCGGAGTAGAAAAGGGTACGCACCGCTCGAAGTTTCTCAATCTCGGAAGACAGCAGCTCGTTTTCAGCGGCGAGCGCTTTATTCCGCTGATTGGTGACCAGATTCTCCTTCTGGAGTTCTTGCACGATATGCCTAGAGGCATATGTTACGAGAGATCTCACTGAAAAAAACGGATGGACCTACTTGAGGCCTGTGATTTCGTCCCGCGCCGTGGCTATCTCATGCTTTGATTTGGCAGGGTCCTGGAGACCATTATTGACGCTAACGTCGCGGTTTAGCCGCTTCTTCAGAGCTTCCAGCTCTCCCTCCTGGTCTTCAAGAGCCTGCCGCATATCCGCTGCTGACTTCTGTTCCGCTGCAAGGAGTTCTCTGGAAGACCTCAGGATGTCTTCCATCTACGACGCCGCAAAGCTCAATTCAAAGGGTGTTGTCCTCTGCTCATTTGTACTTACCTCGCGTTTCTCAGATTCAAGTTGTTTGATAGTCGCTTGCATGTCACTCAATGACCCGACAGTGCTAGGGGATCCGAATTCACCGTCCATTTCCCGCTGCGCCCTGCGAGCTTCATCCAGCTCCGCTTTGAGTCTTGTTATCTCCTCGTTCATGCGCGCGCGATCACGAGCAGTCCGTTCCGCAATATCCGCAAGCTTCTCGCCAGACTCACCGGCCTTCATAGACGCCGTCAAGCCTTCAAGGTTCTATGGCCGCACATAAACGATCGGAATGCCGTTAAGAGACAGAAATCAACTCACAGAAACTTCAGTCCGGAGAATCTCAATCTCAGCTTGGGCATTCTCCAGCGCAACTGTGCTCTCACGGAAGGCTTCCTCGATCTCCTGTATACGTGTTCTTGCAGAGGACTCAGCCTGGGTCACTTTCTCAAGCTCGACTCGGCTCTCTTCAAGCTGCTTTCTCATTGCATCTTCCTTCTCCTTATATCGCTGGATCTTTTCGCGAACAACAACATCCTCTTTTTCAGTCATCGCGCGGGCATCCTCAAGCAGGTCTTCTAGGCTGGCGACTTTCTGCTGAAGGTATTGCACCTGATCGCGCAAGGCTTCATTGTCGATCTGCGCCGCGGTGGAGGCATGAGGACTGGTAGGGTCAGCCGAAGAGCCATGTGCGTGGGCCTTTAGCTGCTCTTGCAAAGATGCGACCAGATCTTCAAGCTCATATCGTTTGAAATCGGCCGCACTTAGTCTCTCCTCGTATAGTGCGATCGTTTCCTGTGGACCACAGGGATGTTGAGATGGTTATCAACGCAAGGAGTGAGGACTTACCTGACCAGCCTGCCGGAGTTCCTCGACTTGTGCGCCTAGTTCCTTTCGCTCGTTCTCTAGATCCGTGGAAAGCTTCTGGATACGGTTCTCCAGTAAGGCTATCTCCGTGTCTTTGGCTTTGAGTACAGCGTCCTTCTCATCTTGTGCGCCCTCTTTGGCGGTGATAGCGTCCTTCAGTTCGCTGATCAGACTTTCCTTGTCTTCCAGATTCGACTGCAAGTCCTTGATCTTGTTTTCTGCATCGCTGCGAGCTTTTTCAAGAGCAGTATTGACTTGCTTTACGTTACGCTCCAGAGCATCGATCTTCGAGTCTCGCTCAGTCAAGGTCCGTTCCGATGCCTTCACTTGGCTTTCGAGAGCAGATATCCTTGCCGTAGCCTTCGCGCTTTCAGCTTGCAATGCAGTGATTCGCTCCGATGATTGTCTTTCAGTAGCTGCTATGAGGGTTTTGTTCTCATGCTCTAGTGCATCGAGCCGTGATTGCAGGCGCTCGATAGTCGCAAGCTGGTCGGCAGCATAACTCGCACCGCCCGAGGCTGATGAATCTGGTCGTGTGCTAGTCGAAAGCTGAGGCGTACTTCGCCCAGATAGTAGATTAGCAATTTTATCCTGCAGCAGCTTGCCGTTCATTTCGAGACTGGAAATAGGCCGCAGCCCTGGATCAGTGAAATGCTCCTCGTCAAGATTTGCCGGGAGCTCATCGTTCAAGGAGACGGAACGACTGGAGCCAGATCTTCGAGAAGGAGAGGCAGGGGGCGGCATTGCTATGTTGCTGGGAACCCGAGCCCGAGGGGTACTAAGTGAAGTCCGCCCTTTGGATGGTGATGTTGGTATACCGGGCCCTGGGTTGGAAAGTCTTCCTTTCGCCTTGGGTGTCGCGAATGGAGATGATGAAGTGCGGGAGGGAGAACCAAGATTGGCTACGGGCGGAGAGCCGAGATTTCCTGCAGATCGACGTGTGGGAGAGGGTGGTCCTGGACCCCGCTGCAGACCGAAAGAACCCATCGACGTTCGGGTAGGACTCGTGGAAGGCGGACTACGAGTGTTAAGGTGTTCTGCTGTCATCCCAAGGTACTTCGAAGCCCGAGACCCAGGGGTAATCTTGTTTTCGGCCAGCAGGCTCTTTTCATTCTCCCTGGCTATACCAGATTTCGTGGGCATGGCGGCAGGGGTCGCGCCAGCTCGTGCTATAGTCCGCGGCTTAGGTAACCCTGGCGTCCTTTGTCCAAATGAAGATGAGGGTGTCACTCTGCCGCTATTCGACGGAGTTATGCGTCCCGTGGACGCAGAGGGGGTTACTCGACCAGATACCGAGCTCCCAAAAGACGGAGTAATCCGTCCTGTAACTGAAGGAGTAATTCTACCATTACGGACAGAAGCAACAGACGATGGTCGTGATACCGCGCCTGGGCCAACTGTCGGCAGAGAGAGTTTGGTCGCTGCAACAAAGACGCCGCACTGCGGAGGGCAAGAGAAGTATCGCTTCCTGCATGAAAGGCCGCACGTCAGTCAGAACGAAGTCACTGAAGAGCGGAACATGTGGAGAGCACGGCCTAATCCTTTTCTCATGCTGCCATACCAGCGCAGAATACAAACAGACAATATCACATGAACGTTGTCCTGTCTTGCACAACCATTCCAACCTGATGACACAGAGATACTTCTTGGAGTAGGATGCAGACGGACATGCTTACCCGTTCACAGTCCCGTCATTCTTCCCTTTACCTGCGAACCCACCACTTAGCTCCACCCCAGCCCATGTACCAGGTTTCCCATCAATCTCCCCCAGATACTTCAAGGTGCCTTCGTACCCAAGGGACTCAATACGCACGTTATCTCCTACGGTGAAACTCTTGTTCGCTCGGCTCGCATTGTTGGAGTGGGAGGGGAGATCAGACTGGCGACTTCGGGGGCGGGAAGACGCCGAGGGTGTCCTGGGACGCTGCACCTGAGGAGCAGCAGTACCGGTGGCGGAGGAAGAGGAGGCAACTGAGGCAGGCCTGCTATTTACAGACCTCCGACCCGACTCTATGCCAGGTACAGCCGATTGAGGGGACAACGACGCAACAGAGACATCACTCGTACGAGCAGATCGCTGCTGGGTCGGGTCATGGGCCTTCATGGCATCGACGAATGCGCGAGATGCAAAGTCATCTGCAGAAGGTGGAACATTTTGTGAGGCCCCAGAAGTCGATCTGAGTCTGCCAGGCGCAGGGATACCAGGCGTCCTCCCGGGAGTGGGTATTGCTGAAAAGCGAGGTTTGCCAGGCGTCGACATGTAATAGCGCGTTGACCGGGCGTGACTTCATCTTTCACGCTCGATAATGATGCAGAGCGCGTCGTCTATTTCCGGAAGGGTGCGCTTATTAAGCAGACTCTGTACTATCATTGAGGGGTTCTGCAAATTTCACCCCCTTATGTCTCATTCCACACTCACCCAAAAAATGTTGGGTAAGCTCAGGCAGGTATATATTACACTAGAATAGACCCTCTGCCAAGTCAGAATGGGAATATCTGCTGTGGTTTAAGAGAGGGAGAGAAAACAGGCCATGGGAAAGAAAGAGTATCCACTAGATCTCTCGTGATACTCTCAACAGACTGCAGCAGGATGGCTCGGGGTATCATGAATATGTCATCTACAGTACAATGCACCAGCCCGACAGAGTAAATAACGAGTGTGTCGAGATAGAGAGGCAACTTTGCACATCTCCCGGGACGAAATGCAATCCTCCCTACAAAGTTGAGGACGCAGATTATGTAAGCGAGTCGCGCAGCGGCTCGCAAAGTGGACGCGGAGCCATTGCAGCGGATGCGCCCAGACGGTTGCCCAACTAACATATAATCTTATTTTTGAACATTGCTAGTGTGCCGCTAGTGCAGCGGTTAGTGTGATGGGTTATCAGATGCAATGATATGAGCTCGAGGTTCAATCCCACCCATGGATAATATTTTTCACTTGTGATGATTCTAGTTGTCTTCACTCCGTATGCAACTTGGAAATTTTCTTTTGTTCTCTGTCTCATCATGCAGTCATTGCAAGGTGCCGATATTGATGACATTGTGGCACTTTGAGTCCAGACAAGGGCCAATCTATACACAAAGCCTTCACTTGGTATTATACTTTGGGGTTCAATTTCAAAAAATTGAAACTACATGTGTACTGATATACAAAACTATTCAACTTCTCATGATCATGGGAGGTGGTGTTACTGGTGTACGAATGAATTGCAGTGAGTACACAACCTCCTCACCGCCTTAGGATTCCCATTCTGAAGCGAGTCGCCCCGACTTCAGACGAAGTCCTTCGTGATGCTGCGGGGTTACCGCACAGTGTCTCGACCTTCCATTTATAGCGACTCGCGTCCTTAACTTTGTAGGGAGGATTGCACTTTCTTCTCCCGGGCCCATATCGTGACAAAAGTGTGACATTGCGTGCTCGGCCGCAAATGGTAAGTGCCCGTTTTTGGAAGCTTCGCGAAGACGGATCGGGGGATCCGCAGCGCCTTGTGCCTCAGGCTCTTACAGTGCTTTGCATAAAAGTCCGGAAACCGCGATCCGCGAAATGTTGTTTGTGCCAGCCAAACAAACCTATATGGGGTAGTCGATCACCGTAGCACGGGCTGTTGACTGGTTGGCGGGATGCTTCGACATTCATGTATGGGGGTTGTTCTTGGGGGATTTTAACCTCTGTGTGCTCGATATCCTAAGGAGATACAGATCTGAACGTTATTCAGCCTTGAGACGGGCATTTGTGTCCCAGGAGTGATATAGGCTGACTCGAGGACCGTCGCGCCCTCGGTCAGGTATTACCCTATAAGGGATTGTTTGGCTGGGACAAACAGAAACGCGTGAAACACAGTTTCCGGACTTTTATGCAAAGCACTGTAAACCATCCGTCCTTAGCGTTCTCGCTCCTCCTTTACTAGGGCACATGTGCAGTGTTATATAATACAAATCTATTTTTAATTTATTACCGGATACAGAACGAACAAGAGGAGGAGAATGCTATAGGACAGCTGGCACAAATGTTATCGCCGAGATCCCCGAGGCTGACTAAGCGGACGGTACTTGAAGCCTTTCA